GTCAAGATTTTCCAGCAAAATGTTACATGGAAATCCGTGTATGTTATAAAACTAGCATATCCAAAGTTTTTTCATTGGCAAATATTGAAAAAAAAAATGTTTTAAAAATTGTATCCTCGTGTGCACTAAGCCTTAGAACTAAAGCTGTCTTCACGTTACTTGACTTCGATAATAATGATTGGCGTTCGACTTTTGTTGATGGAATCGCAAATGGAATAACTTTGTTTTTTCAGCGACCATTTATTTTTCCCTCGTTTGCATGTCTTTTCATTTATCACTGCAATTTTCTCGTTAAAGCCACGCTTGAAACAAATATTGTTTTGTGTTTAAAAACAACACAAAACCTATTGGTAATTCAAATTAAACTTTTTAATTCATACTAATATTAAAATAAAACTAATGTGGGATTCTGTGGAGAGATTTAAAGCAGGCAGTGTGCGCAGTAAAGTAAAATACAATGACATGAAATGTTATAATATTACCTATTCGTAATATTAGGTATTTTTAGGTGGTAAGGTTGATTAGATGAAAACAAAATATTGACTACATTTTTATTAGCACTCTTCATCCTCATCAATCTTTAAGGCACCCATACTCAGAGCCTATTATTAAATAAAGAGATGGTAAAAGTCCCATAGGTGCCCTCGCCAAGTCGACGCTGAATCAATCCCTTGGATTTACTGTAGAAATCACAGAGGGATAAAAGCATGGGCCAAACAGGGCTGCTCTGTAACAGTTTACGTAGTTTCGAGCCTATCTGTCACTGTCGCTTATGCTGGCATCTCCTTTGCATGAGAGAGATGGAAACATTCGAAACTTCGGATAACATTGTTGAGAGTTAGTATAGTGTACGTACTCGTATAGTCTTGTCGCAATCAGAGCTCAGATAGTTACCCAAAATATTTTTAAAGGTTTATAAAGGACCACCTATAGAAAATAGGATTACTGTATACTTAGCCTAAATACGTCACGGTTTGCGGATAAGTAAGATGTTTTTCGCAATTTAAACAAAGTAAATATTCACCGTGTCATGTATCCCCGCTCCATCGAACCTGATAAGAAAAAGGTAGTTATTTAACCATTTACTCGTAGGTACATGCTGCATAATTTTTCATATATCACTCTTACCGTATAAACTCGTAATAACACATTAAAACCGGGATCTAAGAACGTCGCCCGTTTATTATGTATGAACAGTTATGTCAACAAGGAATTCAAATGAGCGAAAATATTTTTTTATGCGTTTCATGTTACCCAAAGCTGGGAGCAGGGTAAAGTCAACACACATCAAACTATACAGTTTTGTTGCAAAACAGCACCTGTTACAACGACTTAAGATGCCCCAGTGTCAAGCTTGACGTGACACTGGTACATAAAAGTTAACCGCCGCGTGACGCCGCGGTGTCCTAAGAAATGGGCGTAATAAGAATTTACTAGCCTGTTTAGGCTATAGTGGACAATGTGGACATAGCAAGGCTTTGTAAGAAAATGCGTGAATATAAAACCTTGGACTAGATACTTCGGGTTTATGTAGTACAAAATACAAAGAAGAGTTTCGGAACATGTGAGCAGTAGAGCTATAAGTATTTAAGTTTCGTTATTTTCAATGTTTTTATATTTTTAACTTAAATCCATGAAAAAAAGAAGTATAATAACTTTTTTGAGCTTGTAGAAACTAGTTACTCGTAAGTACAAAAACAATATATCAATTAAACAACCAAAGATAAAATGTAACATTTTCAACACTTATTTTTATTCTATTACGGTTTGATTTAAAAATTAATTGATATGTTTGCTTAAAAGATGAAAATGTAGAGTTAATATTTTGGTTTCAACGGGAGGAGAGGAGGCCATTATAACCCAAGTTCGCTATCAAAATTAACTCACCTAAAATGGCGCATTTATTGAAATGCTTGGTTCGGGTCGAGTCAATGACTATCGGTGAAGTTGGATATTAACATAAAACATCAGAACTCGCATTAAAGTGTCCAAATTCCCCCGGTCCCCCTCGTGTTCCGCCCCTGCCGCCTCCGAGATCGGGGAAGCGCGGGACAGCGGGACTTAGAGAGAGTGGTCCAAGATGGATAATTGTAGTAACAGATAATTGTGAGTGACAGTATGAAATTATCTGACACATTTCGGGCTTTATCGTGCATCAATCAATGAAGAAAGTTTTTCTGGCTCAGGATTTTTCTTTATTTTCCTATTTTTTTTCTTGTACCTGTAGGTATATGTATGTGATTGGTATCTAATCTGTAATACGTGTTACCTGAAACTCTTGTAAGTAGGTAGGCTTAGCTTATAGTAATTAATTTATTACTCTTCTATCATATGGGTTGTTATGACTGAGATCACTACCAGGCCTGTTCATCTCCGCGAGTTTACATTGAAAACAAAACACGCACGATGGCCCACCTACAGGATACTATTCGACAAGGCCTCACATACGAGCGAACATTGACTCACGCACGCGTATTCTTGTGTATGATGGAAGAAAATAAAGAAAATGGTGTACTAAATACTGTGCAGTATTTAAATGCCTAAATAATAATAAAAACACAGAATGTACTTTTATAAGTTGCCTCAAGACACTGAGAGATAAATAAGTAGTTAATATTATTCATGATAATTCATGCTAAATCATGTATTTCCTCCGCCATTTTCCGCAGTTTGGCACCTCACGTCACATCATTTTACCGAAGTCAGCCCTATAGCTTCGGCGCAGTGCCGATCACTGACGTTTGTCAACAAAATGGTGCTTGAATCTTGAGACAGGCTAAATTACACCATATTGTTAATGACATTGAGCATACATTTTTTTTAAATACCTTCGCGAAGTAAAACTTCTGTACGTAGTACTTATTATTATTCACTTCTTTATAATATACGATCAAATCTTTCATGTTTTTAATATTAGTGTAGATTTTATCATCAACTTAATAGCATTCTGATTTGAGTCAACGATTCTTCTTATAACATACGCAATCATTTCTGATTTACACCTCAATATTTAAACATAATATATTTTTACACTATTTGTGCCATCTAGAAATTAAACCCGTTCAGGGTTAGAGATTATTTCTTGTTCGAGAGTTTATCACATTGTTTTGATTTTACAAATCGTCCGCCTATCACTTACCCCGCCGCCCAATATTACAGCAATATCTATATTTTATTCAGCTACACCGAAACAGTTGAACAATAAAATAATTATCATCTATCGCCAAGTTTTATGTGCTGGAAGGATCGGGGGACAACTTTTGGTGCTTCGTATTGACGATCAAAGAAAAAGTTGTCATCGGCCAGTCGAGCGGAAAGAAAGTTAAGCGATTAGTAGTTGATACGAATTTAAAGAGAGAATAGTTAGTGTACACGACAACTTACTCGACTAGACTTGTTGTGTTCTATAACCTGTAGCCATCATGAAAAGTTACTATTTCTAGAACAAAGTTTTTCACCTGCTGAAAAATTTTGATTTCGCTGATGTAACGAAAAGCGACAGAAAACGCCTATATTTTTAAGCACTGTCTACTACTGGATTCTACAAAAAGGATTTACCTAGGACCTACGTAAATCCGTTTTATAGAATTTTTACCTAAGTTATATTGAATGTAGCTTACACAAGAGTCACAAACAATAACACCATTTCTTCCAGTTCTTCATGAAGTTTTAAGAAAAAATAAGAGTTCAGTTTAGCTGTGCCATTTTGAAACATTGTTTATTGTTTTGGCAATTCCGCATTAATGTTTAAAAACCCTGCCACCTCCCACGTCATCGCTTAGCTTCCTGCGGGATCCCATGATAGGGACGTCACCGAATCGCCCTTCGTCTCATCACAGCCCTTCGGAAGCGACGCATGACGTCACCTTTGTCTGACAGCCGACGACGCGGAAACCTGCAGATTTGTTGCGCGACGGGATGCAAGGAATGCACTATGTAGCAATGTAGAAATACATATAGGTACATATACGAGTATGTACATGCGTTTCCTGCAAGGTTCCTTTCTTCCAGTGAATGGTAGAGGCGTTTTTTGAAGCGTGGAATGACGAAAATTTTTTGGCAATGTAACGTGAAGATTTAAAAGGGTTACAGTTAGGTATGTAGAGTCAGTTATTTGCAACAAGAACGACAAAATAGTAAAAGATACGAAAGGTTAGAGGTCTCGGGTACTTTGTGTTTGCTAGAAGATACTTTCTTTGATACGGTGGTCGGTATAATTGGAGTCTTAACTATAAAGTGTTATTTCATTTCGTCTTGTTATTTGCCTACAAATTAATTAGTATTTTCAATTTCAATAAGTAGGTTAAGACCTACATTATTTTTGAAATTAACTTGGAATCGATCTTTCATCAACACAAAAATAGAAACTTAATGACGGTTTATCAATGAAGAATCAATATTTGATTTTCCCCGAAACAACTTATTCGAACAAGAACAAAATCAGGAACAGAACAATACTAAATAATGACTAATGCTTCCACCGTTCGCTCGATAAAGTATTTCGCAATCAGTGACTTTTTATGGTATAACCTTCCGTAAGCACCCTAAGTGTGTGGTAAGTGGCGTGATGAGCCATTCAGGGACGAAACAATCTGCAATCAACCGCAAACAAGGGCTGTTTGGCTCAAATCCCCAGAATTAGGGACAATTTGTTCGTTAACAAAATGTGAGTTAAATGGGAGATATTTTTTTTTATATGGCCTGAGCCAAAAGTCTAGGTTTACGTGTTTTTATTTTTTGGGCTGTAATTTTTCTTAATAAAACAAAACAACAAAAATGCGGTAAAATTGGACCACTTTTGTCTTGTGAAATCGTTATTTTGACATTTTACCTTGTTTACCTTAACAAAAACAAAAACTGTGTCAACATGTAAACCGATAAAACATCAGCTCCAAATCAGATGTTAAAATATTAAGGTTCATAATCAAAGTGCCAGATAGACATCTAGTTCAGTCGGACCTACACAAAGTGATTTTACACTTTTTTAAAAATATACTTACCTTCATCACCACTTGGTTGACGATATTATAGCCCACCATTTAGAAAATGAAAATGACCCCATGTTTCTGAAAATACTAAACATTTTGCTAAATTATGACTGCGTAAGTTGATAAAAATATTGAAAGCTTTCATTAAGTACGTACTTACTTAAAATTCTATTTATCATCGCGAATTTCTTAACTTCGAAAGTTTAAATGTGGTTATTAAAATTGGCCTGAATATGCCGTAAATACTTTTCGAAGTTCATAAATCAAGACTTAACCCTTAAAAGGAGTTTGGAACTTATTAAAAAATTCCGCAAATACCGAAAAGCACTCACTTAGATTAAGAAAAATACATTACCGTCTTCGCGAAGTTTTCGGGCCGTCTAAGTATGTTGTTAAGAGGTTTTTAAATTTATTCACCCTTCGATTTTGCGAGTTTCTTCGCAAGTTGCGGAAATTCGAGCGATTAAGTCGGCTGGGTGCGAAGTACTAGCAACTTAAGGGTTATATTACCATAACGGTCGTCGGGCGTTGTTTAGTCGACTGCTCCTCAGCCTATACATTTTTGTAGCAAAATGACACCTATTCCAACGATATAAGATGCCTCAGTGTTAGCTTGAAGTGCCGTCGTTCATCTAAGTGAATTCAGTTGCCAACTTGTGGGATGCTAAACAGACTCCAAGATGTGAAACTTGTCCGTTTAGTATATTCAATTTGTATCCCAAGTTGGAAAAATAATAAAGTTGGTAACGTTCTGATATTAGGGAGATGTTTACAAAACCAGATGCCATAAATTAAGCCATTAAAAATAGATGGTGGCTGATGAGTAATGGCCATGGTTTCTGTGATTTATTGCTTAGCTTTAGCTTTTACATACTATAATATATAGATAGTAGTATTTATTTTAAACTAAAGAAAAGTTAGGGGAGACCGAGGAGAGTTGTGACATTGTCGATTTTTTGGAACTTAACTAGCGAGCTCGTAAAAGCTCGAGCTAACAAATACACGCTGTTGTCCAAAAATCGACAATGTCACATGAGAATTGCGACACTGTCGATTTTTGGAAACAACTGTCTCAACTTTCCTCGGTCTCCCCTACAGACACTTGAAACATATTAATTTTAAAAAGGCGCAATTAAAGAGACATTATTTAAAATAACCTAAGGAAATATAGTCGTAACCTAAACATTGCAAGCGCAGCTGGCGGAGAATAGGTATTTAACTAACAAAATAACACCATAAAAACTTTAGCAAGAACTTCTGCTTAATGTTTTTCATAAGGAAAGCAGGGTGCACCTAATTGTTTAATTTTAAAAATGTATGAAGCTATTAACTAATTTATTAAACGTTTGTGTCGAAACCAAGCTAAAATAATAATCCAAACTTAAAAATTAAAACTAAAGGAAGCAAAATGTTAAATTGAAGAACTTTTCTTATTTATAAATATTATTTTATACATTTTACACGGCCATATTTAGTTTTAAACATAGTAAAGTTAGTGTTATGGGCACCATTCAACTTATAGAGCTACTTAAATAAGTATATTCTGTAAACTCATACATATGTATAGTACCTATACCATCAAATATATGCCATCATTACAACCCATCGGATGCAATCTGCGTCACCGCACGCGCCGGTGATCTGATGACGTCATAAATCAGGGCGAAACAATAGCCCTCAGAAGCGTTGCGGTAAAAGCACTATTTGTTACTCTTTGTGTGCCCGCACTAGCGGTCTGAGTGTGTTCTTGCGGTGTTGCCACTGTTAAAATTTATTCCGTAGGGTCTATTAGAACCAAATGTTAAATCTTGGTTTAACACGCATGTCAGAGTCCTCCGACAGTCTGTTTTCAAGTTTGTAACTTCAAATGGTAGATATTTTACATAGAGCTATCTTGTCCCCAATTAAGCAAAATTTTTAAACATGAGTTTTCCACAAAAGCACTTAATCTATTTTTTTTACTTACACATGTGCAGAGAACACCCGGAACACACAAATGTTTTAGTGTGCATGACCTCTGGCGTAGGCGATGATTTTATTACCCTTGCGCTAAATAGTTACCTTTTCATCAACAAGAATCTAAATAAAGATGATTTGTACGTATATGAACAGACAGTTATCTAACACGATTAACAATGCGTAGGTATAGGATAAGTTTAGGTGTAAACCTTCTGAACTTGAGTTTATTATGTCATGTGATATGACCGTCATTCCACAGTGTTAAAGCATGTTCTGTTGTGGAAAGGGAATAAATGTGTTAAAGTGTTCCCTAAGGTGGAGGTACTCATACATTTGTAAAAAGTATCAAACACTTATAGCAGGTGCAATTCCGTTCCCTCTAAAAGAACCTTGATTCAGTAAATTGCACGTCATTTGAAGACAAATAAACATCACATTTTAGCAACGTTTGATATTACACTACACTGCAAGTGCTGCTACGAAATATACACATTATCACAAGCATAGCTGGGCACCGTTAATCAAATAGTTAACTTCGTTAATCGTTAAACCGTTACTAAAAAAATTAACTTCGTTAAACGTTAAAACGTTACATTTCGGAAGATTTAACGCAAGTTAACGTTAATCGTTAATCCGTTAACACGTGATAATAAAACAAACAAAAAAATTGTATGCAAAGTTCAAATAATAGAGATGATGACTGGGTAATGAAATCGAAATTCTATGTAGTCCGTCAGACAGATAATAAAAAAAATTTTGACACATATTTTTGAATTTTTTTCATATTCGAATAATTACAGTGAAATGTCACGTGACGTCACTTTTGAGTATAAAAATTCTACTCAAGCGTGTGACGTTTCACGCCATTTCAACTCGATGTAGCATGAAAGAAAATAAAAAATGTCCTTAATATTAATATTTTTTTCGTTCTAGTATAACTGCATTTCAGAATAAAAGCTAGTTTTAAAAAAAAGTTTTTATTATTATAGTTGTATTAGTTGTATCTCAATCTCAGCCTTGGTACAATTACAATATATTTTAGCACCAATGTGCTCAAATAAAAAAGACAAATCCAACAAACCTAAACTTGATAAGTTTCCACCGTTTCGTTTAGGAATTCCTATAGCCACCTCCTGACTCCATCATCAGGACCCTGGACATCATCTAGTACTAAAGTGCTCAAAAAGACAAATCCAACGAAGCCAAATTCGATACGATTCCGCCGTTTCATTTAGGAGTTTCTATGGCCACCTCCTGACTCGCATCATCAGACCAGCTCAATGGTACCATAACATTGCATTGTCATCGTATTTACATAAGTATACCAAAGGACAATGACCAAAAGTGGTCCAATTGTCCACCACCAATGAGACCTATATTGGCTTATAGTCCATTAAATAGAGATTAACTTTCAGTATGGGACGAAAAAAAAAAGCTGTCAGTAAAAAGTTATGACTGTTTGAAAAAATGTAGTAGTTTACGCGCTAATCTCAGGAACTACTGGTCCGATTTGAAAAATTATTTTTGTTATGGATAGCCCATTTATCAAGGATGGTTTTAACATCACCCAACAACCAATAGGGGCGGAGCAGTAAAGACAAATGTTGTAAAAATGGGAAACATTATTCTAACAATCCTCACGCTTACAAAGTCGTAGGCACAGCTAGTATAATATTTACTAAAATTCATCTATAACCCCGCGCCACATGCGACATGACATAACATACGTAGATTAGTCCAAAATGTGCAATGGAAAGAATGATATCAAGAACATTTTTCGGATGAAAAGGTAAAAAACTGACTTTTCATTCAGTCATAACTTTTTACTGACAGCATATTTTTGATTGCGGTTTGGTTATTAATGAATCAGTATTTAGTAGACTATTTTACTACATTGGTCTCGTTAGTGGTGGACATTTGGACCACACTTCATACATTTTTGGTCATTGTCCTTTCAGCTCAATCGGTTGAGGAGAACTGGTCTTGAATTCAGTTGCATTTTTTATATCGTTGCGTTGGTTACAAAAACTGATGTTTTGGGTTCTGGAAGTTTTGGAAGCCCGAACGTACTTGTCAGAACGCGTTTTTCAGCGTGCTTGCTGTATCTTTTTGGTAAATAGTAGGTACTGGATTAACGATTAACGGACTTAGGATAATTTAACGGAAGTTAACGAGTCCGTTAACATTTTTTAAAGTTAACTTAAAAGTTAATCCGTTAATAGAAATGTTAACTTCGTTAATTAACGATTAACGGATTAACGAGTTAATGCCCAGCTATGATCACAAGTTATTATGTGTAAAATATGTAACATTTAAGATATAAAACATATAACTTGCATGCGTCAGTAAACCTAGAAACATCATCGAAAAATGACTATCCTCAATAAAAAAAAAGCTACAACCCTATGCCAGTCATCAAGATAAACACCATTCGACCGTAAACCCTTTTACAAATGAACCCCACCGCCATCTCTGGCTCAAGAGAGAACTTAGCTTTCAGCTATGAGCGTGTTTTTCGCAAGACACGACCGAGAGCCTTTGAGGTAAGTGCCCTCCAATTAGGGCTCACCCTTATGGCCTAGGTATGGATACGAAAAATGTATAGAAGCAACTCATACGAAGTAATAAACTTGCCGTTCCAAACTTCTGCAAGCGCAAAATTGGTAGAGCTTCTTTTAACACTATCTAAACTACGAGTAGACTATCTAACATAGACTTTCTGTATTAAAATAATACTATTACAAAATATACATCATGTCGTGTACTAGATCGTGGACTGTTAAACTGATAAATCACTAATATAATACACATAATATTCCAACATAAAGTTTTTTTGCTAATGGGAAAATATACGACAGGCTTAAGTCTTAAGCAGGAGGATTAGTTTGTCTTCAGATAGGGTGTAAGTCTATGAAGTGCCACGAAAAGGCTCTGGGACAGTAACTCTACTAGATCAAGTGATATTTCAAACCAAGATCAACGGAAGTAAAGGACATAGAAATTATTGCGAACCACTAGCGGCGCGGTCCGCCCCGCCAAGCATCAGGGGTGACAACAGTCGCGTAAATTAGTACTCGCTGGAGCATCTGCATTCATTATTCGTACATCTTTCATCTTCGAATCGGTACCAAAAAAATCCTGAGGGGCACACCAGATCATTCTGGGGTGCCTTAGCCCCCCGCTATAAATGTATACTAAACTGGACTTATGACGGGGGGAAGGGAGGGGGATTGACCGCCCCGGGTGCCAACCCATGCTACGCCGCCACTGTTGCGAACCTACACTATAATACTTGGTAAGAAGAATACTGTTACATATCTAAACTTTTCGTTCACTCATTACCTCGGAAGCGTTTACCGCAGTCTACGTTTACCCCGGCTTACATGATACTGTTTCAGCTTCAATACTTTGGGGAAAGTTACTTCAACCCGCATGAAAGGGCCCCAGACAAAATGATTATGCAAAACTTCTGACACATCAATTTCGCATGTCTACACTGTCAAGGAAGAATACTCGTAAAGATGAATTGTTGAGAAAAATGCTATTTTTGGCTCTTTCAACTGTTAGGGTGATACTGAAGTTTAATTTTTAGCATTTTGTGAGATTGTGATCGTTTATTGATACTTAATAAAAATTGAGACTTCAAGTACGGGACTATTTCCACCTAACGTCCCACCGCTGCAACTCCTGTGTAGCCAGGATGTGCACCCAACCAGTGAAGGTCATGTTTGTCCCGGGGAAAGTTATTTTACAAGTAATAAATGCTATATTGTTATCAAAGCCCCTCTTGCCCTCTGTAATAATTTTATACATATGTGTAAGATGTATGTAACATTGTTAGAACCCTTCTGAACAACCAATTTCCTCTTTTGCCTTTGTATTTTGTATGCCTTTGACCGTAAACCATGACACAGGAAATCCTGGCTGCCAACCATTTGGTCAAAATTGCTACTTTATTTGTCATTAATAAAATGCCTCAGGCGTACAATCTAACTTAGGATGTAAAACATATCGCCCGCCAAAAGACTACCTAATAGACGCAGGACTCGAAGGCGAACTGGAAGAAATATAATGGCGATCACAATATATCGATACCGGTTACAGTGCAATAAGTACTAGGACATCATTGAACTAGAATAGTCGCTAAGCAAAAAAAAAGAAGAATTCGTCAACATAGTACGTGAATCCAAACATTAGAATTTTTTTCACAAATTATCATGAGTATGAGAGAGTCTGGTACTAAATGATGTATCTTTCCCTCGCTCCCTTTTTGTTCCATTTCAAAGAGAAATCTTGACATAAACCTTTCCACACTTCCTCCTTATGTTAAGAGTAGAGGCCCAAAACTGTTCCTGTAAATAAAAGATGGCTCGGCATTCCTGGCTGACTTGAAGTAATAGTAACAAAATTTGAAACACCCACATACACCTTCATCTTTATTAAGGGGTTTCTTTAACAGAATGAATGGAAACTCGTGGAATTCTAGAGTGTGGTGCAAGTCAAAAACTGAAAGCTACCATGATTTTAAAGGTGATTTGAAGAGCCTTTTTAAATACATTTATCTGTACCTACACTGTATGGTGGATTAAGGTCGATTTACATGTACTCGTATCAGTAAAGTGACCTTTAACATTCTATTTTTTCGCTTTTTTGTTTAATTTTTGCTTCTTGATTTTACAATCAAGAAGCGAAAATTAAACAAACGCATTTACATGTGTTGTTTGTAAATGTTGCAAAATGATTGGAAGTTTTTGGAATACTACTCATTAGGACATTTTTTTTTTATTAGAAAACTTGTAGATCATGCGGTGAGCTGTATCTGCCACTACATCCGACGTAAACGCCTCAACGTGACCACGACCGCTCTGCCAAGAGCAGAACGAATAAGAATAAGATCTAGATAGATACAAGTGTCATTATTTTGTTACCTTCTTTTTCTTGCGACCTTATTTGAAAGCTATCTACGCTAGCTCTACCTCTCGCCGCCCATCCCTTGGCCCTTTTCAATATAGAGTACGTAGGAACGTGGTCTCAATTATTAAACAATGCAATCGTCTGCGCGCCTCAACCCTAACGTTAATACTTGAACACCCTGTATGTGGGTCAGAACCGTGGGAACGTTATAGCGTGTCGTGGCGCACTAACAAATTATTTACAAGCGACATCATGGCTTGAATGTTTGATTGCGATATGATTTATACGCCTCGGATTTTAGGAGGTTGTTTTTGTTAATAGAGGTTTGACAAACAATGTTTTGGCCTTGCTGCATTTTTTTAAAGTAGTCATTGGCCGGTTGCATGTAATCCAGGCGTGTCCAAGAAGGAAATGGTGTTGATGTAAAGTTTGATTTTGTGGTTCATAACTTCTGCCGATAACGGTCTCAAGCAGCGCCTTATAATACTTATCTAATATCTCCCATTTTTATCAGCCAACCATTGTCAGCTTCCTTCCTGAGGTCGTCGTTCCATTGAGTATAGATGTCCTGTACTAACTTATCTTACTTGGAAGATTTCACATATCGACACTGAATCTAACTGTACTTGTTTAATACAAGCTATTTATCGGCTTTATGGGCATTTCTACTGTACGGTGTATTTTTTCTCAATTCGGTGCTAAAATTTATATTTAGTTTTTTAAGTAGTTTCAATACAAAAAAATAAATGTTACTCCATTCTGAACGTAAAAATAGCATTGTCACTAAATATTGTGAAGTGGTTTATGAGAAATGTTAAGCATCGAATTGAGAGAGCACCGAATTGAGAAAATGAATCACGGAATTGAGAAATGAATCTCCAAATATAAAAATCGCTCCGCAAACTTAGAATTGATGACATTATGAAGAAATACCTAATGTATTTTAATAATTAATTTAATAAATACTCAAAACGTTTTGATATCTGATTGCTGGTCTGTTAGTTAGATGGTTCATTTTAGATTTGTGTCTGAAATACCAATGGAATAAAACAAAAATCCTAATCAATATGTTTAATTTTTTAATAGGGAACTATAATAAATACTTAATTTTTATACATTATTTTAATTTTATTTAAATAAAACAAATAAAATACATAACACAGGATCTCTTTGTTTATTTATTCTTAACCTTAAACATAAAACAAATATTGCAAAACCCAAGAGCTAGATTGACCTGACACTATACCGAAGATATTATATCTAGTTTATGGGAATCAGGCGTGGGTGTTCGTATTGTGCGTTGTTAGTGATATAGGAGCACAAAAGTAAAAATCACGGAATTGAGGCACACACGTCGGACAAAATTTAAATGTGTTACTGTATTAAAACCCAAGGACTTGCAATAGAGAAACTCATTTATATGGCTTTATTAACTATCCCTTGTTCTGTGAATCCACATTCATAATGGGGAAGTTATTATTTCAAAAGTTATGAAGCAAAAACGAGTAAATTCTGGAAACCGGACACTCCATTTTAGGCCAAATTTCTCCCGTTTTTGAACTTTCGGATTTTTTCAAGGCGAGATGTAAAACCTGGCGGTCTTCTAAATATGCTCTCCATCAAGTCAAGAGTCCTTTAAATACTTGTGATTTCTTTCAAGTCCGTACTTCAATTTTAAAGGTACTTTTTTCGCCCCAGTAGGTCGATCGGTCGTCGCCGTAGAAATGCCCTTATACATATAAACAGTAGCGAGAGAATTCGTTTTATCAGTTTCTAAATGGACGAACTCGATTTTCAGAAACACGCTGTGGCGTTCCAGATAAGTTGTCAAGTATGTTAGTGCTAAAATAAACTAGACCTGGCACTGCGAACTGCGACGTCAGTATTGACAATCTGCCTTCTATTTCTCCCGTTTCAGTCGAACGTGATGACATATCTGGTACATTTTACGTTCCACAAATTAGACGGAAGTGTTGGAACGTAGAACAAATGCATTTCGGCGGTGAAATGTTCCAATATTTTGTGAATGATCAAAATATATTTGTGCCGTTCCTTATCACGTACTATGAACAGTCAGTATCGACTGTTCCGAGAATTCTTGAGGTTCTTTCTACATAAGAGATCAGGTAAGAACTCTATTCTGATGTATTTACGGTTTGCTTTGCTGTACTTACGTACTTGATACTCCCTAACTACACTATATTTTAGATTAATTACATTTGAACTTGAATTACAAAAATGACGATACTTACCGAGAGTCAATCAGTCATACTTTACTTCATAGAATACTTACTCTCGGCCAACAGATTTCCATCAAACAATTTGCTAACACCTCTCATTATGAGTGATGGCGTGTTGTGCGTAGCTAAAGTTAATATTAAGTACCTATTCATAATCATTAGTGCATGACGTAGCAAATAATATAGAAAGGGTTATTTTTCATAAATGCAATCACCACTAGATAGCAGCAACATACAGGGTGTTCAGTAAACTTAGAGACTGCTGATATAATAAGAACTATTATAAGAATAACCACCATTACATATTCTAATAACGTTGTTTTGAGGACTATGCTCTTTATTCTGAACAATATATTATTTCTGGAATGTATCCCAAACCAAGGAAACTCTATCAAAACTAATATACATTCTCCCCACGTGCATGGCACAAATAAAACAATGCATTTAGCTCGAAATATTTACTTTAATCAAAAGTTTAGAACCACTACCTTAAACATACTATCTCTTAACTAAACAATACAATATTTTCCTTTTTGGTTCACATTTTATATACAGCCTAATAATGTTTTTAAAACATACTTCTCTAAAGTTTTAAGCACTTCGTTATGTTTAACTGACTAGAAATAGAAATTAATACAAAAATTGAAAACGGTGTAAAATCTATCATAATTTGTGAATTCTTCGGTGAATGAATCTTAATAATGAACTACTAAAATAAATTAATCAAACAGTATTAATTAATTGGGAAAACATCTTCTTTCCACGACAGTAGCGCAATCGACCCTAGACATTTCCCTGAAAATCCTCGACAGATTAACTAACATATTAACGTCGTTATGTCTACACAACCAAAGGTTCAAAATGTTTTCAGTCGGTGAACAAGTGTTGGAAAAATAATAGTAATATGAAGAGATTTTCAATTTCTCAGCTAACAACCTCCAATCGTTGCCTTTCGATGTCTGAGAGTCTAAAAGCTTACAAAGTATCACCCTATCAGATTTAGTCAACACATTAGTTCGGTAGTTATTGTCGGCACTAAAGTTACTCCTATACATAGCACTGTTTTTATAGATGAAGTCGTAGCGACCCTCTTTCTTTGTTAAAGACGAGTAGCTAAAAGGATTTTCAACGATGTTCACGGAGTACCCCATATCGATACTAGAGCAACTAAAGCGTTTACAATTGAAATTCGAGTTTAGATCGTTAGTCTTAAGGTTGAAATTGACAGAATGTGACTGCTTCTGTTTTTGATGGATAGACAGATTGAGCTCTAAGCAATTGATGGCGTCAGTCTGGAGCAAATCGAAGGCGCAATGCATCGATCTGGAATTCATGTTCCATAATTGAGAATACGGGAGCTCCTGGTAGTTCCCACCCTGTATTTTCCAGCCCACGCCGACGTCTCTAAGGTTAAAGCACAAATCGGAGCAGTTCTCTTGGAAGTAAATTGTCTTTGGTTCGCAGAGTAAAGTGCCGCCGGTGCGTTTTTCGTTTTCGAGACATTCATTAAAAGAGTGCGGTGTGTCGTTGAATACGTGAACCTTCACGGTGTAAAAATTCCCGTCAGTTCTCTTGTAGATAAAGATCGCGGACTTTAGCAACTTGGCGTCTAGACCGCTGAAACTTCGGCCAACTAAAACAAAGTCGCTTAGAAATTCGCACACGAGGTAAACTTTGTACGGGTCGACTTGTGCGAAGATTGGGGTCCCGGGGGTTTCCTGACCGAGAGTGAGGACCTTCCTCCACTCCCTGGTGTTGATCTCCTCGGGCTTCTGGAGGATGGAGAGCAGCCAGCTGGTGTTCTTTAGGGCTCCACAGTGCGGGAATGTGAGGACCACGCCTTTTCGGAAGTGCATGTTCTTGGGGCCGCAGCGGATCACTGGACTGAGTTGGGTCTCACCTGGTGTGTGAAAAATCATAGTTGAGTGACAAAATTATAGAAATTTAACTCTAATTAAGAATGGAAACAAGATCGGTTTATTATTCTAGAAAGGTTTGACTAAACTAACGCTTTCTGCCCGCGAGCACGATGGCGATGCAACTGATTTCTACTGATCACCATCGCGCACGACCTTAAGATTGGTCGAACCTTAAGATCAATCTGTACAGGCTATAAATCCTTCAAAATCTCAGTAGAACCAGTAGAACTAAAAACACCAACAGAAAATCTTGAAAATCAACTTTGTTTATAATAACTATTCAACGATTATGATAATACTAAGACTGAATAAATTGCCACTGCTGCCACCTGCATATAGCTTCGTTTTAATGCTATGAAATATTCATAAAAGCCCCTAAACTAAAAGTCCGCGCTTTAACTCTCGACAAAATAAGTTACTTCCCGTAACTAGCCATATCAGGTGACGGTCCAAAGAATAGTCCAAACTTGTTTGTTTCTTTTGGACTAAGTATCTCAAGTTACCTACCTACTCGTAGTTTTGGTTTGCTCTACTTTTTACTACGACAAAAGAATAGAAGCATGTTTTAGGAAACTGGGACCTTTCCAAACTTACTTCATAATACTTAATGATTAAAGTTTATAAAAAATATAATAGGCTAGATGACAAAATTTCTATTATTAGTCCGTCAGACAGATAATTAGAAAATATTAGTCATATTTTTTTTATTTTCTTTCATAATTAAATAATAACAGTGCTACATCAAGTTGAAATGGCGCGATACGCCACGCTTGAGTAGAATTTTTACTCAAAAGTGACGTCACGCGACATTTCAATTTCAAAAAATTAAAAAATATTAGTCTAATATTTTCTAATTATCTGTCTTACGGACTAAATAGAATTTCGATTTCATTACCCAGTCATCATTCTTATTAACTACTTGGCCTAGGCCCATGAGCCAGTCGACAATACCGAAGAATGTTTAATAAAATGTATAACAATAATAATGCACAATGTGTTTTTAATCAACTTGAAAACTTCAGTTAATAATTGTGTATCTACAAGTTCTTTTTGAGGCTAACGGAAAAATACCACATTCAAAGCGAAAAAATAAAGAAGAAACAATAAACCCGGACTCGAAATATGTTCCTCTATAGGTACTCCTTTCATGAAGTCTTTTTCTGAAACGTGCTAAACTGAGTTTCAAGTTTCAGGTGAAGGCATTTGGATTTAGGTCGGCGCGGCGCTAATCCCATTTCTGGATTTACCCGGCTTACGATGTTGGGTTAACCCGCCGGGTCGGTTTAGCTTTGGGTTCAAATTGACAATGTTGGGTAAATAGAGACACTCGAGTTCTAAGTCGATTATAAGTTTAACTAGTAGATTTGATAACTGTGCCTTAATCTTGATAAAATGTCTTACAATATTTACCTAATTTTTTTACTAGTCTTTATCCCTTTTATCCCTTTAGGTAATCAATCAAATAACAAACTTAGCCAAAATCTCTACCTTTATTTACTTCTGAACAGTAAATTACGTAAGGGGTGAGTCAGACGACACAGATGTTATTTTTATTTGTTCTAGATCTTCTTAGCCTAGGCTAAACTAGGCATTTTAATCTGAGCTATCTAAAAGCGCAACAGTCGCTTGGTTATCTAACCTAGACAGTTTTATCTAGAACAAATCTGCGACCTCAAATAGCCTAACCTGCCTAAATAAGAATAGCTTTCAGCCTCTTGGTATCGACCAATCCCCAGACGGGCTAATTTTGTAAGTCCAAGGTTGAATTATTTATGGGATGCTTTAATTTACTTACAGCACTTTTTATTTGTATTTTGAACGCTGTTGTGTTCAAGTTCGGAGAGCACTTGAAGTATCTTTCATGTAGCACGAGAAAAAAAATGATATTAAAAAAATACTGATATCTTACTAAACATTTTCAGACTCATTATGGAGGTGGACGACGTGTACCTATTATGTATGTATATGCGCTCTGAAAAAACTCACATAACAGTGTACCTACCATGAGTTTACGTTAGGTGTGCTCGCTAGCGAGTACGTCAAAATTCTCTATGAAGATTTTGTTTCTTGAAAGTAGCCGCTAGGGGCGCTGCACAATATGTCATACGATTAATGTCATCTTTTTTACGCAGTCGCTAGCGAGCACACCTAACGTAAACTCATGGTAAGCACACAGTACTCGAACTGCATTCGTATTCACTGATGGAGTTGACTAACGTGATAGTCACTTGTTTTTAAAATTAAATTAACAGGTTTGCCGCCTTTCCACTCTTCTTGATTCCAAGATTCTTGACTTCTTGATTTCCATAAAGTCCGCCACCAACCGGCCAGTGTGGAAATCATTGGGCCTATATTCAGCAGTGGACGTTCTATGACTGAAATGATGATGATGAAAAAGTTTTGACAATTACCTTCTTGCAGCGTTGGCCTGTTCCACTCGTCATCGCTGACTTCAATCGAGAACAGCTCCTCGCCATCCAACACCCCGTCTGGCACGAACAAACTGACGCCACACTTGCTCAAGCCCAGCCACCCCCCTTCAGCAGTCATGATCTTGGACGCTGCTGTCTCCATCTTGGAAGTTTCTAGATGGTGCGAGAACTTGGAGTCGACTGACGCGTTGTTCCGTAGTGACGGGGACATCTCTACACTCTCGTTGCCGTAAGACGAACCCGCTGTAAAAAGGGAATTTTTGAAGTTTGTTACATTGCTATGCTACTAAACAGGCTGTTCCTGTGATAAAAATATTTAAGTTGCTATATGTGTCAACGTCGTCTTTGCTTGCATTACGAAAAATATGATACTGTCAATAAATTGTGCCTTACAAATAAGCAACAGCATAATATCAGACTACATTATAAGATGACATAGAGCTTAGTATGATCTGCCGTCATGTAACTCTTTTTAAACAAGGTTATTTCCAAAGTGCGCTTAGTCTAAGGATTGCGTTGAGAGTTGATTGAGTGAAACAATGCGCTAGTTTCCTTAAAAACTATTTTAGTCCGTCAAATACATTATCAAAAAATATTGGACACGTATATTTTTATTTTTTAATCAAAGAAGTAATTACGAAGTTATGAATATGATGCGTTGAAGTTCCGCGTGACGTCACAAACTTCCATACTTTTAAGTACGCCTTAACGTCACGGGCCTCTTATTTTGAACTTTGGCGCGCTTTATCTCTTTCAATTTTCATTACTTTAAAAAAGTGAAAAATACGTGTCGAGTATTTTTTGATAAGTTAACCGACGGACTAATTCAAACTCTAGCTTTTTTACCCAGGAAAGATCCCTATTGGCTAAAGAAAGCCTTCTTCCAAAGATATAGATTGGTTGAAGCAACACAAAGCATGCAAAGGCTCACAGAAGCAGCAGTGACAGAACTCACAGCTCAAAAAGCAACTCGAGTCGGAGCGGTCTGAGCGGAGCGTGTCCTTGGCGCGCGCGCGGCTGTTTCTTACCTCGTGGTCTATGGGCGAGATGTAGCTGCAAGAGAAGGCATCGATTAAGAAGAATAAGTAAAGATCGATTATAATTTGAAATCCGTTAATCGGTATAACGCCTGTATTAAAACTAGAGAGTATGTAGGATAGGTGCTCGATACGAAAGAATATGAGTACCAGTCAGCGTCAAATCCGTGATACCCAAAGTGGCCAAAAAACTGACAATACAATCTTATTGGAACTTTTTGGCTAATTTGGGTGTCACGAATTATTTGACGCTGACTGTAAAAGGCCTCAGATTTTTAAATAAGTCGAACGAAAGTATGGGGGAAGAATCAATAATTTTCATACAATTTAAAAATTATAAAAATGTAAATCCCATTGTCACATTACTTGGAATAAACCACCCAATTTATGACTAATAAGAGGCTGCAAAATTAATTAAAAATTCAAATAGAAAGAAACTATTCCGAGTTTCCGAGACAAAAGAAAAATGGCAGACATAGTATACCTTGCTCAGTATTCTGGCGTCAAGATAAACATTATGCAAATCTCACGAAAACTCGCGCTATTCACAAACTTTTGCTTTCTTTATTACAGCAGTGTCTCGAAAACCACTGCTTCTATTTAGTAATAACAGCAATGAAGGAAAAATAGGAAAACTTAAAGCCGGAGTTTATAAAACTTTCATTATTCAAAGTGCATTTGAATATTTTACCATCAGGGGCTTCTTTAATAATGCACTTTGCCGTCTTGCTGGGTTCGGGCAGCGTTCATAACAATTATAGTTATTAACATGATAGCTCTATTGCTGGGGGAGTATTTAAAATCACTAAAGTACAACATGGTAGCACTTTCATTTCCAGTAATAAACAAAAGTTTGCCAAATGGGACTAAATTACTTGCGTCACTTTTTTATGTGCTATGGTAAGATTACTAGTCACATATTTGGAAAGTGAATAAGTGTCTTGAGAAATCTACACAAAAGAAGTCAACCCACCCTGGAGTAACTTTCAGATGAAACATAAAATGGTAAAACGGCAAATAACAAATTCTGTCCCAGAAAATACCCAAAGAAATAAAATCAAAGATGGAAAGATAGTGATTTGATTGTGTAATTAAATTACTTACTTTATTCATTAGCATTACCTGATTCTTACCAATAAACTAAAGAGACAAAGCAAATTGTAGCCACTTTCAATTTGCGAGCGCATTCCATAAAGGTCATAGCAGACTTATCAATCCGGAAAGGGATCAACCGTATCGCTTTTCGCGCGCTGTCATGTCATCGCCTTTCGCGTGCTGTCAACCGCGCGTTTACATTACGGTGCGGATAAGTGTGCGTTACAGTACGAAGTTTCATACAAAGAATACTGACCGCCTCGTTGATGGTTGATGCGGTTACGATCCGTTTCCAAGTTGATAAGTGTGTTTCGTCCGTTAATCTCCCTCTAGAAAAGTGTCACGTCTAGTAGTTGGTAGAGAACCGTTCGGGACGTGCGCGACGTACCGATGAGATAAACGTATTAGCTAATTGCACTGCATCTGGTAGCGATAGCAATTAGTATAATAGAACCCTAAATTAGAGGTGTTTTTATAGTTTTTTGAATGAAATAAACTGGGAATTATGCAAAGAAACATGTTTATTTCTTTAGTATGTTGTTTAAATTTAGTTGGTCTAATCTAAACCTGGTGCAGGTTAATCTTATGATAGGACCTACTTACTTAATAAAAATCTGTAGGGAGTCAATCAGTAAAAAAAACACGCCACATTGCTTGCATTGTACTTCTTCTGGGTTGCAGTAAATTAACTCACAACACTGGCAGGTACCTACTCGATTCTGATTTCTCATACTACCTCGTTTTTATTATTACTGACGGGATTGCTACCTTACTTTTGAATTTTCGATATTCCGATACTCAAAATTAAGGCACATGGTAGCAATCCCGTCAGTAATAATAATTATGTTAGTGACTGTTAGTGACCATGAAAGTTTAAAACAATAAGTACCTATACCTACCTCGTTTTTATTTGTTAGGTAAGTAGTTTTCTCGTTCACATTTTCATGCAAAGTCCACACCTCCTCAAATGTATGAAACACTAAACGCACCTGTTAGCCAGTTGAGGCACTTCATACAAATGCTCGTTCCTACTAATATTAGAAGTGTTTGTGTGTCGATGAGTACGTCTGGAGTCGATGGTGTGGAACTCCTCGTGGATGGTCAGGTCTGGTTGGTTTGTGAGGGTCCTCTTTATCACATTTCCGAAGTAATTCGACCCTGTTTGAGGAAAAGAGACTTAAAATCTAACACATTATGAGTACAGTTCTTTTACGTGATTGACATAATTATAAATAGAGGAATATGTGAAAAGAACTTGCCTGAAGGCGGTTTCACGTAAGGAGAGTTTTCAGTCATCTTAAATTTCATATACTTAATTCCCAATATAACAACAACAACAAATATCAGGAATGCAATTGACAATGCTATCAGGAGTGGCCAGTACGACGAACCTGCAAAGAATGGCCGGACTAAAATTTTTGAGATGAGAAAATGATCATTAAGCAGGATATTGGGTTTTGTGATCTCACCGTCGTTGATAAGTGCTGACTTTGATGTTCTCACGCATACGGGACACTGAGCGACCTGGTAATCAGTGCCAGTACAAGGTTTCCGTATGCTGCTAAGGCACCGCCGTCGTCGGGTCTTCAGACAGTCTGTGTCACATTCTGACCACTCCGACCATTGCGACCAGCGATCTGGAAACAAATGACTGATGTAGAAATCCTGATGAAACAATTGATGAATAACTAACCAGGTTAACCACTTTTAAAGCAATATTTACCTAGTAAAATATCCGTGGATTCGTCGGCTAGTCCATCCATACCATCAACGTACATATCTGAAAGAAAGACCTTAGTTAAACAGGTTTTTAAGGTGATGACACCCTGCTCAATTGCAATAAATTCCACTCTTTGCATCTCGCTTATTCACTTGACAATGGTGACATTAGTGAAAATAATGGATATCGCAGTCGTTCTGTTAAGCCTTTGCAATGGTGAATCCCCTATCATAGTCTGTTGCAGCTTATCTGTGGTCTACTCCTGACATAACCAAAGGTTAACTAAATCACAATCCAAGCAGTCCTTAGTCTTCTGCACCTCCTGCCCGCTGCAGGGCTGCCCCCCATGCAGCGGGGGAGGCGCGGTGCAAGACCTCTCCCTCCGCCGGCACTCTCTCCTCTCCCGGTCCTCCTGGCTGATACAATAACTGTCACTCTAACCTTCTGACGCAACCAACAAGTTACCTAAATCACAATCCAAGCAGTCCTTAGTCTTCTGCATCTCTTGGCTGATGCAGTAACAGTGACCTTCTGACGTAACCAACAAGTTACCTAAATCACAATCCAAGCAGTCCTTAGTCTTCTGCAGCTCCTGCCCGCTGCAGGGCTGCCCGCCATGCAGCGGAGGAGGCGCGGTGCAAGACCTCTCCCTCCGCCGGCCTCCTCTCCTCTCCCAGCCCTCCTGATACAATAGCTGTCACTGCAACCTTCTGATGCAACCAACAAGTTACCTAAATCACAATCCAAGCAGTCCTTAGTCTTCTGCACCTCCTGCCCGCTGCAGGGCTGCGCCCCATGCAGCGGGGGAGGCGCGGTGCAAGACCTCTCCCTAAGCCGGCCCCCTCTCCTATCCCAGCCCTCCTGATACAATAGCTGCCACTCTAACCTTCTGATGCAAGCAACAAGTTACCTAAATCACAATCCAAGCAGTCCTTAGTCTTCTGCACCTCCTGCCCGCCATGCAGCGGGGGAGGCGCGGTGCAAGACCTCTCCCTCCGTCGGCCCCCTCTCCTCTCCCGATCCTCCTGACTGATACAATAGCTGTCACTCTAACCTTTTGATGTAACCAACAAGTTACCTAAATCACAATCCAAGCAGTCCTTAGTCTTCTGCACCTCCTGCCCGCTGCAGGGCTGCCCCCCATGCAGCGGGGGAGGCGCGGTGCAAGACCTCTCCCTCCGTCGCCCCCCTCTCCTCTCGCGGCCCTCCTGGCTGATGCAGTAGCAGTCACTCCAGCCTGACCAGGACGTCCATCCTCCGTTTACTGTTGGGGATTAGAAAAGCGAATGTGTTAAAGCCATAATTTTATTATTTTAAGAAGTTCTTGGTAGTTAGGTCTGGTCAAGTAAGTAGGTAAATGCAAATCTTAAGATTTACATTGATTATCCCTGATAAAACGATTAATATGTATGTATAGTGAAAAACCATCTACAAATATCTGAATGTAATAATAAAGTAGGTACAAAAATATTACGGTTTATTTGGGATCCAAAATCACTAAATACGGAACAAGTTTTGCGGTGTTGTGCTTCTAAGTAGAATAAGGTAATGCATTCTTTAGAAAATAATAACGGATTAGAACGTGTAAGCACCTACATACGTACGTGAGAATATTAACGAATTATTTTTATTTGACAAAGGTTTATGAAGTTCAAACGAAGTCCCTTACATCTCTAACACAAAATAGAAACGAACAACGAAAAGCAGCGTCTTAAGACAATTTGTAGTTCTTAAAGTAGTTACTGTCAGTCAGCTCTGAGCTTAAGCACTCTTAACGACTTGGAACATAACAGTTCAACTCACCGATAACTTTTAACTGGGCTGGCTCCGATATTCTTTTTCCCGCCAAGTTTTCTGCCACACATGTGTAGTTCGCCATGTCCTAGAAAACACTGTGTATTATTTGAAGTATTTAATAAAGATTGAATTAACGATATGGTTGACTGAGTTGCTCATTATTGTAAGGTGTAGTAGAGTCTATATTAGGACGTGTAAAAAAGTTTTTGTAAGGCCAAATATTGTTTAATAATTACGTTTTATAAACAAAGTTATTAATATTGAACACTTCATATTGCTTATCACTTCACAGTAAAAAGAAAAACTATTATACTGTATTTTCAAAATAGTTAAATCATGTTTAATTTACGTAGTAGGTATCACGTATATTTTCTACGCGCAATATTAACGTTTCATCTGCATAATTAGCATATTATTTCCACGTTAAATTTTAATTATAATCAAAAGTATTATTCTCGAAATAAATCTATAATTTCACTTACCACCAAAGAAACCTGCTTGATTACCAAATACCCCTCCTTGGTCAACTGCACGTTATCATCTGCCACCACCGGGGCGCCATTCTTCAGCCAGTACAGTTGGGCAAACGGCGCCGCCGGGGGTGGCTCGCAGCGAAAGGTGGCGGTTGCGTACTGCTTTATCAGTTGGGTTTGGGGGGCGATTGGGAAGTGCTTCTTTATGTCTGAAAGTGTGGATTGAATTAGCAATGTTCATCATTATCAACAAGGCATTTGGTCTGCATTGCAGAAGGACAACCTCCTCTAAGTTACCACCAAAGTTAGGTGGCAGTGGACGGGGTGCATATCTCATAGAACTGGGGGCTTAGTGTGAGTTTACATAAAACGTCATCACTAGTAAAAATATATGAAAATTGTGAAAAAAAGTGGACCGACGATCTGGTGATGGTCGCGGGCAGTACCTGAATGTGGATACGAATCTTGGGTGAGGACTTTATAGTTACAACAATGGACGTCTTATGGTTTAACGAACGCGTATCAACGATTAATTAATTTCTAGAGCACGACTTCTCTTACAAAACTTATCAAGAGAAGTTACTCTGTCGCAACAACGTCTATACATATAATAAGAAGTATTCACTGTTAAGTGGAAAATTATTTTCAAGATAAAATAAACTTTATCATTACCAGCAACAAGATGGCAAATGAAACAGTTTCTTAGATGTAGAAATTTTCGTAAAAATATGATTTCCAGTTCCAACTAATTGTAGCTAAGTTCTTTAAAACTCAGCAGTTGCCATGAATAGGATATTTAGAAATAATATTTTTTAGTTACTAAAAAGCACTTGTTACAACTACAGACAAATAAATTGTAAATTAGAAAAAAAACGTCTTTTGCTTTCATTATAAACTAGTTAGTTTTAATTTTCCCTCGATGGTTTCATAGATTTTAGACGGCCTAGTCTCTTGCGATTGACAGTCAAATGCGATAAAGTTAACTGGAAATTGACGCGAGATAACGTTTGGCCGTATTCTGTTGAAAGCAATATTATTCTGATATCACTTTGAACCTTTGATAGAATAAACCTTTGGCAATACGGATGCGATGTGACAAAACACCCGCTTCGGTGAATAGAGATAGCAGCTTGGATTCAACGTATGCTAAAGGTTATTCAGAATATACGGGACTAATCCCACCTCTCTGTCCCATCACTGCAACTCTTGTATAGCCAGGATCTACAGCTTGGCCTTAAATTAAGAAGCCCAACCTATGAATATTGACTAGTCCCGGAGGATAGCTAACTTTCTTGGAACCCGCAAAATTTTTTTATCGTTTAAGTTACGGTCAAAGTTAAGTGGTGCAACTCAGCTTTAGACTTTAAGCAACTTTGATAATGCGCCACTTTTATGAAGTAAGTAATAAGTACCTAAATTTACATTATAGTAATGCCAAATTACTTTAAAAAAATCATTCTATACATTACATACGGAACCCAAAAGGAAATAATTGATTTTTTCCTCATTTCACCAGCATGTTTAGTTAAGTAACGAAAAAATTTCAAACTTTATTACACAATCAGACTCTTTGTAAAGTGGAAGGGTTACTAACAATAAATAAGCAAAATTACCATCAAAAAGACTTACTTACAGGCTAGTTCTATAGTCGCGGGCTGGCTCCGAATATGCCCTCTGCTCGTCCAAGCAAAGCACGAGCACTGATAGTTCTCGCTACCAAAGTACTCATCGACGTTTTCCCTTGTCACTTTGTACTCCCCCTCTATAATTCGCACCCCCGTTTGCGGATCGACGAATTCAGAGTTGACAGCCTCTGTCTTCACGCCATTGCATTTGAAATATACCTACGGAGATTTGTTACGAGTTATGGTTATGGTTATACAAGTCAAAAGTTATGCCCCTTTGTGGCAAATGAACAAGCGTTTTGAGGGTGGATGTTATTGATTGGTACTTAATTAAAAGATATCTTGGAAGTCAATGTCGTCATTAATTGATCCTTGAAACCGATGTAATTGTTTAATCGTCTAGTAATTAGACTGTTACCTTTAATAAGGTACGAGTACTTAATTGCTGTCTCATTGATATTAGCTACTATAAATAAGATATTGAAACTTGAAACTTTGATTATTGGTCGTTAACTCGTTCCCGGTTCTTTAAAGATCGTGAGAACGATTTTTTCCTGCCTGGCCAAAGGTTAACTTGCAGAGAATTCCCAATGGCATTAGCTTTCCCTTATGTACCAACTCATAGGTATGGCTATAATACTTAAATAAATAAATAGGTATACCTATTTATGATTTTAGCAACAACATCCTCCCGTTACAAACTTACATACATACATCCTCCTGATACATACGGCTTAAAATGCCATTAAAACTTTTATAACTCCATAATAGAATCTGTAACTTACTTCCAAAGCATTGGCGGCTCTACACTTCAACGTCGCTGGTTTATTCCTGACGACATAAGTATTTTCGGGCTCCAACAAAAATATCGGTAAATTATCTGTAGTAGTATGAAGAGGGATTTTATCATCTATGGGAATGACGTCATGGTCGTTTCTTTGTGTGACTAAATCAGGGGAGTCTTTATAGTTTAGTTCTTTGTCGTAATAATCTAAGTAGGTTGTGTCATCGTCACCATCATCTTCTTCAACCTCCTCGTTGTGAGGGAAAACCGGTAGCAAATAGTCGTGTGCGTCATTCTTATGATGATTCACGAGGAACTCGAGCGGTTTAGAATCGAGCCCTTTTAGGTTGGTTTCTATGTTATCTTCTGTGTGTGAACCTACAAAGAATTATTGCGATAGATACAGATCGAAAAAATTGGTAAAAATTTCATTGGTAACTAACTACAGGTTATTTTTTCTAAAGTTAATGATAAGTAAAATTGTGGCTAGAGTTAATATTTATTACATTCACCTGTAACATGTAAATTGTAAACAAAGCTATAGTTTCCAAGTAAGAACTTTTGCTTATGTAATACAGATATTTTATAGTAAGTTAAAAGCAGTAAATTTTACAGCCGGCTCGTAACCACAACTCATGCGGCCTGAATAGTCGGTAAACAATGAATTTATGTGTAAGTATTATAAAAACAACTGGGTACAACATGCAACCCTGCAATAAGATTCAAAAATATATCTTCATGGTAATTAAGAAATTGATGACAAACAAAAATTTAAAAAGTTTGTTCTTAGAGATCTATTCAAAGTTCTGTTAAAATATTGCAACACATAAATTTGTTAAACTAGATAAACATAGTGTCACAAAAGTTGAATAAAACTAAAACATTTGAAGCTATTGGCTGTAAATAAACATTAACTTAATAAACTATCACTTTACCTATACGAAATATACCTTAACACTCGTTATGTCAACAATAAATACCTAGTTAAAAGATAATAATTTGTTTAAAAATACTCCTTACCTTTTACAGTTTTTTCTCCTCTCGTCTGAAAAGCCAGGTGCAGTTGTACCAAAAAGAAGAAACTCCAAAAATTCACTTCCATTTATAACTTTTTCCAAGATTTTTAAAATATCAACATACGCATCGGAATCATTGCGTTCCATTACTACATTCACTATTTTTAATTTAAATTAATTCTTCCAAAGCTACATCACGTTTTGAATCAACAAAAGTTCACTACAGAATCATTAAGTTCGTTCTACATTAAACACAGCACTTTCCCAAATCAAAATTATTTTGTCGCACTATCGTAAAAGTTTTTCCGTTCGCGCTGGGACAGGGTGAGGTGTAGTCCCGGCGACAACTGAACGTCTACTAGGACTCTAGGGGATGAATGAAAACGTCCCGAACCGGGCATCCCCTCTGCGCATGTCAGGAATTTACCAACTTCTTAGGCAAACTTTTGATGGCGCTTTGGTGGCAATTGGTTTAAAGTATCTCGAATGTTGAGGCTTTTTGAGAGTGATTAAAGGGTGAGTTAGTCTAGTGGTAGAGTAACTTGTGTATTTGGAAACTTAACATGTTGATCATGATTTTATTATGATTACGAATACCTACTGGTTACTATCTGTACAGTACGTTTTACACAAGAGTAACTAATACAGTGTGAGTCACGTTAAAGTGTATATATGAAAATATATGAAACTAGACCTATTTTTATCGACAAATAAGAGGTCAAATTTTTTTTGAGATTTTTTTTTATTTTTTTATAGAATTTTTTTTCTTCCAATTACTTATTGTAAAGAAAACGTAATAACTTTTAAACTAAGCGGTATGTCCTGATAAAATAAAAACAGAAATAATGCTAAATAACAGGCGATACTAAAAAAATACATAAACAACACAAAAATGCCAACAAATAATAAAAAATGATACTTTTTGAAAAAAAAAACTGCTTTTAAATTCGTGTTTTTTTGGTTATTTGATAAATTTCTCCAAAAAATGCCCCAATAACAGGTGGTTTTTATTACTTTGTATTATTTTCTATCGTATTATCTTTGTAAAACCGAAAATCGCATGGCTCTATCCCTATCACAACATTTACTATGATCGTTTGAACAAAGGCCTGCCACAACATTATTCTCCTTTATACAATTTAGGTAGAGACAATTTTAATTTTAACTAAAATGCTTATTTTACTTCGAAATCTTTTGTTTTTATTTGAAATCTAACTTGACTTTATCAAAATTACAAATCTAGAGCCATTTTCAGTTTCGTTGTTAACGAAGCGTTGAATGGCGCGCCCGGAGAGGCTTAGTTCAAACGATCATTGCAAACGTTGTGATAGGGATAGAGACATGCGATTTTTGGTTTTACGAAGGTAATACGATAGGAAATAATACAAAGTAATAAAAACCACCGGTTATAGGGGCATTTTTTGGAGAAATTTATCAAATAACCAAAAAAACACGAATTTAAAAGCAGATTTTTTTCAAAAAGTAACATTTTTTATAATTTGTTGGCCTTTTTTTGTGTATTTTATGTATTTTTTTAGTATTGCCTGTTATTTAGCATTATTACTGTTTTTATTTTATCAAATATACCGCTTAGTTTAAAAGTTATTACGTTTTCTTTACAATAAGTAATTGGAAGAAAAAAAATTCTTTAAAAAATAAAAAATAAATCTCAAAAAAATTTTGACTTCTTTTTTGTCGACAAAAATAGATCTAGTTTCATCTATTTTCATATGTACACTTTAACGTGACTCACACTGTATAGTGTTAGCTAGTGGAAAGTACGCAGAATATTGATTGTGTAAATTGTACAGGTGGTTTATGTATAACCTTACTTTCACCTGAAAGTGTGTGTAGGTAAATAAAACTTCTGAATTCATCAAAATAATGTATAATTATTTGGGTAATTAGAGAAAAAGAAAACATTTTTAAAACAAATAAATTTAATAACTAAAAATATTAAAAAATATTGGTTTCTTCATGCGCCGGTAAAGATGCCTGCAAACCCAGCCTCGTCGTTTAGTTTTATGAAGAACAAAAATGGATGGTTAACCAGGCATTTTATTGGTTCTGCTATACTTAATTTACTTGTGATTAGAGCTGAAAAAAGTAATCACTGTAGTCATTCGAAGATGAACTAGATAAAAACTTTCAACTTCGAATTGTTTGGGTATTCGATTCACCATCAAAAGGTTTAGAATGAAAACTTAAACAGCGCCCTGTGAACGTGACGTAAAGTGAACTTTGTATGAGAAATGGTAGCACGAAACTAATTTTGACAATCGATCGCCACGTTATCGTTGAATTCGAAAGCTGGGTATGGAATTTTGTCGAATACGCAAACGATTCGAAGTCGAAAGTTTTATGCTAGAGGTACTAGATGAGCACAAAACGCGACTCTCCATAGAATTTTGTATGACAAAGGGCTCATCAAGTCGTGAACTCAATTGCCCGTCAATTTATTGATTTCAAAGCTACTAAAAATCTAATTTTATAAGTCGCCAATTGAAAACTAACTCGGACTAAAATGAAACGTTTTTTTAAAGTTGTGTAGTACCCCATTATTAAGTTAAATAGATATGGGGCTAGAGTCTATTAAAATAAACGATGAAAGGCTTGGAAAAATTAGAACGTGGTGCGATATTTGACGTTGGTTCTTGGTCTGTCGAGTACTTTAAAAGGGCCGTTATTAATTCTCAAATTGAATTATTCTCATTCCAAACTTCGCTAAAACCTTGCTAACATTGCGAACTTCGCAGTCCTACTTAAGCTCGGTAAAATATTAACGTGGAAACTTTAATAAATGGCCTTCATTTTAAGACTCCACTGAAATCTTAACGTTACGTATTAATTAATGTCTGTTTTATTTAAAGAAATTAATAGCTCTTGATTTTAGTTCTATTTAATTTTGTTGACACGTAATTTTTTTAATAAAAAACTTTCATGTGAGATCTCAAGTTACGTTAGTTAAAAATTACAATTTAAGCAAAGTACTTCTAAAATAGGGAAACACGAGTCTCAACGTGATATTTTTATATGAGTTTCAAGGTAACTGTTATAGTTTTTAGTTGAAATGGAACGCGAAAGTTTAAAATCTTATAAAGTACTAAACAATTACTTTAATCGTTGGTGAAGATCCCTGCAAACAACTGTTCTTCGTCTCTTTTTATATAAAACAAGAAAGGGTGATCAGCCTTGAAATCATCCTCTTCCAATAAAGACTCCGCTACCATATGGATCGCTGAAACCATGATTGATAAATAGGTTTCAATCTTTTCGCAGGAGAACCAAAGTGACTGACATAGCCCGCAGAATCGCTAAAATCAAGTGGCAGTGGGCGGGGCACATAGCTCGTAGAGCTGATGGCCGCTGGGGCAGAAAAGTTCTCGAGTGGCGACCACGAGCCGGAAGACGTAGGGTGGACAGGCCTCCCACTAGATGGACTGACAATCTGGTGAAGGTAGCGGGAGGTGCCTGGATGCGGATGGTGCAGGACCGGTCTTTGTGGAAAACCTTGGGGGAGGCCTTTGTCCAGCAGTGGACGTCTTTCGGCTGAAACGAACGAGATTTCAATCTTACTTTAAACATTGGTAAAGATCCCCGTGAACAATTGTTCTTCATTTATCTTTATGTAAAACAGAAATGGCCGGTCAGCTTTGACACTGATGAGTCGTTCCTGCAATGACGTTGGTTTAATTTGGAACGCTGAAACCGATTATGGCTATTTCTCATCGCCACGGTTCTCATCGTCACCTTCGTGGCGAATTTTATTTCTAACTTATTTCAACTTTTTGTAAACAAAAATTGTAGCGCTTGATGTGAAGATTGTATTCTCAGTAAATCAGTCAAATAGTGAGTCTCGTTTGGAAACTTTAACGTTTTGAATTTTTTGATGCCACGAAAGTGATTCTGTACTTCACAGCAATATTTTTTTCAAACTTTACTACTGTAAATGACTCTTAAGTATTTATAAAACATATATTTTGTCTTATTTTCATAGATAAATAGCAATAACATAATATAAATATATCTCACCTCCCCAATGGTAGAAGCGCGACTGACGTTAATGGAATAGAACGCTGTGATTGGTTGCTGGTGTTCGGTTTAACGGCAATGTTGTATTATTACTCAAAATTTTAGGTACCTAAAATCGTGTGACCAACGTATTTCGCTTTCGCAATTCAAAATAATTATAAAAAGATATTTTTTTGATTATTGTGTGGAAAGTATATTTAATTACGATGATTTTAGTATATGCTACACACAAATTGAATGAAAATTGTGAATGCAGTAACCAAATGTTTCATTGCAACCGAAGGTGTGACACGATGAGAACGCAAAAAATGACCCCGTTTTTTATCGTTTCATGTGATTTTTTCATTTTATTTTTGCTTCTATTACGATAAAATTTATTTTTTATGTAGCTAAATAGATATTTTATCATCTGATTTCAAAGTTATTGTTCTAACTTAAACCGTTTATGAACTATTATTGTGTGACCATCAAATTTGAGTGTAAATGAGAAGTACCCTTATAAATAAATTTTAATGTTTGTTTTTGATGATATAATTGTTATTCTTATAGTAACCAAAAATACACAAAAAAGGTATAGTCCGGCATCGGCAATTTTATAGGTAGAGAAACGGCCTATTTTTATTATTATGTACCTAAACTTTGGACGATACTAAACTGTGTGAGAGGTGGGGCTTATCTTAGTTAGGCATCATTTATTTACTTATCCATGTATTTAAAATATTTACCAGAAGCTGCCGCAGCCTCGGAACCTTTCTCGTTGACTTCTATAAAACACTTTTGCACGGCCTTGGAAACCATAACAGTTTGGTTGTGAACTATTTGCGACAACCCTGAGTTCCGGTTGGAGAATATGTGCTTGACGCCTATCTAGAAATGGAGTTACTGGTTAATATTAAGAACAATGGTACTATTTGGACAACCGTGTTGATAGAATGCCATCTGTCTCTTTCCTGCTTCCAAGGATTATTGAGGAAGTCATATAGAGACGGTTATATCCAAAAACTTTTGCAGAGTGGAGTTTTACAAGCATTTTTTGTAATCACCAACAAAAGTGACTGTAAACTACAGATAATATTACCGTATATTACTAATTTACAAGAGCTGCTTGTGAACAAACTATAGTATTTTTAAACGTTTTAATTAATTTAAGTATCTAAATAAACAAATCAAGCCACCAATGCATGGTTGAATCCCACTGGCCGTCGTTGTGTTACTGTGATGTGATGACTATAGTGCAAAACACTTTATGTATCTTCTCCATGTCTATTAAAGAGTCTAAGTCCCGTTTTCACCATCAATCCCTATTTTATAAGTAACCCCTATTGTAACACATAACAGGAATTTTGTTTTCAAGGGTCACTTAAAAATTAGGGTTTGATGATGAAAACGGGCAAAGTCCTTACCTTCTCGTACAAAGCTTGGAGATCCAAGCTCGTCTCTATCCTGAACTTAGGCATGGTAAGATTGACTCGGAGCATATTCATCTTGGAAATGGCGTCGTTGAGCAGGCCTGGTGCCAACTTTAACTGCCTTAAGAGAAGGGTCAGGCCCTTCTGTGCCACGGGAAGCACTATGACGAACGACGCATTCTCTCCTTCGTATGGTAATTCTATTATCTGAATTAGAATGTAGTGTTATAAATACGAGAAACAAAAGACGATATTTATTTATAATTATTATCTTCTTCTTCATCAGTTTATTTAGGCGATTATCGCACTGCGCCGCGCTCCGCCGCGGTACGCGAGACGACAGACTAAATCATTGTATGCAAGTACCTCAGTTTGTATAGAACACACTGACAACGTGTCTGCGCGCGGGATTTTTTATATGAAATCACGCGGACCGCGGCGGAGCGCGGCGCAGTGTGATAATCGCCTTAGTCTCCTCCACAGGAGCATGTCCATATTCTCTATCTCTAATTTACCAGAAGCTAATGAAGGATTTGGCCTTCAATCCCTAGATTTGACCTAGACGGGTTGGAGAAACCTGATGTTTGGTGGTGATGATGATGTTAAATAATATCTCTATCACAATAAAGTATCGTATTCGTTTGTTCAATTCGTCAAGTAGAATACCAAAGATGATTTATTTTATTAGTCCTTAGTATTTTAAATTTGACTACCTTGCTTCTTAATTAGCTCCTTAAAGCTTAAAATATTTTCATGATCTCATAAGGATCTTATATTTTTCCTCTAAGATCTTCAACTAAAAATATGTATAATCAAGTTACATAGCAAATTAGGCCTTGAGCCCAGTAGGCTAGCTAATGAGGGTAGACGTTATTGGATTGCGCTTCATTTGGGCTACAATCTGATTCGATCTTATCCTCCTGATGTAATGATTAGATTATGAAAAATGTAGCAATTTGCTTCTCTCAGATTAGGCTGTACTTCCTAAGACTTTAGTAGTAACAGGCGTAGAAGTAATATGGTTTTGGCGGTTTTTATAGCAATACTTATTTACAAAGATTTTGTTCATTTTGTACTGTGCTTACCTGGGCATCCAGAACAGTGTTTTTAGTATATTTATAATTTCCTACACGCCTCATCATGGGCAGTTTCCTTTCACCGTAGGGCGAATGGAAGGAATCTACTGTGACTTCTTTAAAAGGAAATTTCCAATGACCCTGAAAGAAATAATAATAATAGTTGGCAGTTCGTACTTTGATCACCTCTAGTGATCTCTCTTCCTCTGTATGATTTGAGACTGATCCGAATCAGCGGTGCACGGTAAAACCAAAACATTTTGTGACATCATCAACAATTAGGCTGGTTAGTGTCACGCGGACTGTCAGTGCGGATCGCTCCGCACAGCCGATTTGTATGAACTGCTAGGGAGCGGAGCGGTACCTCCGGACGGCATTACTCTAAAACGCTCCCTAGAAGTTCATACAGATTGGCCGTGCGGAGCGGGTCCGCACCGGACGGTCCGCGTGACTCTAAAACCAGCCTTATTATTCGTAAATATTTAAAAATGTTATGTTACTCGTTTTAAATAAATTAAGCATCAATTTTAAAGTATAGTTATAAGTCATCTCTACGAGTTCAGCACAATACTATGTACCTAATTAGTTACTTACCAAGAAATAAATAGCGTTAACAATTACGAGGGACGTGTCGGCAGATATATCTGCCGGTGTAAGAATTTCTGAGATCCGGCCCTTGGTGTTTTCATATACCTAGAAAGGTAACATCAGATTGTAGTTTAATGCCCGTTTTCACCATCAATCCCTAATTTTTAAGTGACCCCTATGGTAACACATAACAGGAATTTTGTTTTCATAGGGATCACTTAAAAATTAGAGCTTGATGAATGAAACCGAATGATTTTAAGTGCTGGATTCATCAACATTGATTATTTCAGCCACAATGACCGAATTAGAAAACAACGCCAAATACTCAAACTAAGCAAGTTTTTTAAGTAAACTTTTGTAGAGTTAAAATATTTGGAAAAATCGAATCGCCTAAGATGGGAATCGAACCCACGACCTTTTTCGCTTGCGGGGTGACTGCTTTCACCATCTGAGTTACTGAGATATGGAAATGGTTCGATTCCAACGACCATTTTTAAGTCATTTTGAAACACAGAATTTTTTAATTGGTCAGACTATGATACTGGAAACCATTTATTTAACACAAATTTTAAGATTTGGAGTGACGCGAAATACTGCAAAGACATTTTAAAGCGCAGAAAGTAAACATGGTATTTACATTTTCAGCATCCTTCTATCAAATTTTGGTTTTGAATTCAGGAAGAGGTCCGGATTTAGGCCTGCTCCAGTAATATTAAAAGGGCTTCATAAATAAATTTGCATTTTCATTAAAGGAATATTAATTCCGCGAGTCGCTTTCTGTTTTGATGTAAGTCTCGCCGATCGTAATTTTACATAATATTCAATTTGAGTATCTCATCAACCGGGAGCTAGATACCGATTTAGGTAATAATTATGCATTTTAAATTTCAGATCTAAGGGTTTAATTTACGAACATTTTACTGAATAACAAATATCGTTATCTCCAATTATAATGTAAGATGACTTTACGCTGCTCATGCTCAGCTACGGTTTCGCTACGGCAAATATTGTTACACCTTAGTCGTTGTACAGGACTTAACTTTCGTAGTATGGGACATGCTACGAGATTACGATCGTAGCGTGTGCCGTACTACGAAACTTATAAGTCCAGTGATTTAGTAGCAGTTAGTGTGTGTGTTGTAGTACTAAAATTTAAATTAACACCCAAATCGCTCATTCTCTCAGCTCAAGAGACTGAGAGATACTGTAACCTGTAATTTTTCGAACGAATCACTTGTGAAGGGCATATACGTCACACAATGGCATGTTCTATATAGTCTCATCTAGGAATATGTTTTAAATTGAAACGTACCTAAAAGTATAGTTACTTACCATGTTATTAATATGAGCCGCCGCCGCCTTGGGTTTATGAAAATCTACTTTCTGTACCGATGATTTGAATACTGAGTACGTATCATCGCTGTATTTTCTAATCAATTTCACATTTTTAGATACGAAGAGAGTGCTTGCGATTGATAGAGTCACTCCTGGGAGGTAGTTGAGGGTTTTGATGATGGCTCGAAGGCGCCGCTTCACCTTAAAATCAAAGAAATCAATTTTTTTTTGATAGTGGTCTTCCTCCTTACCTTTTTTGGTTAGAGACTATTTTCAACGATTTTTTTTCAGCAGCACAAAGCAGGTATCTATATTTTTGGACTCTTAAAGGATCTCAATCGTTGTATCTTCACAGCAAAGTTCAAATTGATGTGGGCACTATAGCCACCAAAGTCTGGTTAAAGAGCTTCAAAATGTTCTTCTGTCTATCTAGGTATACCTTCTTTTTGTCGTGTTGACAAAAACCTATACAGTGTCAACCTAAAACTCCGCTACAAGAGTCATCGTCAGTAGCATTTATTAAATATTCCTGCGTGCAGTTGTTCATGTGCTTCATCTTGTGGCGTTCGGAAATAAGTGATTTCCGAACGCACATTTACTCTAGGCATAGACAAGTGCTTTTTAATCTGTGGTTTGGCAACAAAACTTTTCACTTGTCAGACAGAGGCCTCAACTTTTTACCGCGCGCATCGCGATTATAATTTGTCTTTAAATAATGTGAAATGTACATAGTTCATGTAGTGTTAACTGTGTGTGCTACTTTATTATCATTGTACCCACGCCTGATTCTGCGCAAAGTGCGTCAATACACGCAGTTCTTTGTCAAAACGACTACGGAGTTTCATTCCGGCATGGGAGACGCCGACTCACCAAAGCCTCCCAAAATCTACTATACCTACACAATACTTGCCTTTATCTTACGGTACCCGATAGCGTTCAGCAGCTCGGTCCGGCTGGCGCCCCTGCTGGTGCCGAGTACCAGCTTGCCCAGCGGCAGCAGCGCCGATAAGGGGGAGCAGATGAGGTTGCGATTCGGGTCTGCTAGTGCTGCGTGCTGTTGTTGGAAATTCTTACTTAAATTATTTGTTGTAAGGCCCATTTTCCTCGAAAAGAGGAGAGTTACGCCCGTACTCACAAACGTGTTTGCTTTAGTGACGCAGCAAATTAAACACGTTGAATAGAACTCTGTGATTGGTTCATGTGTCACCCTGTGCGTCCACGCGCACTGTAAGACCTCATAGTAATGTTTGTGAATACGGGCGAGAGATGTGTATGTGACCGGCATCAAAATAACGGCGTAAAGTTATTTTTTTTATTTGCCTGCTCTATCCAAAGACGCTTCTTTCTTCAACAAAGTGTTTAACTAGCTAGTATTTATTTTGTGTTACTGTTAATACACTAGATATGCAATTAATAAAAGTTGCTTAACATTTCAGTTCAGCACAAGCTGATAGAGGTCTCTGGCTCTACTGCTTACTGTCGCTATACAATTCCTACGTACTTAGGCACAAAAGGCGCAGGCAACCGACTTTTAGTTGGGCGTTAGTTGGGTCGGGCTGTTAATAAGTACGGACAATAAGTATAAAAGTGCGCACTTACTCCAATTTGGTATCGCCGATTCTTCTGCATACAAATTAAAATCGGACCCAACTATCGGCCAACTAAACGTCGGTGGTTTGCGCCTAGGCTAAAACAATTTAGTGTATAAAAAATATTACCAAAGCAAAAGACTGTCGTAAAGTGCCATTCAAATTAAACGGCACCGTGCCGCGGTAAAATGACTCAATCCAATTCCTATCTTCTGCTGACACACTGTTATCTTCTACAGAATCCCAATAATCATCTTCATGTCTTAGTTTCCTTGCTGTTATAACCGCTAGTGATGTAATGAAAACTAAAAAAGAAAGTGGAAAATATTAAGTTACTTGAAATTTTATGACGTTGGCCATAAGTTTCATAAAGTACTTACCCAAAACTTACAAATAACTTTTTAGTTAACAACTATAGTGTGGAATTTCAATCCTTGGCATCCTTTTAAAACAAAACTCTACTCTTGATACACTCTACGCACTTATTACATCATCTTATCTTATTAAAATATTTAAATGAAGAAAAAGAGAGATCCATGGAAACTGTTACATTAAAAAATACCTTTCATGTTTTAGTATTTAATGCTATTTGAAGCCTTTAATAAAATGTAAACTTGCCTCCCGACAGCAATTAAGAAGAGTATGTACTTACGAACAATGCGCTTCATGGTTAAATTAATTAAAATTATTGAAAATATTTTCGCGCCGAAATTAAAAAAAACTTTATTCAACAGCCAGACACTTGTAACAAAAAAATGTTAAACAACTTTTTAATTGAATTTTCATGTTAATCGATCGCGTACAGCATAGTAAATTGATTTTATCTTCATTTCATCCTGTCTATTATGTAGTAGGTAAACTATCTAATGAATTAACGCAGCTAACATACTTAGCTTTATGCGCTGCTCCATTAAAAATCGGCTTCTTCAAATCAAAACCTTGGTAATTCTGTTAATTTGGGGTAACTTTATTTTTAATTACGCATTACAAAGCAATAACGTTTCAAAGTACCTGAAGTTTCAAAAATTCGGTGCAGTCCTGTTGTCCCCCCTGCTTGGCCCCCCTGGGGGAGCCAACAGGATTTCGAAATCCTGTTGTCCCCCCTGGCTAGGGGAGACAGCAGGACTTGATTTTTAATCAATGATTTGAGGACTGTTGTCCCCCCTGGCAAACATTATTAAAAAGCCATATATTTTTATAACATTAAGAAGGACTAGAGTACCTGAATGAAAGCCAAATTGTCAAACTGAATACCTATTGAGGTAATTATTTTGCTGTGCAATCAGTATTTTAGCTTAGAATTCGGATTTTTTTAGTATGCAAAAAGATGATTTTATCTAGACGTTTGTCAAATAATAATTATTATTAACATTTTGATAACGAAAATATATAAGTTCTTGGTACCGCTTCATAGCGATAAGACCGCCTAATTGTACCTTATGTGTTCCTTTTCTTTCTGTTTCTTTTTATGTGGTGTACAATAAAGAGTATTTATTATTATCTCTTTATTCAATTTCCTTCTTATTTTTAATATTTTTTTTACAATGTAAATTCTGTACCCCCAGTGAAAAGGGAGCTAAGTCGAAAATGGTGATTTTTGGGAAATCGCATTTGAAGTTAAAAAAAATCCTGCTTCGTCGCTATTAGAGATAACTGGGTGAAATATTTTATAGGTGAAAGGTAATATTAGATATGATTAGGCAGTGTGCCAGTTTGGGAAATATAGCATGTGGTTTTTTCGTAATTAAATAAAAACCTAGTTATATCACCATGCACGACAACTTTACATTCGTGTAAAGTGATATAATGGGACATAAATCATTTTACACCAGACTGAATTGACCACTCGCTAACAAGTGTAAAGTGATACATTTTACGCCATTTCTGTTGATATTTTTTTGTTTCTTCAATTTTAGAAAAAGTTGTAAAACAAACATAAGTAATTACACTATGAGGAATCATTATTTCAGGTCATTTAGGGTAAATAGTCCAAAAAAAATTACTTATATCAATAAACACCAATTTTGTGGTGAGAAATAAAATGTGTAAACTGATCTAACTTACATAATAGTGATCTAAGTATCCTAATAATTTTGTGTAAAGTGATATAAGTGGCGACTGTAAAGGAATAAGGCTAGAATTTGAGACTGAATTCTAATTATTTGCTCCTTAAATGTTTATTCTGATCTGAAACTCTACCGATATACCTAACGATTCTGACATACCAAGATACTTATAGGTCTCAGTTTCGGAGAGAGATTTGAGTGTCATTGTCTCAGAAAGTTGTAAATTCGGAGAATTCACAACTTTTCCCCGCTCTACATGTAAGACCGCACACTTGTCTACACCGAACTCCATCCTGATGGCGTTGCTAAATACCTGTGTGGTTTTTAGCAACTTCACCAGGTCTTGTCGTTTTGGTGCAAACAACTTGAGATCATCCATGTAGAGCAGGTGACTAATGACCTCACCCCCTCTTCGAAGCCGATAACCAAGCCCTGAATCCTTTAACAGAGTGCTAAGAGGATTCAGTGCTAGGCAGAACCATAAGGGACTCAAACTGTCACCCTGGAAAATGCCTCGCTCAATCCTTATGAAGTTCAATGGATCAGGAGACCTCTCACCACCACCTGGCTGCCGAAGGACTGTAGTCCACTGCCCCATGCATGAGCGTAAAAAGGATCTCAGAGTTGCATCAACCTTATACAACTCCAAAATCCTCTCCAGCCATGAATGAGGCACCGAATCATAGGCCTTCTTATAGTCAATCCAGGCAGCAGAGAGAGCTTTCCTGCTCCGCCGAACTTGTTGGCTAATGGTCATGTCTATGAGGAGGAGTTTTTTATTACCACGAGACCCAACCTTACATCCATTCTGAGCAGGGGCCAAAATATTGTTCGCGACAATATGTGTGTTAATTTTTGTGGTCAGAATAGATGTAAGGAGTCAGAATAGATGTAATATCTAATATCTTTATTATTATTATTATTACCGGTACTTACTATTTCTGAATATTCCAAAATCTGCTTTACTTGCTTTTAACAGATCGTTATGAATTATCCCTACTAAATAATATTATGCGAAAGTAACTTTATCTGCCTGTTTGTTACGAATTCACGCCTTAACCATTGAACCGATTTTGATATTTGGTTATGAGATAGTTTTGAGTCCTGGAAAAGGAATCAGTACAGTTTTTGAAACAGGGATGCACTCTATATTTTTTTCTGTGACAGATAAAATTTTACGCGGACAAAGCCGTAGGCAAAAGCTAAGTAGGTACCCTCAGATCATAGAATGGATGATCTTCTATGATCTGAGTAAGTAGGTACCTCTATTATGCTATTCTCATGTATAAAAAATATTATCTACTGTAAAGTTTATCAAGTGTAAGTAAAAATCCGTTTAGTAGTTTTTACGTGAAAGAGTATATAACATCCATACTCACAATCTTCCGCATTTTACCCCCTTATGTATCCTTCGTATTATTTCCTATCCCTAAATAAATAAATCCCGTTCTTAGCGGATGTCTAACTACACCCTTTAAGGAACCTACCTGCCAAACTTCAAGTTTGTAGGTGTTAATGTGTTAATAATACCGGCACCAACACCTATCAAAATGGTAATTATTATTTGACAAACGTTTAGGTATTCAGTATGGCAATTTCGCATTCAGTCAAATACTTCAGTTTTTCATAAATTATGCTCTAAAAATATTGGGCTTTTAAATAATGTTTGCCAGGGGGGACAACAGTCTTCAAATCATTGATTAAAAATTAAGTCCTGTTGTCTCCCCTAGCCAGGGGGGACAACAGGATTTCGAAATCCTGTTGGCTCCCCCAGGGGGGCCAAGCAGGGGGGACAACAGGACTGCACCAAAAATTCAAACCAAAAATATTTTCAGTCTGTTACTAAGTGCAAGGGGACTATAACAGCGCCATCTATCATTGTGTGACCAAAACTAACACGACACTCTGTGGCCATTATCAGTTTCTCAACATACCGGTAGAGAGCGTTACTTCTGACGTAATAACTTTTGTTTGAGCAAGATAATCACTTTAGCCACGATAATACAGGGCTTTAGCTAATGAGTTTGAGTTTAGAAAATTTTAGAGATTATTTTCTTTCCCATTTTAAAGATTGTTACAATTTTTTCCAATTTATTGTTTAATTGTAACACTACGTGCGTGCATTGGAAATTTAAATTGTCAATGTCAGATTGACAGCTCATTAGTGTCACTGTCAGTGTCAGTTTACCGCGGTCCGCCGCGATCAATCCACAAAAAGGAAACTTTGTTTTTTGTTGAGCGATCTTTTACGAATTTTTGAATTAATTAACCCTATTCATTGCAACATAAATGTAGGATGTAATGTGTATGTTGTGCCTGTGGTAGCAGATAGCCTCGTATTGATCTTAGATTTTGAATTGTATCATCGCGTAAGTTGTTCAAATTATTGATCCGCTGCAAATATGATTCCAAACGAGATTTTTGCTGAAGATCTGATGAGTACTGTAATAAGATACGGCTTGTATATTGGAGCGGCGTTCCAGTTAGTCTGCCTCCTCGCTTGTGCCGCCATTGTAGATGACCAGTGCGAGCCCCATGCGTATGAAAAGGTATAATATAAAATAGTACTTTAATGAGCCCTAAAAACAAAATTTTACGATTTGCATGAGTAATTTAGTCAAACCAAGACACTTGATTTTGAATGGAATGAACTCAGTTCAGACAATCTCTAAAAAGGCAGACTGCTCTACGTTTATTTAACTAGAGAGCAATAAACAAAGATCTAAATAAAATATTAAATCTTATTTTAGACCGATTAACTAGCAATAAATTACTTGCTAACATTTCCAACTAATCAACCTGGTAGTTAGAGCCAAGACATTAGGTATATCAGAGCTATATTTATCTTATTGCAGACGTACACAGACAGTGATGAATGCAGCTCAGAGCAATCCTCGCCCGGTCACCGTGCTACTATGTCCAGAGCGCGACGGCATGACAAGAAAAAGAGGCGTTAGCCAAAATGGAAACCTTTGAAATGAAACCGACTCCAATAACCAATATGGTTATTTTTATTTCAGATATTTTCAAAATAGTATTAGAGATCTGTATTTTTATTTCCTTAAATGTGATAATTTTGATAGTAACAATTTTGATCAATGTATTTAATGTTTTAAACTTTTTTTACTTAGATTTAAGTAAGCATTTACTTGTTTATTGAAAGTTTGTTAGATTTATTATTGATAAGTATAAAAATAACTTTATTTAATGACAAAGATTTTGAGACATATTTTATCCATGTCAGAATAGGTTTTTTTAGCTAATTGCTTGCCATTAAATTCAGGGTGTAACAATAAGTTTGTGAAAAACATGAAATTCAAATCTGACCTTGATTTTAAATCAGAAAAAAATTGGTAATATTTTTTTTACAAACTTCTTGTTGAGATTCTGTATAATGTTAATAAAATATACCTAATCACTCATATACTCATTAGTAATTTACTTATGTAACTTGTAGGATGTGATTATTGCAGTATTCCAATGACGAGAATATCTAATGCCAAATCAAAATAGTAAATACACAATGTAGATTTGTCACAAATTCCCTTGAACCTTATGGAAGGTGGTTTTACTTAAAGGTAACTTTTGTATTTAAAAAAGCCAGCTGCTAAGAATAAATAACAAGGCCTATAGGACATAGAATGTAGCATTGATGTTTTGTATAAACTAGAATGTCACAATGTGGTTTTCAATACTGTCTAATATTTAAATAAAACATGCTACATTTTAATAAAGCTTTTATTTGTGAAACGGACTAGAATTCTTACAAAATAGTGATTATTGCTTGTGTATTACATCACAACTAGTAAATAGAAATCTCATTATAAAATTATTCAACACTTTGTACAATTTAAGCACATCATAAGTACATTTAATTAACAACATTTAAGGCATTGCTTGTGAATATAAACAGTAGCACCAATTCCTTGATAATAGTTGTAATTGAACAATAAATTCATCACAATTCATTAACAATATGGCACAATTTAGTAAAAATATCCTAGAAGCTATTTTTTTAAATCTTTACAATAATAATATATTTTTAACTAAAAATACTAATAAATAATTCATCAATATAATATCTACAAATTGTTATTTGCAATCTACTAATAACGCCAATGTAAGAAATAGTTTATTTGTACGTAATTAATACATATATAAATGCAATAACTAAAGCAACTACAAGCGTTTAAAAAGTAGTAGAAAAATTCTGCGATTTCAACGCAGTCAATAAATCGTTTTCGGTCAAAAACTGCTTAAATGCATCAAATTTCTTAAAACATATCGTAACACAACAGGACTTTGAGCCTCCTGTTTTGCTGCAACAGGAACCCTGCTCCTTGGGAGTGCTATTTTTGGACCCAGAGTTACAGCATGTCTCCGGTCCCTCACTGATATGACAAGAGCATTTTAGGTGATCAATGATATCTGTAGAAGGCGATTCCTCTTCACATTCATGTAATGTAAAAACACCCAAGTCCTCCAAATTAGTATTGTTGTGTCTTCGATGATAGTGTAGAAACGTGTTGTGATTTGTGTCCGTAGCTCGACCACAGCCAACCGCACACTTCATAGCTGCATGATCACACTTGCAGTCAACACATGAACATTTATCTTCCGTACAGCACTTATCCTTTTTAGGGGTCTCTTCTTCAGGATTGCAGTTTCTACATTCCCCACCAGAGGGGTCACATTTGCAATCTTTACATGAACAGATGCCTGCATCTGCTGCTAATTGTTCCAATGCATTCCTTTTAGCTATTTCTTTCCCAAAAATATTCTCGGTCCTCACAACATACATGTCTGAAGGAGGCTCATTGTCAAATAACAGTGTATCTTCTAAATCGAGTTCTGTGTTGAAGAGAACAGAGTTAGCTGGATTTATTTCAATGTTTTGCTGCACTTTTGATGGTGGCGGAGTATTCAGAGATCTATCATCAATAGGATCTTTTAAAAAAGAATCAATATCACTTTCAAGTTTAGTAGCGTCTAAATTCGTAACTAGTTCGGAGTCGTTGAAAACTTTATCGCCGATATCCAGTATGTTAGGGGTGTCCAATTCAAAGGAATCTTGAGATATAATGTTAGCTGTGGGTGCGTTATTCGAATTGAGGTCAATGTAACTTTGCATGTGAGTCGGGACGAAGGTTGCAAGAGTGAAAATGCTTTCTGGAGCTTTTTCTTTGATACTCACTGGGGTTTCCGATATTGAGGCTGCTAGGGCGCTGACGTCAACCCAAGGTGCTTGGACTTCTACCTCATTCGCCATAGCTAATTGCATTGCCTTCGGTTTGATATCCATTTTTATAGGATCCTCGATAGAAGTCAAACCGATTGGCTGAAGATCGCAAACGTCGACCCAAGCATCTTTTTTGGGTTTTTCAACATCGTAAGGCGAAACGGCAACATCGATATTCAAGTCGTAGTCGATAGGTTTAGGTATGTTAGTCGCGTTATCGAACAGCAATTCCGTTATATCTACACTTGTACTTGTGAGGGGGTTCACTGCAGTAATATCCTCGAGACTGCCATCCGTCGAGTTAGATTCTGTTGTTATTCTTCCGAAGGATTCTAAGAGGCTTTCCCAGTTCATAGGGTCGGTTGTGGGCTTAGATGTTTCGATGATGGTAACTGTTGGTGCTTCAGGTTCCTGTAACGAAATATTAACATTTTTAAAAATAATGAATTTAAGAGGAATACTTACATAAGAGTTTAATGTAGGTACAGTTTAGATCGAACATTATTGAAACACACATGCCGACAGCTTTCGTCGCTGATATGAATAGGCACATATTGACCACATCCACCCATTATTTTTTTAAATGGTTAAGCATATTGCATCTCATACTCATTAACTCTATAACGAATTAAGAATAGGTTCAAGCCCATGATTGGTCTAGACCTATGTAGATACATATTGAAAATCGGTCAATCGCAAACAGCTGTAAACATTGAATTTTTGGATAGATCCAGTGTAATCTGTAACCTAGTTATTCATACAGTTTGAAAGAGCTCATTAAACACTTTCAGGATCAGTCTCCAATTTTTCGATATCTTGTATAGAGAGAGATTCGAGTGAGATCACTTATCGTTTCACCCTGTATAGTATTTGTAACACTAACCTGTCGTATTCGAACATGAGCGAAGACATTGGGTGCGGCGCGGTGGGTCCGGCCGTGTGCCTTGAGGTGGTGCGACGCCGTGAACGACTTGCCGCATCCTTCGGTCCTGCACCTGGAAGGATAGATAACGATAGATAGATCGTTTAGACGCAACTGGTCCAATTCGTAATTGGGCCAATCGTGAAAAATTCACAAATTCGCGATTAGTCCAATTCGCTATTGGTCCAATTCGCTTTTTTCTGCAATACTAGTAAAAGTTGAATAACCTCCTTAAATTATTTCTTTCATTTTGGATATCCTTTTATTTTGGACCAATTACGAATTGGACCAATAGCGAATTGGACCAATCGCGACTTGGACCAATCGCGAATTGGACCAATAGCGAATTGGACCAATAGCGAATTCGACTAATCGCGAATTTGTGAATTTTTCACGATTGGACCAATTGCGATTGGGATGACCTTTTATTGAGATGCACAATGCACATTACGGCTACAGCTTGCTGATCTCGGTAGTTAATGAGGACTACCGTATTTCTTCTTAAATCTTCTTATTCTGTTTATGGCCAGGTCTGAGATATTATAGCCCACAGAGTGGTCTCTCCAAGACTTATTTAAACTCAGGTCAGTAAGAAGGTTCGTCAATCGCTAGTGGATCAGGCATTGGAGCTAACTGGTAGGCGTAAATAAATACGATACTAATGAGTATCATTGCATTTGCATCTTTGTAGGTAGCGCTACTTTAAAGTATGACGACCGAGTGTGAGTCGATAGTGGCGCCAACTAGTGAGTAAAAATACTGTAGCCCATTGCAGCGCACGCAAATATAGGCCCATAAAATTCGGCAATATTAGGTACAGATTTTATTTATTTAATTAAGTATGTAACTAGCTGACCAAGAGATAAAATACTATAATCATTTACGGACGACCATTTTAACATCTACTAGACGCCGAAAAAATCGTATCTTCGGCAGGTAAAAAGCGCCAAAAAAAGTATTTATTTGAACCGCTTTCATTCAACCCCAACTATCATCAAACTTACTTATAAGGCCTCTCTTGTGTGTGCGTTCGGATATGTTTCTTCAGGTCGCTGAGGGTAGTGAAGAACTTTGTGCAGCCGTCAGCTTTGCAGTTGAATGTGTCCCCGCTGTGTAACCGTTGGTGCGCCCGGAGTCTGAGAATAAGCAGCACTAATTAGTATGATGCAATAAAAGTAAAATTATTTGAGTTACATCAAGATCTAAAGCCCACTTGTGTCATACTATGAAAATCTCGCTCTACCCCTAAAACTCAAAACTCATTTTAATTTTGCAAGTAGGCTTTTAAAAAGCACCTTTACACATCCCAATATTAACCCTACCACTGCTTCGGAACAATAAATGGACCAGTCACTGCTAAGAAGAAGCAGCGCAAGAAACAGCCTCTTTTTCAAGGGTTTAGTCTTTGAACCATTACCATTTTCCCTTGGTGGATTCTTGGTGATTAAGGCTGATTAAGGAAATATTTATGTAACACTAGTACTGCAGTGTAAATGTAAGTTAAATGAGTATTTCGACCATAACAGTATTTCCGGCGGAGGATGTGGCCGACCACAAATCTGTAGATAACTTCCATTATTAGTGAATATTAACAAAGAACTGGTGGTTACAATAAAAAAAAAAACAGATTTCTAATATGGTGTTATATTGATAGCGCAAAGAGAAAAAAAGTGTTTTACTTAAAAGTCTGGGACTTAAGGAACTTAAAGGAACGGCTGCTTAATTTTAAAAACTTTCGTAACATACGTGAACTGAACTGACTATTACAGATTTTTTTTATATCTAACTACATTCGTACATTATACACTTATTACATTCGTATATTATACATTATACACTTTCGGTTTAGGTACTAATGAAATGCTTTCTACTAAATAACAGTACTAACATTAAAAATTTAATGCAACGGTTTCAATCAAGTATGCATGGATTGGGGACGCATTACTTTCACTCATGTGTAAATTGTTATGTGAAAAAAGTTGACCTCTATTACATCCCTTTGTGGATTTCTAACAAACGATTAGGCTTTAAACTGACCCATATATCGTATCGTATACGCCAGATGTTTAGTAGGCTGGTAGCAGTTACATAACACTCTTGACATTATCGATATATCATCGTGAACATCATAAAATGATAACACTGATAGTGTAAAATGTAATATTTACTATTCATAACGTAATAGTACCAGTACAAAAACTGACTAAACTAGATAATATATTACGTTATCTGTTTAACTTGATCTTCAAGTGCTTTTCGGTGGTTATTTTTAATATCGTGCGGATTTTATCATCATTCCCCCACCCGTCGCGTGCGAATTCCACGCATTACAATTAATTCTTGTATGAAAAGGACACTTGCGGGTGTCACACATGCGGTGCAATTCCGCATCTGTGATGAAATCCGCACCATATTAAAAACACCCTAAGCCTAGGCGCAGACTGCAAACTTATTGACGGCCGATAGTTTAGTCGGACAGTTAATCAGTAAGAGCATTTGTATGGAAGTGCGCAAATTACACCGATTTATTAATATCGGCCGATTCTTTACTTTATACAAATTAAAATCGGGCCCAACTATCGGCCAACTAAAAGTCGGTGGTCTGCGCCTAGGCTCAACTTAAATGAGAAAGCATTTTAGTAGCCAAAGCATATTATTTATCACTCAAGACTGACCTGTACAGTGTATTGAATGCTTTCCTGCAGTTGCCAGTGTTACATGCAAACGGTTTCGCCTTTGTGTGGGCCCGTACATGGATTTTCAGACTGTATGATGTGAGAAATGCTTTGTCGCATGATTGCATTGGACATTTGAACCTATATTCACCTGAAATATCAAATATTAGTCAAATATTACATTATAGCAATTTACATTTTTCTTTTGTTTTACGTTCCTAAAGCTGTCAATTATAATTTAAATTATTACAATAACTTACATAGGCTGAATTGTACCACTTTGTACCATCTTACTTTAAAATTAACAAAAATCTGTCAAACTCCATACAAAAAACACCGGATATTGTTATAGGTGGTGCAACTCGGCCACAATAACTTTACTAGCTTTCAACTAGCAGCTAATGTTCTGTCCTATCTAACAAACCTAATGTATTGTGTAGCAGCCAAAAACATACCAACAAAACACTAAAATGAAACAGGTGTGTGCTGTTAATGATGCATGCTCAAGAAAGGCTACTGATATGTTGCCAAGTGTGTGTTAGTGAAGAACTTCATAAAAATAGTTCCGTGCAAAAATATGAAATTAACATTTTCATTGAACTTTGATCTGCAATTATTAAGGTTCATTTAACTGCCCGTTTCGGACCAACCTCACCATTTACACAAAAAATAAAAATTTTGGGTTTTTTACGTAATAAAACCAAATTCATATTTATTTATTGTTACATCTTTGAAATATTATAGGTGACGTTACCTTTATGTGTTTTCATGTGTGTTCGCAGATTACCAACTGTGCTGTAAGTGCGTTCGCAACCCTCATATTCACATTTATATCTTGCTCCGTTGTCCTCTGACTTTCTCTTACTGGTTTCCATATTTTTTGTACTATCATCGTTTTTTCCCATGTCTGATATTGGTTCATTCTGACTGAAAAAAGGTAAAGAAACTACAGAAATGTTTTAAATATTTATGTTCAAGTTGTATTTTAATAATAATAGGTCTTAAATTGGATAACTGAATTGTAATTTGATGAATAAAATTGATAGCCAAAATAAGATGATACATTGGTAGTCACCAATTCATCACTTGAACTATGTTACATTCATTTCTAAACCTTTTATAGCAACTTTGAGCTCAAATTACAAAACATTATCGAAATAGTAATTACCTCTTGAAAGTAACCTGAGGATACACTCGTTGGGAACACAAAATTAGGATATTCGCATCACATCATGATGGTAAAGTACCAAAATAGAATGCCCAAAAATGAAATAGACGAAGAAGACCACATACGTAGATTTTGATAAGTGTGAGCGAGATAGACTACTATTGACAAACAGCTGATTGAGTGAATTCTTTAGCGGCAATAAATACGGCGCCAATGGAAACTATCACTTAATTAACTCACTTGATACCTGTATTAATGTTAAATTCCACTTACAATCCCAAAGCATCTTCAACATCTAATACTACGTCGGATTCACGACTTGTAGTCACAATTTTATCACCATCATCCCGATTATAGCTTGTTTGAGAAGATTCTAACTTTTTGTTAACTTCACTATGTTTGCAGGCACTGTCATTATTTAAATTAAATTCCTCACTTAAAAAAATATTTAAATTGTTTTGTTTTTTATTCTCATTTCTACTGTCACCGAGCCATGCGGCGGCCATGATTTTTTAATGATGAAAAATTAGAGCTGTCCTTTATTTTATCTGTCAACGTAAAATCATAAACTGAAAACCGGTTATTGCACAGATATGGATTAGAGTAGATACAGCAAGTTGCTCGTCAAAGCGTGCCATTCCGATATGTCCAAATGGACATACATGGTCGAGTGATGTTCATGTAATCCGATTACAACAATCGGTTACGAAATTTTACGAGAACAGTAGTACGAACACGGTAGAAAGAAGAAATTATTTACGGATTGAGAATTGTAATTAACAGCACAAGTAACAAATAAATCAAAAAGTTAGGTCAGTGATCGCAGTATAAGTATAGACTTATACTGTTAATATAGACTTATACGTTAGTATACGACGGCACTGGATTTTGTCGTTTAGAAATATCTTCAAAACTAGGTACTATGAAAGAAAACGTATTGGCAAAACTACGCATTTTTACATTTGNTAGACATGTATTAATATACACGAAAGAAAACTCAAAATTGGTTCACAAAGCCTTACTTGTATCATTTGGCACAAAATTATTTTCTTTTCTATACGTCGTAGAAACATACCGATTAGATACAAAAATAGCTAATTTTTCAGAGATTCACATTATGTTATAAAGTCAATTTTGATCTAAGTCGAGTTAGATCCCTTTTCACTGGGGGTACAGAATTGAAACTTCAAAGCTTTGTCAACAGATGGCGCTAAATATGAAATTGGATAGTGAGTCAATGTTGCGGAACTATGTATGCGCCTGCGCTGGCTGAGAACTCCTGGCTGCTGAACTCCCGTTATAATGAACACCACTTGTTGTCTGCGCGGGCAGTGCGTCGACCGTCGACCGCACGCCCTTCCACTCACGCGAATGTATCATCTTCACACTCGAACATAATTTCGCGTGTATAAAAGTGTGCTGCACTAATTTCATAATATTACTCCTAGTTCAATAATTACAGTTTAATTAATAAAATGTGTTGGAGAAATTTATCAGTTTACATTCATCTGGTAAGTGAAAATATAATTTGCAGTTAATTTTATTGATGGCTCTGAAAAGTTTTATGAATTATTTATTTAAACACAGCGATTTAGTCATAGTTTCTTAAATAAATATTTATTGTTTATAGATGCATAACTTTAACACCTCTAAAATTGATTTCTCTTAGCACGATCAGACTGTATGATGGAAAATAATCTCTGTATAATTATTAATTATTTAAAATATGTTCAGTACTTAGACAATTTAAGTTGGTTTTTCAATTATGTAGGTGCGTGTAGGTATATTTATGTTTTTGTAATATAATAAATATCAGAAAAGAAATGAGTATCATCAAACGTTGTTATTGTTGTTTAAGTTTAAGTTTTCGATTATTTGAATAAAAATGTAATAATTTTCTAAATATTATTATTTAAATTGAGAAATGTAAATGCTGATGTTCGCTTGGAAATAATTGATTATGATTAGTGCTTTTCACTATTTTTGCCCTGGAAATAATGACTAAAAGCAATAATTATAAAAGATAACTTAACTCGTTTGTAGTATGCTTGACTGACTCATCGCGTATGCATTTAGAGCGAACAGACCGTGAGGAAGATAGGTAAAAAAGGCTTGAATCAGTGGGTGAAGCTTATCTTCAAGTTTACTGTTAACCGCGCACCCATTCGCCGTCTAAGCGCATTAACGTGTCATTAGTTAAAGGTTGCTGACCGACAACACGCCACATAATATTACCCATCTTCAACTCAATTATAATCTCATTATGACCAAAACTTTGAAATTACCAACAATGATCTAACAAGCCTAACAAGAACTGTTAAATTCCTTAAAAAGTAACACTAGTTTTTTGACACGAGCGCGTATCTAGAAGTGGTTTCGCAAAGAGAAACGGGTTGAATTGATACGTAACAGGATTTTTAACTGTCCTTTGCGTTCCTATTTCTTGTGTTTTCAATAGCCTCAAATTGCTACAGTTCTATCGTTAAGACATTTTCTAATATTATTTATTGACATAGCAGCATTGTTAATACACTATACCTACATTCTGCAATGTTTTAGTTACATCTACCCGCAGCTTTACATAGAAAGCTGTGTTTGTATTTGTTCATATTTAGAGAGCACTAAATTGGTACTATGCCAATAAAGTAGTGAAACTGTCGTTCAAATAAAGCTTTCGCTGGCTATTACTTAGAATGTTGATAGTGTTTATACCATGGCTGGTAGGTAATACTCGGAAATCAAGCATTAAAATGTCGTTCAAGAACGTGCGATCCATACAACTGAGTCAAGAGACCACTGAACACTTTCGCTACTTTTTCTTTATACATATAAATTTCACTTTTCTATCTATTTCCTTGGCTCGCCAAAAGTCCCAATGGAGTTCGTAATAATAGTAATCCATATTCATGGGAATAAGTATTGCATCAAAAGAAAATACTTATACCTACTTAACAGCCGGAGTGCTATTTAATGATGTATGATGCAATGGAAATACTACATAATGTAGTGAGGAAATATAATTATTAAGTAGTTACAGGTACTAAAACGGTAACCTGAGCTACAGTAGATAGATTAAAAGAGAAATTTGAAATTTCACCGGGCTAATCAACCTCGACACTCGAAGTATCATATGAAAAGGCCGTAAAATAAACCGGCGTATACACTTGACACCTGGTTGTACAAGCGGTTCAATGACATGTTACTTATACACAAATGACCTAGAAATCTTTTACTGACACTTTCTTCTTGAGGGTCTTTTCGATTCGCAGCACAACCAAGGTGGCTCCATTGTTTATAGTGCAACAAACACCGGACGTTCATGATGAGCTCACTACATATTGGTCAGCCCAAGTTAATTGCATTGCTCCAAAAACCATAAGGACTACCTACTTAAATTCACAACGTAGTAAACATTCCAATATTTCGGAAGAAAATAAACAAAACAATTATAGCCTGACCAGGAACATAAAAACCCTCGCCATGTTGCGGAAAATTAATGGTACTAATTTCTTTTAATGGCAACAGTAACTGAAAACTTCATTGACATGTCACCTTGCATGTCAGTCTATTGCTGTCAAAGTGTAAACAAACTTTATTTTAAATGTGCGCAATTGATTTTGTGAATTAAATTGCTAAAATCATTTTATAGTCGTGAAAGAAAAGTGGTTCACAATGTGTTAAAGTATTTGTTGAAGAGAAATACTAAGGGTTCGGACAATATTTTCATTGAATAATGTTTCCGACAAAGGTTGTCAAATTGACTGACATGTTTATCGTATAGTACAGTCAACTATGAAAATTAGCTGTGGTTTGTTTCAACTACCTATTTTCAAGTTTTTTGTCACTTTGTAAGTATTGAATTTTATGGAATTGGGAAAGAAGTACCGAGTTTGAAGCGTTCATGAGCAGACATCGTAGTTGAATATTCAAGTTCAGAATTTGATTATTGATGAATAATAATAAAATCCTACTTGCTCGATTGATGGTTTCATTTAATTTATTTAAACCAGTTTACCTATAGTATAATATTATTTGTTAATTTATAAAAATATTAAATTAGCCTATAATCCTGAATCCTGATACATACAGTTAGCCTATTAATTTAATACAGGTACGACTGTACCCAGTGTTGCACTATCAAATGCAATTGAAGCGCCTCTATGCCAGGGTTTTTATGTTCCTGGTCAGGCTATAAGTAAAATATTGTCGATAATACTTATTTAATTTGAATAAATTGAAAAAAGAAACAATATAAAAAATACAAAAATAAAAGTTACTTTCACCACAATTACTCATGGATGGAATTTATACGATAACTCCCTTTACCCCAATTACGATGCTCACGTTTTTAATAGTAGTGCAGCGGTATATTGTAAAAGAACAAGAAAAAGGACGGGTTTTGTTTGTCATAGTGGGTCTGAGCCATTGGTTGCGGGAACTGTGTCATTCGGCCACGGCATACATACCGTCCCGCGACTCACGCGCTGCCTGATATCGTGAGGCAGCCAATAGACTATAAAATATAACAATTAATAAACTGTTCAGAGTAATAAATAATAAGATTTCACACAAAACAATTTGAAGTTATAGTAAAACTACTATTGATTTAATAGAAATTTATCATAAGCGTAAATTGTATGTAAACAAACATTAAATGTAATTTATACTAATGAATGACACAGATAAATTAAGCGTGGAGATTATGGCAAAACCCTCCACTTTAGTGGAGGAGGCTCATAGTCCAGCAGTGGACTGTAAAGGGCTGTTGATGATGACACAGATAAACAACAATATTATTGATGACTGAAAATGATAGATTAAGGATATTTTTTCTAATGATTAAGTTAGTAGGTAAGTCCTCTTTGTAGCGTAAGTAAGTAGGTTATTAATTAATATTATTATGGAATGAAAGCACACTTTCATGATACATAATTTGGAGTGATTTGCCATTGCCGTTTCACATTAGCCACCTAACCAGTGTGCTTTTCTTCACCGTTAGGCCCGAGAAATAAGAGGTTAGTTTTTCTAGCTAGGATAGTATTCTAGCAAGTTAGTAGGTACCTACTTATAACATTATAGTTTGCATATTTATAATTTTTATAATATTTAAAATACCTATCTACCCAACCTAACCTTGAATATTTTAGAATTTATACAGTCAGTGGTATCTTTATAAAGATGCATAACATTTTAATGATATACCTATAATTTCATAAAGATTTAAAAGTAAACCTTTTGGTTCTTTACATAAACAAGGTAGCAAATTAATTACGAAAAAAATGCTTTTATTTTTATTACCCAATAACTTTCAGATTTACTTATTCATACAATTTTTCAAATCAAACTGTATTGTATTTTTTTAAACGTGTTATTATTTGTCCATAATTATTAATTTATTAAACATTTTATTCAGGCGCTGATAGCATGCTGTATAGCTGCAGACTGTGGTCCAAGATTGAAATATGCGTGGGGAGACGCATTACAAGGATCAGACTGTCCCGGCCCAGATGGCACCCCTTATCCAAGGTAAATACCGGTTAAACAATTACTTTAATAGCACAACCCTCTATTGTGTTACCGGTTTTTAATATTTACAAACATTCGGTCCGGATCCCAATTTTTATTTCAAAATTATTTTGGCGGGAAACACACAAAGTAGGTAGGTAAGTCAAAGGTAAGTACCTACATTAAATTAATAATGTAGTTGTGCGCACAAAGTTACTAATTATGTAGCCTTTGACAATACTTTATGGATTTTCAAACGAATACACGTTTTGCAAAATTATTATAATTTTGCTAATGGTAACTAAACTAGGTGTGTAACCTACCTAACCGAAGTGGGTTGAATTTAATTGAAACCTTTTATAAATTTTGTATGTTGTTACCTACATATTTGGTTATTACTAGAAAATTTCTCTTACACGGTTATTATAGGACCTATATCGTACATTGACCTTGGTACACCCGGCATGGAACCGGTTTGATCGGGTAAAGTGCGCTTCGACTGGGCGAAAGAGAGACTAGCCAATGCTCGGCTTTGTCCGATTCTCGATCGGGAAACTTCGGCATTAACGTAACGACCCCCGCCGACCTTCGCCAGTCAGTCTGGGTTTTGTGCATTATCGAGTTCAGTCTGTCATTCTAGCTCACAGTGATTATTTTCTAGACACACCTAATGGCTGAAAGTATAAACACAGATGACATAAAGGTGGCTGTTAAAGGCGGTACATCGAAATGTAAACAGAATATGGAATCAAACAACTGCGATGTAGACCGAGAAGAATTTTATCGGCGAATACAAGAAGCATATCGAAGCAAAAAGGCGCCAAACACGTTCCTGCTTACGCCAGAAAAGTATGCGCTTGTACTTCAACAGGTGAAAGCGGCGAGGATAAGTCCCAAAAAGACTGCGTCGGACTATCGCCGAATAAAGCGGTACGTGGTAGTCGATACCCCACTTGGTGAAAGATTGTTCGCGGCACCCAAAGACAATCAACCGCCTCAGCAAATGTTTGTCAACACGCAAGAGATTTACGATATTATCCGTGACTGCCATTTAAAATACAATCATGGTGGCAGAAATCGTTTGATGACGGCACTGAAACCAATCTACAGGAACATTACTACTGAAAGCATTTTAGTTTATCTGCAGATGTGTTTGCCATGTAAAAGTAAGCTCATTAGGCGAGGAAAAGGGGTACGGAAAGATATTGAAGAAACATTTAAGCCTGAAGCAAGTAAAATTGACGACATTTTTAACGAAGATGACGATCCACTGGAGACAGAAATTGATATGCAGTTAGAATTAGAACCAGAAACAAATCAAGAGCAAGGAATAATATATCCCGAACTGTATTCTAGAGGTCAGTTGGATATTTTAGATGTAACGACTGATCCGAATGAAGAATATAAATACATGATGGTGTACAGAGACTTTGTGAATCAGTATATTCATTTGAAGCCTTTGAAGGCTATAAGCGTTGACGAGACGGTCGATGTTTTGTTAGATATTTTCTTAGTTTTTGGAGCGCCAAATATTTTGCAGTCTAAGAACGGGATAGCTGTGATCACACCTATTTGTAGGCGAATATGCGCTGCATGTCCTGAAATGAGGACTGTTCCAGGTAATGCGGTGTTTTCTAAGAACGAGTTTAAAGGAAAGTCCAATGAGGATATATTGAAGCAGCTTAACAAGTGGTTGGAAGTGAGCCAGAGCACGAAGTGGCACCAAGGCTTGAAGTTTGTCCAGCATTCCTTAAACACTACTTTCCAATCGACTATTTGCAGGACGCCATCTCAGTTAGTTTTTGGTACAAACCCTCGGATGGGATTGGCATCATGTATGTCCAAAAATGAATATGAACTCATACTGTCAGAAAGCGACTTGAAGGCAGCGTTAGATCAGAAAGAAAATAATAGTCACAGATCCCGGAAACAGCTGAAATTAGAAGAATCTTTGGTGTTGCCATGTAATTTTATAAAAGATGAGGCTATAGAGGAAGAAGTTAATGAAGAAATCTTCGACGAAAGTTAAAATTTAAAAATACTTTTAATACGCGCGTAGGCTGTTATTGATTTGTGTTTACTTAATAATTATGTTATCTTCTCGAATTATTTTTCTGCTTTCAAAAAACTGATAAATTATATTAACAGACTGTTACTTCATTGAGTTTCATTCATTCATTTACTTTATTCATTCCAAAGGAGTGAACGTACTCCTCTTTTACGTTCCCTAAAAAGTTGTACCTACCTACCGTATGTCAAAATGATACTTTGCTGAGTTGCACCATCTTCCTTTAACCGTAAAACAATAACCGGAGTTTGCTGTCAAACTCCAGTTAATGTTTTACGGTTAAAGTAACGTCAAAAGTCTGTACTTTTGACGTTTGTTAAAGTCAAAGTAAGATGGAGCAACCCAGGCTTATACACAGCAATTATACCTACCTAATTAACAAAATAAATGAAGACAAAAAAGATGCGGGTAGGCATGCACTGCAACGCTATTTAGCTTATCTCTTAATTTGTAAAATATTTTGGTTAATGTAGGTTGCGTGCGAGTCTCTTTGGTTTCAGATAGGCACGTAGAAATTTTATATATATTTTTTTCCTGTGCCCTGAGCACGAATGAATCGTATGTATTCCTTTTTATACAACTGTAGTTAGCCCTGTTTTGTTTTTCGTTCGTTCATTTCAGCCGAAAGACGTCCACTGCTGGACAAAGGCCTCCCCCAAGGATTACCACAAAGACCGGTCCTGCGCCGCTCGCATCCAGGCATTTCGTACCTACAAAGAAACAATTACCATCCATCATACCGCACACTATAACGAGTACGATGTTTTATTCGTGCTCCGGGTACTGTATTCTTAAAGTTTGAGTCATCTACATTATGAAAACTATTACGGAAGCATTACAATAGCATTTCTAATGCTGGCATTACATTATGATTATCATTATGGAGACTAACGGACTCCATAAGTACCGTCGAATTGAGATTATTCATCATATTCAGTTTTTATTCCTTACAACGCGCTAGATCAAGAAAATGAGTGAAGAAGAGCTATCATGCATACAGCGCCATCTCTTGTGGTACCTATTAAGCACATCACAATGAGTGGCATGCAATTTTTTTTACTCAGTAGTCAGTTTAGGCAGAGCCACAGATTAATAATAAAATTATGTAGAGCATAAATTTAGTTCTGGAACACATTTATAGATGACGCTTAAACCGAATTGTGCTTTAAAGCATTAACTTAGTTCTAGAGCAAACTTATAGATGACGCTTAAAACGAATTGTGCTTTAAAGCGTTAACTTAGTTCTAGAGCAAACTTAGAGATGGCGCTTATAATGAATTTTGGTATAAAGCGAGATTAAAAATGTGAAAGTAAATAAATTAAAACAATAATGAATAAAATGTGCGGCAATTTTAATGCGTTTAAGGATGTCTAGTACGTTGTTTTTAACATTCACAACTTGCAATAATAGATTACGTTTTGAATCGAAATGGAGGTCCTATTTTTACACCTTTAGCCCAACATCCTGGGGTGGGCATTAGACCATAGATGGGCAAGGTCCACCCGGCCCCCTTCCCCCATTGTGAACTTGGTGCTACATTCTTCGCCCAACAGTCATTTTCATTTCTAACTCTTACCATTCCAGGCACCTAATAAACAGAGCAGTCAAGACCGGTCCGTGGGGCCAGACGCGGCAGGGCCGGGCCGCCCGGACCCTGGACCCCGCGCTGATGAGGCGGGCTCTCCTGGACGCGCATCAAGGCTACTCCGAAGGCCTGGCCAAGGTCGAGAACGGCAATAGAACAGGTAGCTTTGTTATACGTTTTTTCTCCGCGTAGTTTTTTTACAAAGTAGATTGATCCATTGCTGGACAAAGACCTCCCCCAAGGATTTCCACAAGACCGGTCCTGCGCCGCCCGCATCCAGGCAACGCGACCTTCACCAGATCGTCCATCTTGACTCTTAATGATCCTCAAAAATCCAGACCCAAAAGACGTCGTAAGAAAATGGTAATAGCTGAGATCTCAAAATCTGAGGTCACAAAAAACCTGAATTCTAGTTTTACGAAAGAAAATACCTACTATCCCAATTAGCTAAATATTGGCAGCGTTGACGTTTTCTGAGTAGAAATTATTCAATTTGGAAAATAAGTGAATTTAATAAATATTATTTCATTAATTCAACTGCAGTCAGAGAATACATGGAAAGTTTAGTTAACACTGTTTTAAAGCCGATGAACAACAAGTTATTCGAAATAATTCCTGGCAGTTCAACTAAAAATAGCGTGATGGCGCGTTATCCCTTCAACTAGGTACGAGTAGCTCGCTAGCTCTGGTTCGAACTCATGATTAAATTCGTTGCGGGTTCTATGACAGTTAAATTGCCACGGGAGAAACTTGACCTTTACTGGTTGGGTTTTTATTGGCGGTAAAGCTCCCCCTGTATAGCCAGGATCTACTCCAGTTTAAAATAATAGGCAGTAATGTATGAAGAAAGAGCTTCTATTCTGTATCTACCTATGCCCGTGTATTTTTGATCGGTGTCAAATCGGAGTTTTTGGTGCGGGGTAGGTACGCGGGTGTTGCTCGCGGCGTGAAGGTCAAACGCCCAAGGTCATTGAGGACTCTAATCGCCTTAAATATAATATTCAAACCTTGCTCTCAATGTTCCAGGCCGTGGCATCAGCATGCCGAACATCACTCCATCACAGACCAGCGCTTGCGGCGGCGCGCGGCTGTGCCGATCGCGGTACAACACCACAGCACCCATGTACGGAGTCTCTCTGACGTCAGGGCAGCCCGTCACCATCGTCCAGAAGTTCCCTGATTTACTACAGCAGGTCGTGTTTGAGGTTTGCGAGTAAGTATTACACTTTGACGTGTTTTGATAGAGTAGGATAGGACCACATACAGACTCATTCTTCTTGTAGATATCATAAAGGAAGACTGTTTATGGGATAAATTGGGAAGACGAGATGGAGGTGAATGTTGAACTCCATTTTTATAGAGTATACCTACCTACCGCTGGGTAGAGGTTGAAACATTTGCCTAAATTAGAGAGGGTCGTGATTATTCGGTCAAGATTTTGACCTTTTGATGATGATAACAAAACGATGGTTAAGTAGAGTGGCTATGATACGCGCCACAATAATATTTTTTTACTTTCTAATCGACTTTAGGCGACAGATGTATGAGAGCTTATCGCCTAGAACCGATAAAATGCCTCTATGATTAAATCGTGGCGCACAATCCTAAGCTAGCTGGCAATGCTTCTGAAAAAACATCGGCTAAAGTTTCGGTAAGGCTGGACCATGCGGTAAATCTGTGACGTCACTGTAGGTATTTTTATTTATCACTGTATTTTCGGTCAAGTTGACACAATCGCGCTGAAGTCAATTACCACACCTTCCATTGTTGCCAAATCACACGTGAGAACGAATGCCATTGAGGTCAAGTATGACTAATCTGACTTTCCACAAACGCACAACAAAAGACAGTAAAATGTGGCTATTTGATAAGACGTTACTTGTCTTTGTTACCAATGAAATAGTTATTGATGTCCCTTACTGAACGCTTGTCTACTTAATGCGTTATTAGTTTCTACTCTCTATTTTTTTTATCCACAACGATTTAATTTCTTTTATTCTTATTTATCGCTTAGTTTCTAATCATTCACACCGAAACGTGTACCTAACACTGTTACTCGTCAGGGCTGGTTCAGATGTGTACCAGTAACAGTGTGACTCGTTGGGAAAAAGCAATCCCAGAAAATTACCCGTTAGAACTTCTTTCTTTGTTATTTCCCAAGGGTTTTATTTATGTTCATACCAATAAAATTCCTAGACACATTGTTCCTTGTGTTCTATTCTCGTAGTCGCATAATCGATTCTTATCTCGGATTACAATCATAAAGACATTTTTTATTTGTTTCAGATCAAGCGAGTGTTCTCTGGTCCGTGGATCCTGCACGCAAACCTACATCCCCTACTTATTCTTGGTTCTCCCCCTAGGCCCGGTTACCCTCACCGGTCAAGACTACGTGCTAGTCGAGTCTGGTTGTGTATGCAGACCTGACCCCATGCCATAGAACTGTCCAAAATTAGGTATCAACAAAGCACCTTCCGAAATTACGAGTAGTTCCGTGAAATAAGTATTATTTGGACTTTCTAAAAACAGGTATAATTTTATTGAAACCTAAGATTGAAACAATATTTCGTAGTTATGGTATCACTGGCTATAGTTGAATTTAGTCTTGCAACTCTGGGGTGATGTGTTGCTTCAATTTTCAGGACTACCACCTTTTTATCAAATTTATAATCGTATTCAATACCATCAGTATTAACCTTATCAATTTCATCATCATCATCGTCATTATTATTGAACTAAGTATTATTATTTCGTCGAACATTGGTGCAAGCTTGGACATTGGACAAGTGACTCGAGAATTTATCAACGAGAATTTTCTCAGTGAACAGATACGAATTACTAGTTGCATTTATAGATAAGATATTTAAACTAATATTACAGTGTTCATTGAATGGAAAGTTGACCAAGTAGGTATGTTGGTGTTTTGTAAAAAATATTTGAGAGCAATTAGATGCTTGTTGTACGAATTTCAATGATTGTGTGCTTGTGAAAACTAGGAAAATAATGTGGGGGCAGATATTTTGAATTGTATTTTTACTGTAAAATTGCCGAAAAATTGTCTCAATTGGTTTTATAGGATTTGATTTGACGGCCATTTTGCGGTTCATGAAATTATTTAAATTCTTATATAGACTGATTTTATTATTGTTAATTTTATTTAAATATTTATGCTTCATAATGATGTTATTGACTGGACGGAGTATTTAACTAGCAGCGTGAGAGATTAAAATGGTATTTAATAATTTATATTATACAATTATGTTAATGCCTTTGTGAGAAGATCTGTTTATAGCGAATTGCGAACAACGAATGTATGAAAACTAATATAAATTCAATATGAAAATATTGTTTTCTTTTGCACATTCCTCAGCAATCATCTGTCCATCAAAATGAAATAACATTTGCAGTCGGTAGAAAATTTATTTTTTATCTATTTACAAACATATTACTTAAATCTAATTACCATCTATAACACTCACTTTCACCGATCATTATCACAAAGTTATTTTTTTCGGAAATTTCAAGATTTTTTTAATATAAAATTATAAAAAGTAACAAAAATCTGCCGTTGGTCTAACCGTTGGTTAAATTGTGTATCAAAATAAAACGATGGTAAAATGACCACTAAACTTAACGACTTAAGTAATCTTAACGATAAAGTCGTGGAATAATCACAACTAAGAATTTAAATAAGACTGAGGAACAGTTAGATATGCAAGCTAACAAAAATAAAATGAACACTAATGATTGTATTCTAGAAGAAGCTAATAGCGAGCCAAGGACTTTTGGAAGTAGGCCATTAAGTAGATGAAAAGGAGAAAGATGAAACATTTGAATGAGTACTCAAGAAAAAGTAAGATCCAGGACTAGATACAGGACAAGTAAAAAATTCTAGATTACAATCAATATTATTTTTTTGACTTTGCGGTGGATCCAGAGAAAGGAAATTTACCTAATGCCATTTTTGACTGATGACTGTTTTTCGAAATTAGTCCGTTTCAATATACGTAAAATTTAGCTTAAAGTATAGGGGCTTGTTACACCACTTTCTAGTAAAGTCCTTGAATAAGATTAAGAATGACTTTTGATTTAACAAATCTCGAATGTTCAAATTATTTATAATTTTCAAGTTATTTATAATTTTCAAATCTCGATGGCAGAAAATCACTGGTTAACCAGTAACCTTTTTGTTTTTTTAGTTTTTAAGTTAGAACTTATCAAGAACCGATGAAATTGACCCTAAATTATCACCGCGAATAGATTTGGAAGTTAAGTTTTGCGTAATCTTATTATTCCCAAACTGCTCTCTCCGGATCCGCCTCTCCTTTTACTTATATCTATTGCTGCTCATATCGGTAGTATTGAGGAGGGGCCTGCTGCCTGTGGGCTTGCTGGGGCTGGTGTTGCGGCTGCGGCTGATGGACCTGCGGCTGGTGGACCTGGGGTTGCTGGAACTGGGGCTTGGGAGTCGGGATCTTGACCACGATGTCGGTGGGCTGCCTGGAGACCTGTGATGGATTGTTTTGTTAGTGAACTGATTTATTTCAAAGAAAGGGAACATGATTGGAGATGCGGCAATGGATCATTTTGTAAGTGGTATAATTTGGCCACGTAGAGCTTAAGGGCTATGTTTTCTTGTTTTTATGTGCCAAAAATTAGTTAAATTTTAATTAAAATGATCTCATCCATTCAAAGATACTAATACAAGGCTATTCAATTTGATTTTAGAAGCTTATGAATGTTATCGAATAAAAAAAAATGAAATGTAGAGCTTTTTATAAATATTCTGAACAGTGCTAACTAGTTGCTATGTATTTGGTAAGTTTCGATGAGTAAATTCTGGAGTGCATGGATTTATGAGTATGACTATAACGAGATATAGAAAACAATCTCCTAAAAAAGCACCTCAAATATCGAGAAATTGAAACTTAAATACAAACCTCAGCCCTGAAGCCCTCTTTAGGGTCAGCGGTGTAGGTGACGGTTCTGACGAAGCCATCGCTGTCGACGACGGAGTAGGAGCCCTTGATGACGTCACCGTCCCTCTGCTCCTTGCGGTTCTGGTAGTTGGTGTACTGGTCGTCGTTCACGTCGAAGCCGAACTGGTAGGAAGGATGAGGCTGGGAACAAATAATTTGAAATTAAAAGGCGGCTCTAAGAAACTTTCAAAAATCCTTCAATGGGAAGCATGTTTTAAGTTTATTCTAGGAGTAATATCTTATTCATTAATTACTGTACCGATTTAGGCGTCGAATTCTCTATTGGAGAGATTCCCGAGAGTTAGATTTCCGTTGACCGCTGAATTCTTAGTGAATCCAACTCTACAACTTAAGGCATTTTCTTGGATTCTGTTTCGGCTATTCCTTAATATTTTGTATCTTACGTCAGAAAAACTTTTTCAAATAAATTGGTCCGCATTTTGCACTTAAATTATGAAAATTCCAGAAAAATCTGTTCTGGGCAGTTATTGTTTCAGTACCTCTTTATGTATTTTTAGACTTCTTGCGAGTTATATTTTCACAATCTGATTGCTAAAATGTTTAGTAAAAATAATAGCATAATAATAATTCGCTGTTAACATTGTCTTCCTGGGCGGTGGTGGGCGGGGCACATAGCTCGAAGAGCTGATGGCCGCTGGGGCAGGAAAGTTCTTGAGTGGCGACCACGAGCTGGAAGACGTAGCGTGGGCAGGCCTCCCACTAGGTGGACCGACGATCTGGTGAAGGTCGCGGGAAGTACCTGGATGCAAGCGGCGCAGGACCGGTCTTTGTGGAAATCCTTGGGGGAGGCCTTTGTCCAGCAGTGGACGTCTTTCGGCTGAAACGAACGAACGAACGATTGTCTTCCTGCCGCTTTCAACTTGGTCAACCCTGCATACGCGCAATTCCGACATCGTGGTCGCAGTGAAAGTGGCGCGGGCACCGTCCGATCTGATCCATCCGCATTACTGGCCGAGCCACATTGTCGTTCCGGGCATTGTAAGTGAAGTATCTAAGTTACTATTTACTTAGATTTGAACAGAAGGGTGTATATACCCGGTGCTAGTCTAAAACAATTCCGTTGTATTTTATTAGCCATGAAAAGCTGTCTCATTTTCGTATATACGATGTAAAATCAATTATTCAGTTGACTTTGAAAATACAGCGATCTGTATTCAAGACGTCCAACGTGAGAGAATTGCATATTAATGAAAATCGTATAATGATAATTATAATTTAACATAATACTCGTAATTTAGTTAGTAATTGTTTTAGAACACTTTCTGATTTATTAATGTAGTAGCAAATAAATTTTTTGCTAGATAATAAATTGATCGGAAGTACGAGTATGTTAGAGTTTTTATAAGCATGAGGTGATAATGTCAGGAAGTCACATTAAGAACTGGTAATTGCTATACTTCCGATAAGTGCATATTTTTTGTGGCACATTCATAATTCAATTACGCCTGTATTCTTGCTTCAGCAAAAAGAAGGTACAGCGTTGAATAGAGCTCTGTGATTGGTTCATGTGTCACCCTGTGCGTCCACGCACAATGTGATGAGACCTCATAGTAATGTTAGTGAATACGGGCGTTAGCATCATTACAACAATAGTAATCATCACCATAAATTCCGGTATGATCTGTTAGAACTTAGAAAAGCTTAAGCTCTTCTCTTATTTTATGGCGAAGACTTAGACATTGGCAATGCTGGCTGGGCTTGATACTGTGCTGCTGGTACTGGTATTGGTATTGAAGGTGTAAATGTATCTGTCTACTTACGTCATAGTCCTCCAGCTCCTACTGCCTCTGTGGCTGTTACTGAGGCCTGTACTGGGGCTGGGGTCACGGCTGGGTTTGATACTAAGACTGAGGCTGATACTGGTGATCATATTGAAGGTGAAATGGCCTTTGTCTACTTACGTCATAGTCCTCGGGTTCACGCTGCTCTTGCTGCCTCTGCGGCTGTTACTGAGGCCTGTACTGGAGCTGGGGTTACGGCTGGGTTTGATACTAAAGCTGATACTGATACTGGTGATCGGATTGAAGGGTGGAAAGGTATCTGACTACTTACGTCTTAGTCCTCAGGTTCTCGCTGCTCCTATTGCCTCTGCGGATGTTACTGAGACCTGTACTGGGGCTGGCGTTGTGGCGTAGTCTGATACTGCGGCTACTGTTATTGGTACTGGTGTTAAAGGTGAAAAAGTATCTGTCTACTTACGTCATAGTCCTCGGGTTCGCGCTGTTCTTGCTGCCTCTGCGGCTGGTACTGAGGCCTGTACTGGGGCTGGGGCTGAGGCTGCGGAGCTGGCTGGGCCTGGTACTGGGGCTGTGGTTGGTACTGGTGTTGGTATTGACCTTCGCTCTGGGCTGAGTAGGGCTGTGGAAGAAAAGTTTGATGAGTTAATGGTGAGCAGTGGTTGAACAAACTGGTGAAAGTGTTGTAGAAACAAAAACAGAAAATATCGTTAAGAGTAATTAAATTGTCTTCTAATTAACTTCTTTGCGGGATTAATGTTTCTTCCGGAAGAAACATGTCTTTAAGGTTGTCTTAGTTAGCAAGCTGTATAGATCTTGCCTAACACGTAGGAGTTCAGCAGTGAGAATAGTCTCGTCAAAGAAAGTTAAAAATTAACATACAAAACTTCTTTAGATTTTAGGCTGGGTAGCTGAATAAATTCATCTTTGAATAGTTGGTTTTAAGTCAGGTCAGTCAGGTTTAAGTCAAGTTTTAATATTTTGCATTTTACGTGTGTTTTATAAAAAGCTCTTTTTTTCAAGGGCCCTAGGTGATAGAAGATGCTGCTGCTAAGTTGAAAAGTGTCAGCTCCATACTAACCAGTCTAGCGGGGGCGGCGGCGGCGGCAGGCCGGGGGATGACCTGCGTCTGTTGCGCTTGCTGCTGTTGTCCGATGTACTGCCTCAGTAGGTGAGGGGGGATGCCTTCTACGCCCTGCTGAATTAAAAAATATGCTTTAGCTATAAATAAATAAGTCACGGGAATTGGTAGACAATTAGGTCGAAGAAGTCTTATACCGTTGACAGTCTACCTATAACATTCCTCGCGCAAGTTAAATGCAGAACGCAGGAAGTGAAATGCTCCAAAAAGTTTGAAATCAACTTGCGAGTGAAGTATGAGTTAGTTGTGGGAATTTCCATGTTCCCGAACTCTTACATTCCTAATGCCTTCAAGGCACGTGTATTGAGATCGTTCATCATTAGAGATCGAACACCATCCCTTGAGTGAGATAGTTACCAAGAGCAAGACCATAAATAAAGCTTTAAGCTGTAAATGATCCAGAGTCGCACCCTATGGCGTTCTTAGAGTAGGCCTATATCCAGCAGTGACTTCTAAAGGCGAAAGAAGAAGATTGAAATTCCAGATATAGTGAAACGATTTTATTATTTTGTTAATTATTTGATCGGTTACACACTATCGAGGATATAGAACACATCCTATCTTCAAATCATTAAATTGAAATGTTTACACAGGAAAAATTATGATGAAACATTATAAAAGAAAAACCTAATTAAAAAATACTGGATTATTTGGTCAAGCACGCATCAGAGCATTAAATGATCCTGACATAATGTTTAATGGAGTGTAATTGAGCCCAGAAAAGACCAATTAAACAATAAAGTCAGGTCACCGATTACCGGTTACCGGATAACCGCTCTGCTCAATCATCGGTTATGTAACCAGTTACTAGTTCGGATTAACTGGTACAGAGCAACTAGTCCGAATAAACGGCGCGTTTCGAAACGGTAACTGTAACACCGCTAGGGTTGCCAAATTAACCTCACTCAAGTAAGAGCGTGTAAAAATGTAAATAATTAATACAATAAACATGCACTATGTCTTTGGGTAAACAGTGTGTTTGTATGAAAAGGGCCTACAACAATGTTCAAACTATCTAAATCACTCTTAATTTTAACTAGGTATCTTATTGTAAATAATGTTTAAAAACAAATATTAGGTCTTTTTCAACATAAAGCTAAGTGTGTGATTTTGCTAAAAAATGCTATCAAACAAGCGAAGTAGAGCTGTATCATTCGTTCGTTTCTTCAACCTAATATTGTCCATTGCTGGACCAAGATCTTTAATTTATAGTTAAACGTTATAATTGCAATACAATACAATATCTTATTCATTAATATGTTTTCACTGTTGCCGCTCTTTTAAAGATGGTTTCTACAGAATACCAGCATTCATGTTCTAAATGGAACATGATACAAGCTGAGTAGGAGCCATTTTGGTTCAATATTTTAAGTATGTAATTTACCAATAAACCAAATAAACCATTTTTCTTTCTTTCTTTCTTTTTTTCTATCCAGCTATAAAAATAAAATCACCAACCCTAATCACCGGCCGGCCAGCTGGTTGCTCGATCACCATTTACAGACAATGGCTCACGTGTTATTGTGTTATTTGTAAAACATTGTGGTGGTTAACATCACACTTATAAGGTTTTGGGCAAAGACTTACATTTACATGGAATTCAATGGGTTTTATGGTGGATATGTTTAATGTATTTAACAAACATATTGCGCAAAAAATATAATACAATTCATAAATCTAAACGTGCAAGAAAATCATGAAAGTATAATTTTTGTATTATTACTGTATAGTTAATATAAATATGTATTTGTTTGTCTCGGTATTTGTTACCTATGTATTTAAAAACGTAGTTAAAATAATTTTGTTTGATACCTAACACATTACCAAAATTAAAATCATTTTTATGATAAAGTCAATTACTCAAGTCAGAAAATAATGAGGCATCTAGCCAAAAACTACCCGCAGAATATGACTATGTACCAATACCTAGATCATCATCATTACGAATCAACATTGTTTTATTTACTTCAGTTACAAAAGATGGTCCATTATTTCAGTAAGTTGCAAACGTGCGATAGCCGACATTGTGTAAATATTTCAAAAAACATTTCAACCACGGCCACCAGTCACTAATTGGGCTTTTGTTATGTTATTAGTTGCTGTATGAATGGTGTGACAAATATTGTACAGTGTCACACAATTACACATGGTGTCTCAAAACTAACGCAATACACTGTTGTTATTTTAATTCACTCCTAATGCTTCACCTAGCATGTAATGTTACAATGGAAGATTAGATTTTGAGCTTCACATCGAATTATTGTATGTAACATACGTATTTCAAGTAAAGCAAGTAAAGGGCAGTTGAATAGAAAACTGCTTAGGTGTTAAATTATAATAAAGATTAAGGCTGAGTTGAACCACCTAACTTTGACTGTAACTATGACGATAACTGGTGCTTTTCCGATGGAATTTGACAGATTTTTGACGTTTGTCAAAGTTAAAGTAAGATGGTGCAACCCACCCTAAGATATAACAAATCTTAACATATGTACACAGAAATTGAAAATTAAAATTAATATTTTAGGGCGTTCAGAAAGCTCAAGGTACTATAGTAGAGTTCAGAGGTTAAATTATTTACATGCAATTAATTAGTTACCTAAATTAAAATTTTAGGTTCATAAGATAGTTTTAATAACAAAGAAAATAATTATTAGTCACATAATGTTATTTTAAAATATGTTCCTTAAAAACTGAGCTTATTTATGTATACCTGGTTATGCGCCATTAACGTATTAAGAGAAACAATTTTAGTTAAAGTACCAGTGATTGTAGTTTTACAAAATTATGACTTACAAATTCATCGTACAATAATTAGGTAAGTGCAATAAAACTGAATTTACAATTACAAGTTAAATAAGTAGGTATTTGCTTCAATAACAGCAACGAAATAAAATTGTGTATAATAATTCTATTTGTAATTGATGTAATGCTTAAAAATAACGCTAACGAAAATAAAACGCAATTCAATATTTGTTAATAAAATGATTATGTCCTCGTAATGTAGCTTTTTACCACTTTTCGATAATCACAACACTTCAACTCATGCAATGAAGTTCACAATTTAATTATCCTTTGATGTAATTAATTGTAATTATAATCACTGTTAAACTATTAAATAATTACTAACTTGTTGGTACTGATGCTGAGGCCTAGCCAAAGTGCACCCCAGGATCGCTATCGAAACACAAAGTCGCAACATTTTCACACACTAGTAAAATCAATAAAAAATAAGGCCCACAACACACTCGCGGAGAATTACGTATGCGGTGCGTGTAAGCTACTCTCACTTTATATACAGGCACCCCTTCTCGTGTGGGTGGAGGGAGTGGGACAACCACCACTGACATGTGGCCCCAAAACGAATGTACTGTGTGCACTTGGGGTTACTGTGGCAGTTGACACTGGCTGAAAAGAAAAGTGTCGAGAGAAAAAAGAAAAACTTTTTTTCTTAATGGCAGCCAGCTGAAGAGATGAATATCGATGAGGAAAAAGTTTTCATACTCCTTGACCTAGCCAGTGACCTTCAAAGGTGTACATGTGTAAGTAGAAATAATATTTTGAGGGCTTCAACAACTTTCTTATCCCAGGATATCTAAGCTCTACCATTTTATAGAGACGAAAAAATGTAAATCTCATTTATCTAAATGACCTTTACATGAAGTGTTTTGCATTATTAGAAAAGAAATCTCGTACATACAATATATCCTTAACTACACTTATTCTGTGCCATTAGTATAGTTTTGCATTAATTATTATGTAAGGAAAGCTTATAAAAGTGACCACATTTACGCAATGTGAATGTCAATGGGACAAATAGAAATTGCACGGTTTAGTACTGAGATAAAAAGCCAGCCAGAATTCTAATTGTCCGATTGTTAAAGCGATCTGATCTTGACTCTATGTATTGCGTTATTTAGCATATCTCTTTAGATCATCTAAGCTCGTGACTTAGTGGTAAAAATAATCAAGTTTAGGCTTAGAAAGGTTCTATTGTCATATCATCAAGCTACCTTTAGATGCAAAATAGGTATCGCAGATATCTACATTTCCATCGTTTGAAGTTATTTCTTTTCAATCTAGTAAGGCCTTTGGTTTTAAGCTCGTAATGGTTATATCGTCTTCTTAAACTTTGAAGACGAATATGGTATGTAAATGACCATTATTGGCATCAGGTATTACGAAAATATTGGATTCACGAAGGTTATAAAACACATGACAACTCACAAAAAGCCTGCAAAACTAAAAAAAAACTAGGGATAGTAGAGTAAAACCCAAAACGCTAAGCATAAATATACTGGCAGTTTTGACATGAAAATCTTTTTAAAACAAGTGAATAAAGCGATATTCTAAAGAATAATATTAAAACCTTAGAACAGACAAAAGCGTTATTCCAAATTTAAATTGCCAGTACGTATGTAATTACTCGAACTCTAGCATTTGTTTTCATATCACGGGTTGGCATCGGCGAGCACGATTCGCCTCACCTTGCGAATCTTCGAACCACGCAAGACCTGCATGATGCATGCCTGCAACTCTGTGACTAATTGTCTGTAACGGATTTTTGCATAATGAGCTAGACAGTGGCAAAATGTGTTTGTTAATAGTGATTTATGAGTTTAAAATAACGCTAATGCTACTTTTCAAGCTATTTATATAGAAAAATCGTTAAAAATAGTTATTAAATGGTCGTAATTTATTCTCGCAGACATAATCGGGTAGTAACTAATTAGTTATATTTCTTTTCTTTAATTTGATTTAATAAAACTTTATAAGGAACAGACAAAGTAACTGCGTCTTAGCAAGTTTAGGAACGCAAAAGAATATGAGCTTTCCACTTTTTCATCCAACTTACTTTCAGTCACCTTTCTGAAGCCATCCATCAGTCCATCGAGCTGCTTAGGGTGGGGTTCACTAAACTTTTCGAAACTTGACCTCCACTTTTCATCAGTTCTGCGACGGATATGGTAGATTTGTCTTCACTGAATGTCCTTGTTCCTAATTTTTTACCTTATTTAATTAAAAATTACATAATATCTGAAAAAAGATCTTTGAGGTGGTCATTTATTGTGACTGTCACTGTTTGGGTTAGCGGTTAAGCTGTAGGTCCTGGCTACACAGGAGTTGCAGCGGTGGGAGTAGTCCTGTGTATTGTGACTGTCAGGGAGTGTTCGTAGTGAGGTTAAGTTAATATTAGTGAGATCAAATACTTGCCTTGTTATGCATAAAAAATATTTCATTCTTCATCATCATCAACAGCCCTTTACAGACCACTGCTGGACTAGGAGCCTCCTCCACTATAGTGGGGGGTTTTGCCATAATTCCCACGCTTTTCAGGCGGGTTGGAGATGGCAGTTTAAAAGATTGATGATTTTCAAAAAGTACTGCTGCCCGTTCTCTGTTTGATGTGTAGTCCCTTAGTCGCCTCTTACGACTTTGTTAGGTTAAATTAACACGTTGGACGCCACGCGGCTCACCGGTGAGCCTCGAACAATACAATCCCATCAAAAACAATACTTGTCAAAAAAAGCAAGTCTCGCAACTCAGTTGTTCTACGGTAAAAAGTTGTGAGATCCATGTAATACCAAGTCCAGGCCAGGAAATCTTTAACGTTTTACATAAATTATTGACTTGGCCATCGCACTAAATAATTTTATTTACACGTGTTTTCATGCGTCCTGTACCAAGTCCTGGCCTGGACTTGGTATTACATGGATCTCACAACTTTTTACCGTAGAACAACTGAGTTGCGAGACTTGGTTTTTTTGACAAGTATTGTTTTTGATGGGATCTCATTTCTTTGTGTATTTTGTAGACAGCAGTTATGTATCCAGAAAACTGGACCGAAATTGAAAAATTTCACTCGACTTGGCGGTTGCACTACCGTGCCCTCAAATATTTTAGTTTTTCCTTGATTCATACACCAAAGACTACTTATATTCCAAATTTGAAGCTTCTAGGTCTGCTAGAAGTGCCTTAGAATTTTGATGATCGGTGAGTCAGTCAGTCAGTCAGTGAGTGACAAAATTAAGTAACTTTGACCCGTTATAATTCTTAAACTACTGGTTCAAATTGAATGAAATTTTAAATATACCGTCTTTACAATGCCTGCATAGCTAATGAAAATTCAGCCTTCTAGTTTTATCCATAACGAAGTTACAGGCGGTCGAAAATGGCCTGAGCCCCGATTACGGTAACTTTTAACGTTTCCAATCCAGACACGCTTCATCGGTTCTGCGATACGATTGGTCAAAACAGCTGACGTACGCTATTGAACGACCAATCGTATCGCAGAATCGAGAAGCGTGTCTGGATTGGAGACGTTAAAAATTACCGTAATCGGGGCTCTGAATTGCTTCGAGAAAAGGATGGTACGGCCGTGCCGCTTTTTTGCTCGACTTGGTGGGGGCACTGCCGTGCCCCCAGATTTCCATTGTGTCTAGCGTCTCGGCGTTCAATGACTTAAAAAAAATCATGTTTCTCCAAATTACCTCAAATTGTTTAAGGGCTGTGTAAGGCACACATCCTTATACAGTCTCTCAGTGATAGTAGATTCAAGCTCATTCAAAATGCCGCACTCGCTTTCGTCTAGCGGCTGACATTTTGTCATATTACTGCATATTGCAATTCACGACCGGTCCACATGTTAGCTTTCAGCGCACGTGTGCTTACTCTGGTCGCGTGACCTGGTTTTTAGGACAAAGCTTATTTCTCTATTGAAAGGCCTTTGAGATTGCCGATAGATCTCAATATTTTCTACGTTAGGTTTAAAAATGATGAAGGTATGATAATTTAAAGCTATTCGTACGTTGTCTGTAAGGGTTTGAATACTTAAACGACAGCATTATATTTATGAACTAAAAGCATAATGATTTACACTTCAGGACATTGTAAAGAGCACCTGAATAGTGTATGTGAATTAGGTGTATCATTAGTTTTTTTATGGGCACTGTTTAAAGTTTTACCAAATTTTCTTTTGCACCTCGTAATTACTTTCATTCTATCTGTTTTATAAGATACTCTTCTGGTGAAATTTTCCTGAGTACGGAAGGACTTACAGTAATCTGTTAATTGAGCAATTAATCTGTACCCAGCTCTGCATAAACTTAAGGTTTAATACTAACTTACTTACTATCAAGTTAAATCATACCTTAGTGAAAGTTGGACATCAAAATTACAAGCAGTTTTGCCTTAGTACGTAACATGTAAATGTGTAACTTCCTCCTATATATTTCTGGATTCTACAGTTTTAGGTCCTATTCAAGTCAAGGTATAAGTAGCCTTATATTTTTGCATACATTTTAGATTCCAAAAGCCTAAGACGGACTTCTACGACCAATGTGTTTTACGGAATAGAATCCTGAGGCAGCAAATCAATCAACTTAAAAAACTTTAAAGAAGTATCACCTTCGTCATTATATCAAGTGCTGCTATAGTACCGATAAACACTACACTAGACCAGTTAACAAAAATTCCCATCAAGGCCTGCTAGTACAAAAAAAATATTTTTTAATTGATGCTATCCTGCCAAGTAGCTATATTTAATATAAGAGTTATGTAATTATTTCTTTATTATTATTGAGTATTATTAAATATGAATTTTAAAATAAAAAAGAAGCGTAAATAACTATTAATCTATTGATTGCAACCTCAGATTTGCAACCGACTGGTAATTTTAAAAACTAACCTACTTTTTTTCGTTAGTTTCCCCGAATTAGTTAATTAATATACGGAACCGATTAAGGCCATTTAACTACAATTTGCGGTAATTGGTAACGCACCAAAAAGTAATAGAGAAAGTGTGAAAAACTATCATCCTTATTGTCTCGACACTTGATAAATATTCTTTTTTTCATTATTTTTTATGCTGTTGATAAATCATTAAAGCCAGTCGTAATTCACTACTGGCCGTATGCCTCTCATAGGGAGGGCCAAAGAGCCACACAATCTTCCACTTTTAAAGGTCACTTTGTCAATGGTAGAGTTCAATCAAGTTAGGATTCTGATAAAGTCTAGGTTTACTTGATTGCGGTGTTGTACGAATAGAAGTTCTATGTAGATCATCATAATCAACAGACTGTCAATCATAGACTGGTAACCTAGTCTTGACAATTCTTCTTGGCCTTTCCCATTCCCAGGGTCGGCCCTCCGTATCATGCGTCTCCAGGCGGCTCGATCCAGGGTCCTATCACTGTTGACTTGGGCCTCTTTAAGGTCCTTATTTACAAACAATGTTTTAACATGATACTCGCTATTCACAAGACAATTACAGGGAAAGAGTTCAATCAAACCTACATTAGGCTACACGCAAAAACTGTACTGTCATTGATTGACATAGCAACAGTCCATTCATTATGACATTACGTTCCACGCATGCGCGACACTTGCTCCACATGTTGCAAGCGCGTGAGCGGGCGTGGTAGCCGCGCCCGCGAAAGGTGAGAATTCCGTTCAGGATTACCCTGACCTTGAACTATTGTTTCAGCAGCTAACTAGGTATATCTGTCTGCTGACCTATTCTGGTATTCACTAAGATCTCACACAAATCACACAATCTAAGACCGGATCTTAGACAACCGGACCGGATCTTTGCTGAACAACATTCAAATCTTGATTGAACTTTGAACTTAGAAAAAATCTTATAGAATCTATGACTGATTGAGTAGAGTTTTAAGCGTTGTGTTATAGTATGAACTTACAAGTATCATTTAGGTTATGGAGCCAGAAAAATATTAATATCAAAATAAATATAAATAAATAAATAAATATCCTTAGACATTTTAAACTGCGCATCTAGTCCCAAACTAAGCAAAGCTTGTACTATGGGTACTAGACAACGGATATAAACATACTTTTTTGTAAATACATACTTATTATACATAGAAAACACCCAGTCCAATACAAACAAATATGTTCATGCACACAAATGTTTGTATTGTGCGGGAATCGAACCCGCTACCTCTGGAATAATAGTAGTCCGTTTCCAACCACTACACCAAACGGCCGACAAAAGTAAAACAACCTAAGAAAAGTTTTCAGTAGGTGAAAACGATGTTTCTCTATCTATTTTACTAAAAAGAACGAGTATGAAAATAAAGGTTACTGACGTCATTGCTTTTCAAGTCAACTGCCTGAATAATTTATGACTAGCTATTGAAAATAAACATTACTAAATCAAATTGGTTTGGGTTTTCTTCCAATGATACTTTCTTTGGAATAAGTAATAGGTCTATTACCACTCCTATTTACGTATTTATTTAGATAATGCCTCGAGACGACAAATGAAATGCAAACTTTTTCTTGAGACTTGAGTATTTATTACAAGAAGTACGAAGTCTAAATATTTACTAGAGAAAGTTGAGGTCTGATCAGTAAGGTTAAGAAGAGTAGCGTCTATTTTGGAAAACTACTTCGTAGTCGACTCTATCTCTCTCTGTCACTATTGTAGCTTTCTTAACACCTTTGCTGCGGCAGTAACTTTCTAATACTTTCCATTCCTTCGGTACAAGGTCAGTAAACCTGGTATTAAAACTTACATTGTGGCGGCACAAGGCTTAAAGACCTTGTAATATTTAAGATATATTAATTTTATTTTTGGCTTCATGTTAATAGATATTGTGTTTTTTTTCTTTGAATATTAATAATAATGCATTTATTGACATACACCTGAAGGCGTTCGTGAATAACTTGTTTAGTATAAAAATTATAGCTATATTCAAAATACAAGGCTTATGCACCCTGTGCCGCACTGAAGTAGGGAAGTCTGGTGGGTATTCTAGGGATGTGAAATACAAATATCGATAGTTTAAATTAAGTTTTAATAAAAATTTAAAAAAGTAACAAACAAAGATGTTTTAATAATTTAGTCTAAATATTTTACAAATAAGATGCACGAAGCTAGCGTGTGGTGCGGTACCAGGTGCGCAGGGTACAAGGTGCTTCGACCTGGTTTCGCATTGTGAAGACATTTTATTACTTCCGTGCGGTACCAGGTCTAAAAACCTGGTATTAAGGTAGGTACATCATTGGATTCTATTTTAAGAATACATCATAGATATATATTCATCACTTTCCTACACCGAACCCAATTGAAGTTATGCCTTTCGCACGACAAGGAAGACTATAACTTTCTTAGCCGCACGGTAAGCGAGACGTACACAAGGTCTATAGACCTGGTTTCGCACTCAACGTGTTAAGGCATGTGACAGAAATGAAAAGAGCTTGTATATCGATGTAATAGTTAACATGATGCAGTAGCGTCTCTCAGCATTACCAAAGCAAATATGTGAAACCTTATTACAGAAATAATAGGTTTTGCGACCACTTATGAAGAAAACTGACCATCTGTTGAAACTGTCGACATTTTCTTATGTGAAACTAATAACGACATCGTGGTAGTCAATTTTGATTGATGGAAATGATGGATTGGTTTTAAAGTTAGATCGATCTTACAAATTGGTCTAAAAGCATTAGAAATCTGAGTAAACAATGGGAGTAGGTAACTAGATTCTGTAAAATCAAAGAAATCTAGTGCTAGCTTTAACTAGAGAGTGTGACCAATTTGGTCATTGTTTGATACGAAAACTCAAATGGATGTTGTGAAATCATCGTCATCATTTGAAGGAAATATGTCATTCTATCAGGCATGATGCAAGGTAGAGCGTCCTCTAACAAGTTGATTGACCATACTAAGGCTGGGTTTCACCATCTTACTTTAACTTTGACAAACGTCAAATATCTGTCAAACTCCATACAAAAAGCACCGGTTATCGTCATAGTTACCGTCAAATTTAGTTGGTGCAACTCAGCCTAAGATACGAAAAAGATAAGAAGTTGGCATGTGAAGTAGCGGTAAGAAAATAACAAGTGAAGATCGTGACAGATTGTACACATTGACATTATTAATTTATATTGTTTGCATTGTACCTATAACTTGTTACCGCTTTGGTATCTCTTTGAGCCTTCAAGCAGCTTTTTATTATAAATAAATAAATCGATGAAGCCTTGGACTCAGTATCGTTTTTACTGTGTCTCTATCTCTATATCTCTATAGTCATAGCTAAAAGGATAAAAAAAAATCCTTTTTTTCCGGCGGCCCTAAGGATGGTCTTGGGGTAGTTTATGTCCAACAATGATAAACAATTCAATATTAACTTAACAAACTTTATTGTACTATCAACACACCAATTAAATTAAGGAGTAGAGTTAAATAAATTAAAAACAGCACATCTTCTAACACCTTAAGACGCGTATTTGTTTCCGACGTGGTGTCGCACCCCCCACTTGTAATTTGCGTTTTTATCGGTCTTCACGAAGGTGTGAACGGGGCCGGTGACGCCTCGTGTGTCTTTGTGGTCGTGGTCGTGGTGGTCATGGTCCTCGTAGTCGTGGTGGTCACGTTTAGGACGCTCCCATTGCTCTTCGGTCGTCTCTGGGCGGACGTGGTGAACTGTGAAGGTAAGAAAAGTCGTGTCAAATGAAAGATTATTCGCTGACTATTAGTGAGTAGTAACTCTGCTTGTTATATGGTTTTCATATGTATCAGTGTCACGAATCAGAGACTTCATGGTTTTCTCGTAAGGGGGTGGAATATGGGATATGTTTTGTGGAGACTCCATCATTTTTCATGTTTTTGAAAATAAAACCCATTTTCATTGTTTTGGTAATAAAAGTGTTTATTGTTCAAGTAGCGTCATTCGCTCAAATTAAATCTTCAGCCTACATCTCAACGAGTAAAATGTCTCAAAATTCCAAAAAATATCGACTAATTAAAGTTAGATAAGTACGGGAAACACAACGATACTTACCAAAATAAAATTATAAATTATATTTAAGTAGCAATTATTTCTAAAGATCGTGAAAAATCTAGTAAACGAAATATCCGTATGCCGTAAAGCACATCCGTTCTATATTTTCATCAGAGTGTTTGCAACGCTTGTCTCAATTCTTGTACGAATATAAGAATGTTTTAATCGATTAAATCGGAATTGGGTATTAAGTCAAGCACCAAAAGAATCCAGATTCATTTGACATAAAAAAACTTAGTGGAATGCAGTAAACGCACATTGTATCAAATGTAAATGTACGACAAGAGCTATAATTACTATTACATAATTACTGTATAGGTACCTATCTAATTATTGTCTAGTAGAATTCAAGAAAATATTTTCTTTAAATCTGTCAAAAAACTATGATAACATTCATCGCATGGAATAAATATGGTTCCAGATTCATATGATAATACTGATTATTGTAAAATCTTTAGGACTTGTTTTTGATATGGAATAACCTTTTTACTGACATTCGGTGGAGGCAACTTGAGGCACATAAAATACGATCATGTAATACGAATGTAATACGATCTATGATTTTCATTGACTGCAGATTCTTACAACTTATGAATTAACTCAGAAGGACTTCTTAGGTAGCAAATGTGCTCTACTTGTCACCCTAGCTCTTATTACTTCCACTACACTTATATGACACTGCTCTACATATAAAATCTGCATCTTGAGGGCTATCGAGCGGCGGCGAAAGTGTGCAATGTAATCCGTTATGCAAGGGCCGGTCAAGTGTTAAATTGGAGTGCACTACTGCGCGTGTATTGTTGCATATAGGGTCTCTGTGGATACTGTTACTAATTTCTTTTGGCATGTACAGACAGCACATCAAGCGAAGCATCTTATGCAGTTTTTATAGTAATAGGTGATAATTCTACAACTTAATGTTGAAGTGTACAATAATAATGTACCTAAGAATTAAAACATCAATCAGCACATGATTACTAGTAATTGACTGGTTATTCGCTGGTTTGGCTGTCCTTTTTTGCGTGTCCTTTTTTATGCAGAAAAAGGCAGGTATTTGACCGCAATTGCACCTAACGCATGCTTCTTATGTAATGGGATTATTGAAATTTCAGCATAGAAACCTCTCCATCCATTTAAACTTAACAGCGTTCAGGGATGGGACAGCTTTTGAATGAAATAAGAAACCTAAGTACCTTCTTTATACATCATTCTGTAGCTTGAATAAATTTTTACATAATAACCAGGTTATGTGTATATTGAGTTAAATTGACTTACTATTTACCAAGAGTTCTGTTTAAACACGTATGTAGAGTAGGTAAACCTACTTGTGTTTTGGACGTTTTCCAAAACTTTTTACATATTCAGCACTGATGCCCGTTGGTGCACAAAAGTTTTTGAGTTGCGTCCTTGGACAGGAAGACCATTTAGTGATGAAGGTCACGGGAAAAACGGATGCGGACATCGCAGGACCGGTCATTATGGAAATCTTTTAGGGAAGTCTTTGTCAAGCAGTAGATGCATGTCCTCTGGTTGAAACGAGATATTATGGTTGTTACTTACTTTGTGGTCTGAAGTGTGGTGGTGGCTGTGGCGCGTATCTGACCACTCTAAGGGGGCCTCGGTGGACAGGGTAGTACGGGATTGACCACGCTGATGTAACTGCCACAAGAACGCTCACCAACAGTAACTGGAAACAACAATTTACATTACTTATCCAAGATTTTGAATTTAGAACCATAATTTATATTGTAAGAAAATCATGTTGTGATTTGATAGAGCAGTTTGCATTCCGCAATAATTTCCTTATTTAATGTGATTATTATGATTACGGTACGAAATATGACCCTTAAAACAGTAAAAACTCAATCATATCTCATATTTTCTAAAGTTTATTATACTTTCGCAGAAAATCCATATCAATTAAGATTGTATCAATGCAATTTTGAGAGTCACAACCGGCAGTATAATGGGGATGTTGCCTGGGTCAAAAAGCAAGAGTTTTAATTAGTCCGTCAGTTAACTTATAAAAAAATACTCTACACGTATTTTTCACTTTTTCAAACTAATGAAAATTTAAAGAGATAAAGCGCCCCAAAGTTCATAAGAAGAGGCCCGTGACGTCAACGCTTGCTTAAAAATGCCGCACGTTGTGACGTCGTGCGCAACTTCAACGCACCATAACTATGTAATTATTTGTTAGATTGACAAAATAAAAATATATGTGTCCAATATTTTTTGATATTAAACATTACGGACTAAAAAAATTTTTTTAGGCAACTAGCCTATTGGGCAGTATCGTTAGTTACAGCAGTTGAAGTAAGTACTTGAGTATTCTTTAAGTATAGAGATAAGTTCCTGTAATACTTTCTTGTTTTTTGTATTTTAAGTAAAATCTAATCTTAAATTATAACTAATGAGGTAGAATTGTGTAAAGCAATCGTAATCATTTGACAGTTCATAACATACGATAAAGTTTGTTAACACGTTGAGTGCGAAACCAGGTCTATAGACCTTGTGTACGTCTCGCTTACCGTGCGGCTAAGAAAATTATAGTCTTCCTTGTCGTGCGGAAGGCATAACTTCAATTGGGTCCGGTGTAGGAAAGTGATGAATATATATCTATGATGTATTCTTAAAATAGAATCCAATGATGTACCTACCTTAATACCAGGTTTTTAGACCTGGTACCGCACGGAAGTAATAAAATGTCTTCACAATGCGAAACCAGGTCGAAGCACCTTGTACCCTGCGCACCTGGTACCGCACCCCACGCTAGCTTCGTGCAGCCAGTGTTGCCTCGCATTCGTAAGAAACGCACATGTCGACATGGCGTCAAGAAAAACAAACAAAATCAAAACTGCAAATTGATTATAATTTAATTTGCTACACGATTTATTGCTAATTTAAGTAATGTTTTTCGTGACAAACATTTGAAGTTGTAACTAAATGTTATTAAATAATATGTTTTCTTTATATATAGCTTATTTAAGTATTTATGCACGTATGTCTTATTTGTAAAATATTTAGACTAAATTATTAAAACATGTTTGTTTGTTACTTTTTTAAATTTTTATTAAAACTTAATTTAAACTATCGATATTTGTATTTCACATCCCTAGAATACCCACCAGAATTCCCTACTTCAGTGCGGCACAGGGTGCATAAGCCTTGTATTTTGAATATAGCTATAATTTTTATACTAAACAAGTTATTCACGAACGCCTTCAGGTGTATGTCAATAAATGCATTATTATTAATATTCAAAGAAAAAAAACATAATATCTATTAACATGAAGCCAAAAATAAAATTAATATATCTTAAACATTACAAGGTCTTTAAGCCTTGTGCCGCCACAATGTAAGTTTTAATACCAGGTTTACCGACCTTGTACCGAAGGAATGGAAAGTATTAGAAAGTTACTGCCGCAGCAAAGGTGTTAAACAAAGCGTTTCACAGAATAACGTACGTTATGAACTGTCAAATGATTACGATTGCTTTACAAAATTCCTCCTCAGTTTTGTTTATTATTTCTACCATTGTGTAGTTGGAAACTTTATCCGCAATCGACTTCCATGATAAAAGGCTTAGGTACTTATGAGGAGAAATTATGTTTTGTTAAAAAAGTAATGTTTCAGTTCCACAGTATTTGTATTGTCCCATTTATGGTTACTAAGGAAGTATTAATTAAACACTGAAAGTTGATAATTTTATTCCACGCACGCGTAAGTAAGGTAATTAATGTAATCACATTGTGATTAATTGCTTTGCGTTAAATTATGGAAATAAAGCAAAACGGTGTCTCAGTTTTAACCGGACATATCGTACTTTTTTAGAATACAATACAAAATATATTTGAAATAGGAAATGGCTCATCTATGACCTCAAAACTCGTAAAAACTGTATTTTAATCACTTGCTCTACTTTCTGTCAAGTTTTTTTCGACGCTATTGTTATTACGTATCAGGTAAACTCTAATAAAGCCAAGGTTACTCGTATCTTAATCTCTTTAAACCACTATCCGTAAACTCTAATTCTATCCTTAATTAAATCTAAATAGGTTTATTTATCGATACTCACCAAAACTCGTCCGTCCATCATGTTGTGTCGGCAAAATGACAGCTTCATGGTCAGAAGGCGGTTGACATAAATGGGGGTCCGGCGCCGACGTGCTTCTTATAAAGTAGAAAGAAAACGAATCTATACACTTTCTACCATCCGATTTTCCGCTTCAACGATCTGTGATTCGATGCAGATGGATCGGACGTTGGTGCTTCCTTAGACAATAATAAATTTATTAACTAGAGCTGGTTGGATCTACCGCAAGAGGCGTTTAAATCATTTCTGCTTCTTCTTCTTTTTTAGTGATTCGAAATTATTTTGAGGTCAGAAATAATTCAAGGCTAAATGTTATCTATCAACATTGTGGCAGTGAAAAATAGGACCTTTGATAATCGCGGACTTGAACATAGAGTTTCAATACATTAATTTATCTCTAACTATTGGTATCTAAATGAAGATTATCAGGGACCTTATATGCAAGCGAATTAACTAAATCCCCATAAATTATAATATGTAGGTACTAACAATCAAAAATAACTATTAAGGCATGGAATATACTATAACTACACCGTAAAATTACCACGGTTATAATTTATGTTCGAACATAATCTATAACAAATTTGAAGGAGAAAGCCTATGTAATTTTGCAATTTCATTATATCATCGAACTAGAATTTATGTACAATGTCTTCAATAAAATCTTATAGTTAAATTATTGAATATGTTCTTTCAGTATGATTCAAATCTCATTTATTTTATGTCAGGAAGTTTATTTCTAAAATTGACAACAATGATCTACTATGATGAGTCTTATAAGAAAATAATGCATTTCAAAACCTAAATTAATATAATTATGCAATACTAGATTGTTAATTAGTGATGAAACAATATGATTTATTCTTCAATTTGTATAAAAATAGTTAAAATAATCAAATATATGTTTTAGGAGTTACCGCTATAAATAAAAAATTGTCAGAACAAAAAGAAGTAGGTAAGTAGTAGTAGAAGGTATCTAAGGTTAATTATATGTGCCTTTTTCCTGTGATGCAGATTTCGGCACTCATGCGGATCTGGTCCGCATGCGGGCTAACTGCATTTGAAAGAAATAAATAAAAAACATGTCATTATTTCGTACATGTTTTTATCCTATTACTCGGGCTACACGCATGCAACCAGCAGCGTACGATATTATGCTCACGCCACAGATTAGAGAGATTCCGCACGCGTGCCGAAATCAGCATCATAGGAAAAGGCACTAACATCGTGATGTTTTAGCTATAAAACAATATTATTATTACGTGTCCTGCAGCCGTATTGCTTTTGTTTCTGACGTAATTCACTCGTTATGCTACTGGTAGCAATAAAAACTTCATCTCAGTATGCTCAGTTCGCTTTCACTTGTTTTGGCATTTTAAATAGAACGAAAAACAAAAAAATAATAAAAATAGGCGACATTATGTTACGATATCAGAAAAAGTTTGATTGTTTTACGTGCTTTGTTACTTATAAAACTATTTCAAGTATTCTTTTAACTCTCTTGATAACAAAATATCGTCAAAAACTGCTCTGAATCAATCAGTATACTATACCAATGCACCAGTTTTAAAGAATGAAAACAAATTGATATCATCAAAGTGGAATGGAACTATCTAACTAATAGTGTAAGAACTCTATTACTTTGTTCTACATTGCGTACAAAGCTTAAGTTTAGGCCATAATGCCTTAGATAAACCTGTGGCATGTCTTTCTTGCCATTCCAGCCTTATTCATATTATTAGCCGAGTTGTTGAACGCATGTTGGTTGCATGACCATATATCGGCTTTCGCATCTGACAGTTTTGTTATTATACACCCGTATTCACAAACATTACTTTGAGGCCTCATAGTGCGCGTTGACGCACAGGGTCCCAAAAACCTATTCATAGACAATACTTCAGTGGTGACAAGCACTATGCGTCCCTTAGAATGAACGCAAAGCTAAGGTAGACAGGGAGCTGTATTACGCAACGCATAGTGTCTATTTACGTCAAAATTTTTAGGTTATTCTCGTTTTTGAGGTTCCGTAGCCAAAATGGCAAAAACGGAACCCTTATAGTTTCGTCATGTCCGTCTGTCCGTCTGTCCGTCTGTCGTGTGTGTGTGTGTGTGTGTGTGTGTGTGTGTGTGTGTGTGTGTGTGCGTGAGTGTGTGTGCGTGAGTGTGTTTTGTATGTATCCTATGCCAGTATCAGATAACTGTACTCACTAGTGATTCAGTTTCCGCATAATTAATTTTCAGAAGCCACTTTTTCACTTTCAATTTAGCCAAATTTGCGCTAAGGGTTTTGATGTCACATTTATTCACAACTTTATTATAAACGTAGGGGAATAGGAATACACTATGTCGCTGTGCGAAAGAGGTGTTTGTTTTTGGTGTATCAATTCTGAAAGTGCGTTTTTTGAGTAGTGCTTCGTAGTTTACAGACCGAACTACTGTCCTATGTGTGGCCAGAACGGCTTTAAGAATGAAAAGCTTGCGAACGCTGAGGACTTGGCTCTCATTGTACACAAGATTTGTTCGGTACCGACGCGGCCTGCCAAGCATCACCTTGATCACGGCTCTCTGGGCTCTCTCAATCCGAAGCATCCAAGTTTTATCTGTTCCACCCCAAGAGCTTATACAATAAGTTAAAACGCTTTGGCATAGCCCAAGATAAACCAAACGGAGAACAGAGGGGCTGGCGGCGTCACGGAGCAGTGACATTATGTTAATAATCTTACGAACTCTATTCGACAGGGCTACAATGTGCTGATGGAAGTTAAGTTTTTGGTCTACCAAAACGCCAAGGTATTTGATCACTTCAACTTGCTCAATACGGTCGCATTGGCACGCAGGTTGGTTATTATAATTGGATAAAACGTCACAGTTGCTTTGATGGATTTTGACAGGTGGAACCAGGCTCGGCTTTGAGGAGGCGGTTTTATAAAAAGTCATGAATTTTGTTTTAAGTATGTTAAGGGATAAAAGATTGTTTTCCAACCAACGCGCCACCTCTGCCAAGCCTAGCTCCAAGTATTTAAATGTTTGCGACCACGACGAGCCCTTAAACAAAATAACAGTATCGTCAGCATAACAAACTGTTTCGGCGCTTGATAGCCCAAGAAACAAGAGATCATTGAGATATATATTAAATAGGATGGGCCCCAATACGCTACCCTGGGGAACACCGAAACGAATTGGTTGAGTATTGCTGAGGAAATCACCCACCCGCACACATTGCGTACGATCCGTCAAATAGCTTCTGAACCAGGCCAGGGCTACTCCTCTGATACCCATTTTTTCAAGCTTGGTAAGCAATATTGGTATTGAAACTGTATCGAACGCCCTGGCCAAGTCCAGAAACACCCCAACGCAAAAACGGCCCGCATCCAGACAACCGGTAACCAGCGATGAGAGTAAGTTTACCGCGTCCTCCGTGGATCGCCTCCGCTGGAAGCCGAATTGCCGTCCTGCTAGTAACTTGTGGCTTTCGAGGTAGTCGGAAAGGCGCCTTTGGACAATCTTTTCTAGCAGTTTTGATAGAATACTCAATAGTGAAATTGGCCTGTAATTATTCGGTGCGTCTTTCGGTCCGGATTTATAAATCGGAGAAACAACTGCTTTTTTCCAACAGTCCGGAAACGTACCACTACTAAGGCTAAGATTGAAAATGTGCGTTAGCGGAGGTATCAACAAATCTCGATTTATCTTTAGGAAATTGGTCGTGATTCCATCTATACCGGGCGCGCTGTCGTTTTTTAAATTAAGGATTAGAGCGTTGACTTCCGAGGTATCGGTTGGGGCTAGAAAAAGGGAGTCTCCTGGGCTGTTATTAACTCGAACGTTTTTAACTAAGTATTCTTGTGTAGTGTTAAGTCTCAAGAGTGTGTCGTTCGCCTTCTTTTCCCCCACAGTCGAAAAATATGTATTGCAAATATTAAGGGATTCCACTGTCGAATTAGAGGAGCTGAGTAATTCCGTTGGTTGGGTTTTCTTTTTTACTGTATGACAGATGGTGTTAACAGCTTTCCACAATTTCTTAGGGTCACTCTGATGTTTCTGTAGTTCTTCAGCATTGTATTTGTTTTTTAATTTTCGCAAAAGATCATTACAGAAGTTACGATAACGGGTATAGATCAGTTTAAGTATTTGATTATTTGGTTCCTTTCGTGAGTTTAAGTGTAATGTATCTCGGTTCCTTATGCAGCGCATCAGTCCCGGCGTAATCCAAGGTTTGATAGTGTGTTTGGAGCGACTAGCCTTCTTTCTCTGAGTGTGCTTTGTGATAACGGATTGTATGATCGATGTGAAGGTGTGTGCGGCAGTGGAGGGATCAGTGATGTCAGTGACGGGAGTCCAATCCAAGGTTTTTAGTTCTTTTGAAGCAGACAGGTAATTTATTCTGCTGTAGTATCTGTCTGGTTGATCACGGGTCCCAGACAGCCCGAGGCCCAACATTGCCAGTGAATGATCGGTGGCACTACTTGGACCGACAACACCAACTGCAGATAAGAAGGGTCTCACAAAAATGTGGTCTAGACAGGACTGTAGACGTGTAGGTTTAGAGATTGCTGAAAAGAAGCCGTGTTCGGATAGGAGGCATAGATAATTGTGGATTTGTGGATTGGAGGTCATGTTTAAAATATTAATATTTAGGTCACCTGCTATTATTAGGTTTTTCTTATCTTTAAGTGTTAAAAGGGTTTGATCTAATATTTCAACAAATTTGTCTATGCTTTTCATGGATGGCGATCGATACACTCCCAATATCGTAGTAATACCTTTGATGTCCACCATTATACAGTTTGCCTCCCCTTTAAGGTCAATCTCTCTAGATGTTATTTCCAGGTTATCCCTGGTGTACACAACCACACCGCCTGCTCTATTGATATTAAGGTTTGTGTAAGAGCTAGTATAACCGTCTAGTTGTTTTATGATCCTGCTTTCATCAAGCCAACATTCCGTAAGGATTATCACATCGAAGGTTGTGACGAGCTGATTGAGCATGATAAGGAAATTTTCAAAATTTTTGTTCAGGCTTCTTATATTGTACGTTAGTAAAGTGAAATTCCATTTTGAATTAATAATATGAGTGGTGCAATCTTCTAGTCGGCTTAAGAGATGCAATCAATGTTCAATGAGTCGTCTATTTCTTTCGCGACTTCGTCTATTGCCATTGCGAGTGGGGCTTACTCCAGATTGTGAAGTAAACACCCTTATGAATTATTATAATAAGAAGGAGCCAGAGGTGGCCCTGGTAAAGCGACGGATTAAATTTTTCTACTTTGTTTTCTACTTTTACGACTCGTGAGTTTGTTAGAAAGCCGAGATTTATATCAAATTTGATTTTTGAGTTAAATATGCGATTAGCGTTGCATGTGTTTTTGATATATGGGGTGTAAGTAACGTGTAAATTGAATGTATTTAGAGTAAGGTGTGGAAGTGGTGTAAATTTTGTGGTGAATTTGCGAAATATCTGTTTAATCTGAGATTTATGGCCATTATTTATTAACATGTGGTTAATTAGAGCTAAGTACAGACAGAATGTGACGAAATTTAAAAATACTACTAGATACCAAGTATGACTAGTTGGCAACCGAACTTGAGATAACAACAAATATAAGACAACACTGAGCATTACGCTATCAGCTTACTACGCCTATGTGGTATCTACCATTAACTACGGACTCTTAATTTGGGGAAACNAGGGAGCTGTATTACGCAACGCATAGTGTCTATTTACGTCAAAATTTTTAGGTTATTCTCGTTTTTGAGGTTTGTTTGCTTTATTTATGGTTGTATTCGAGTAATATTATCTTACAATGGATTACAGTAGTGAAGAAGAATTTGATAATTATATCAATGAGCAAAGTAGAATAAGTACCAGAAAAGTGATACGGGATTCCCAAAATCCCTTTGATTATTACAATTCAGACGAATTTAGTTTAGGTTTTCCAATGATGGGGTACTTTTCATACTTTTACCACTGATAAAAGAAGACCTGAGGAAATTAACTGCGAGGAGGCCTTCCAGTGCCACCTACATAATGTATCAGTTGCTAGTGGCAAATAAAACATAAAATTTTTAATAAAGTTTTATTTTCATCAATCTTCAATGTCTAATTTAATTGTATGTATTTGTAAATCATAAAGCTTTTTTTCATGTTCTAACAAATTGTTTTCTCTTTCTATCAATATTTTTTCTCTTTGTAGCCCCAACTCGTGCAAAGCCTGGTCTTGTTATATATTATTCAATGTGGTGCGTTTGATTCTTGTTTCTGTCTTAATCTTCATTCTTGCTACTACTAATCTTAATTTCTTGATACCTACCTGAAAAGCAAATTAATTATGAATTTAATTCCTTTGAGTAGGTATATTCTGCTTAGTTATTCCTCATAAATCTACGTACTATATATTTTAAAAACATTACTTACTAGTGGGTGTTGAGAACGTTTGATTGATTCCTGAGAAAGTTCTTTCATTCTTTGGGTCTTTAAATTATTCCAGCAGCTTTTCAGTTGATGTGTGAGCCTTTGTGAAACATAAAATATGGTTGAGAATTGTAAGCCACTGTTAGAGTTTCCCAGGCCTGCTTCGTCAACTCGATATTTTAGAGAGGATAATAATATGCTTGTCTTCAATAATAGGCCTTTCTCTTATTAAGCTACAATCAGCAGCTCTCTTTCGGAAGAAGAAAACGGCAGCTTTTTATCTGAAAAATAATGATTGAAACATGATTTTCACTATTATTATTAATCGAAATATTCATACTAACCTGATAGTTGTAGTTTTATCCATATTTATTTAATTCACAAATCCACAAAATAACGACACATAAAAACCGTTGCACCGTTTGAATGACAGGAATGTCATGTCAGTTAGCGAAGTGAAGTGCGTAACATAAGCGAACCAATCACAGAACTCTATTCAACACTCTAATTTTGCATAGTCAAGGGTCGTTTAAGTATTGTTTATGAATTGAAAGGCTTGTCATATGGAACGCATTGAGAAATGTCTCATTTCGCATAGCGTTGCTGCTTTGCATAGGTAAGTATCGTTTGTGAATACGGGTGATAGACTCAACAATAATAAGGCTGTGATTTTATAGGCCTCCGAAATCTAGCACAGTCCAGTCAGTACATTGGCTTGAGTCGTGTTTATCGTGATTTTTAGATAAAATTCTCTTTGTACATTGTTGTACCTAGTTCGAATATTACGTGACTCTCATCTTTCGGTCCAAATAGTCGAAATTCAAGTTCAAATGATAAACATTTCTTTTGGCTTTGTTGTAACCTTGATTTTGATCACGATATTTTTATTTTTTCAAAGCTTCAATACGCTATTGTGTTGGTTTCTTGTCAATGCTTTTCTAAATCATGATTCGTGTTTAGCTCCTTATAGTAAAAGCTACTTTCATGAGCTTAGGAGCTTATTTCATTAATTTTATGGACATGAGAGTGTAATTTGTATAATGCATACCAGGTCTACATAACAAGATGTAAGGAAATGTTAATTCGAGGCTTTGGTACAAGTTCTGACGGACAAAATAAATGGTAGAGTAACTTAATAACATGTTTATTTAGCTATAATAAGTAAGTATATTGGTTAAGTGAAGTGCTCGGGATGTGGTCTATAGGTGCGTGCGCGTCTTTAGAGACGTGATCTCTATTCTAAAAACCGAAGAAAATCTTTGATGTAATGAAGTTATCCAGTGACAAACATGCCTGGGGTGTGATGGGGCAGCAAGGTTCTGGAGTGGAGGCCATGTACAGGAAAACGCAGCGTGAGAAGTTCATCCACAAGGTGGATCGACGACCTCATAAATGTAGCAGAAAGGCGCTGAATGCAGGCCGATCGGGCGATGTACATTATTGGTCCTATGTTCAACAGTGGACGTTCTATGTCTGAGATGATGTTTGACATGCCTGACCAATTCGTTCATCAGTAACGTTAGTCCCAAGGGAAAGTTATACAGTTTTTTGATCTTTTAAGCTTGTTTATAACAATACTTTGAACTTCTTGTACCTTGTACCAATCCCCTTTGTTTATTGTTGCCGTGATACCGAAGCCAAACGCGTTCAGGAACGTCCGCAAGAAACTGACATACTTTCTCATCATTTATGTATTTCACAATCTGAACTTGGTAAGTTCAATTGGAGCAGTAGAATTGTAGTACCTTGTTGCTTGTTTAAATTATTTATGTTATACTAGCGGCCGCCCGCGACTTCGTACGCGTTCATACAAATGTTTTTTCCCGCCAACTCCCGTTCCCGTGGGAATTTTGCGATATCCTGTTGTAACTAAGCTTTAAGTTTACTAAGGTACCTGCATGCCAAATTTCAAGAGTCTATCTTACGCGGTTTAAATTTTTTCATACAAATGTTTTTTCCCACTTACTCCCGTTCCCGTAGGAATTTTGCAATATCCTGTTGTAACTAAGCTTTAAGTTTACTAAGATACCTGCATGCCAAATTTCAAGCGTCTAACTTAAGCGGTTTAGATTTTTCATACAAAAGGATTTTCCCGCTAATTCCCGTTCCCGTGGGAATTCCTAAGTATCCTATAACCTGCCCAGGAGTATGAAGAATAATTGTACCAAGTTTCGTTAAAATCCGTCTAGTAGTTTTTGTTTCTATAAGGAACATACAGACAGACAGACAGACAGACAGACATAGATAAGTTTGTAAGTAAATATAAGAATTATTTTGAGAGGCATGGTTCAGTAATCGAGCGGAGGTCAATAAAAAGGCAATCAAACAGTCCAATTACTAGCACGGGTCAACACAAATCAATCGGTTATTGATCACGAAACTTCACAAAAAAACAAAGGAGAGAATATGTCGACAGTTCACCAAAGCAAAAAGCAGACAGACCTCGTATAAAAACACAATATTAAAAAAAATACATATCTATTTGTTTGTAACCAAATTCTATTATTAAAATTCTGAAGCTGAGTTGCACCATCTTACTTTAACTTTAACAAACGTCAAAATTCTGTCAAACTCCATACAAAAAGCACCGGTTACCGTTATAGTTAAGGTCAAAGTTAGGTGGTGCAACTCAGCCTAAAACTAAGAAAGATTGAAGAAAAAGAAACATTTCGTTTTAAACCTTAACCGTATGAAAATAAAGTGCACAATGGTATTTCGTATTGCAACCTAAGCCCTGATTGTCTCTTATTGGTCGTAGTAAAAATATAGTAAAATGCGTAACCAATTAGAGACGGGGTGAGCACGTGACCGGAGCGATGCGCTTACGCTAAAATTTCTACAAAGTGGTCAGGCGGAAGAGTCCTCGATAGTACATATCCGAAGTTGCAAACTTTGTTCGCAATAACCCACACTATTTTGAAATGAATACTGTCTGAAGTCGTCGTGAGGGCACACTGAAATTTACTCATCAATGCAAAACCCTTCTCCGAAGAATGAGTGTAAACTGCATGGCACCAAAAATTTATAATAAAATCCCATTGTATATCAGGTCAATTAATGATATTAATAATTATTTTTCTATCATAATTAATCATCATAATCAAATCAGATTAAATAAAATCTGAGTTGCGTTCTATATCCTTTAGAGGGCCATGGTCTTTTTTAAAATACAAAACGTTTAACATTTCCGTGCAATATTTTTTTTTTCTTTGATAAAAATACTTGTGCGAAAATGCGAAAAACATGAGCGAACTTAATACTAAAGTAAACAATGCGTTGGCTCTGTTTGACAAGTGGTTTGAAGTAAACAATCTGAAACTTAACGTGGGGAAGACCAAAGCTGTTCTCTTTAAATCCACATCAAGGACAAGAGATACATTAGAAGTCAAGATGAAGGATGACTGCATCTCTGGAGTAGACACTGTTAAGTTTCTTGGTATTCACATAGACTCTTCTCTCAACTGGAAGGTAGAGGTGAATTGCTTGGAAAGCAAAATCTCCTCTTCATGCTATGCTCTGCGCAGTTTAAGAGAGGAGTTAACNTTTTTATACATTGGTAGATGTCTAAGAATCAGTTTTATGTAAATTGTAGTTGGCCAGTTTTTTTATATTATGGTATATAAAATCAAAATATGATGCTTCTTTTTGAGGCAACAAAAGTGTTAATTTGAAAAAATTACATTAAAATAACGGATACACTTTTTGCTGCCGAAAAAAATTATTTTATTAGAATAACAGTGCAAGAATACGAATTTTGTCAAAAACAATAAAAATTAGTTTATTAACTTGTAAAAAAAAAATGTTGAATATGGTGTCCTAAAAATAGGACAGTGGGGAGGAATGGGTCCACAGGCTTTACTTAGCTACGAAATATATATAGGTTGTTGACCTGAAAGTTTGCAGTTATCTCTAAAGCTATGATAGAAGATATTAGCATTAGCACTTTTATTTTTTATTAAATATAATTTTGTTTTTTGACTCCAGGCACCAAGCACACTTTTTTAGAGATGGAAAGGAAGTGACTCAGTTAGATAATTACCACCAACTAAATGCTTTTTACAATTTCAATACATCTTAATCTTATTTCTCAAAGTTGCAATTAAGATGCACTTTCAGACTTGCACAATGGTTAAAATAAAGACCCGTCAACCGAATCATCTCGGTAATTAATTTTCAAAATAGCATTCGAATTGGAACGGTTAATGTTTTATATAATTTTGTAATTCGTTGCGCAGCCGCAGTATCGGAAGCATTACCGTTAAGTGCAAAGCCTAATTGACATCGACAACCGTTTTTACACCGTCGCAATTCCTGGAATACGCGTTGACAATATCATTTAACGGCAGTGGTACACTAAGGCACAACTTAATTAATTTCGGTAGTTATGGGTAGATTTTAAACTAACCTTTTGCCTATTACAAATTATATTTATAAATAAATAGCTTCCAGTGAATTTTTTACTACGCTCTATTTGTACTAGTTTTAAAACCATTATGTTTACACAGAATTGTGCAAATAAATATTTGAACAAGGTGGACCGACGACCTGATAAAGGTAGCAGGAAGGCGCTGGATGCAGGCCGCTACCAACCGTGCGATGTGGAAGTCATTGGGAGAGGCATATGGCTGAAAATGATGATGATGATGATATCGATAAAATGACTAAGTCTTCAAATTATAAGAAAAATCTTTTGGTGATGTTGTTGCTCTCAGTTGGCAATACAAACGTGGTATTAAAAAAATCTTGGAAAAAATCTTCAGAAAAAGGTAAGTTAGTGATAGTCGTTGCACTCAGTGTGCCACTAGCTTGCAGCAGATGCAACAATTACGTCTCATCACGTAACAGCATCTCATTACACGGCGGCTGGCCGTGATTAGTCGGGCCCACTTTGTTTTCTCTCTGCATCCGGACCGATCAACACCACGGGTGATTACAATTTAATCAACCTGCCCATCATTCGTTTCAGCCGAATGACGTCCACTGCTGGACAAAGGCCTCCAAGGATTACCACAACGAACGATCGATCCTGCGCTGCCTGCATCCAGGCACTTCTCGCAAGATTCACCAGATCGTCGGTCCACCTAGTGGGGGCCTGCCCACACTATGTCTTCCGATACCTAAGCCTAGGCGCAGACCACCGATTTTTAGTTGGCCGATAGTTGGGCCGATTTTAATTTGTATAAAGAATCGAAATTCTCACGTCCGAAATACCGCAGTGTCTCAAGTCAAAAGTATTTGACCAGTGTGTGTTGCCAGTGATGGTGTATGGCTCTGAGACGTGGTCGCTTACTATGGGCCTCATAAGAAGGCCCAAGGTCACCCAAAGAGCGATGGAGCGTGCTATGCTCGGAGTTTCCCTGCGTGATCGAATCAGAAATGAGGTGATCCGTAGGAGAACCAGAGTGACTGACATAGCCCGCAGAATCGCTAAAATCAAGTGGCAGTGGGCGGGGCACATATCTCGAAGAGCTGATGGCCGCTGGGGCAGGAAAGTTCTTGAGTGGCGACCACGAGCTGGAAGACGTAGCGTGGGCAGGCCTCCCACTAGGTGGACCGACGATCTGGTGAAGGTCGCGGGAAGTACCTGGATGCAAGCGGCGCAGGACCGGTCTTTGTGGTAATCCTTGGGGGAGGCCTTTGTCCAGCAGTGGACGTCTTTCGGCTGAAACGAACGAACGAACGAACGAAAGAATCGTCCGATACCGAATCGGTGTAATGTGCGCACTTGCATACATCTCCGTACTGATTAATAGCCCGATCCAACTATCGGCCAACTAAAAATTGATGGTTTGCGCCTAAGCTAACAATATTACAGTAGAAAACTATTGTAAATTGACCCCAATTGAAACTAGTGGGCCCCAAAGCCAAGGCCATGATTTTCCAATTGGAATCATGATTATGTACCTATGTCACAATTTATTATTTCATGTAAACAATAGAAAATCAAATGACTATTTGTTGGAAGATAACGTAAGCATGGTTTCAATTTCAGGGCTACGAACAATTGTATTGTTTGGCGATAAAGTTGAGTAAGATTTTTTATGGGATTAGTATAGATAAAACGACACTTTATTAATATGATTCGTAGTTGTATTAATTGTCAAAAGAAAGATGATAAAATTTAAATTAAGTTGGTTTTATTGAAATCTCATTAAATAGACATCAACGCGTCAAGGAACGTATTTTGAATTTTATTATTTAAGATCCTAAAAGAACCGATTCCTATTAGATTTTAGCTTTATCACACACAGATACAAGCCACTAGTTCCAATAAGAATATATTATTTTTAAAATACCAGCAACCTCGCAGGATACCAGGAACCTCGCTAGATAGCTAATATCATAAGCAAAAACTTTTGTTGAATTTTGTTAAATCTCATAAAACGTGTAGTAAAGGGGCTACGCTCTAGTTCCCAAAATGTACGTGCAAATTTTTTATCAGCCAAAACAATCAGCTTTCATTGATTACGATGGTGACTCATCAGTATTTTGGTTTAAGGGCCATAGTACAAAAAACTACGGTACGATCTCAATTCACTATTGTTGGCAGAAGTGCGCAACAGTAGGTTATTTCCGTCGACTCTATAAACTTAGATCAACTATTCTGTGGTCAACCTCAAAAAAACGTAATACTTTATTAGATTATATCGTTGTTGCTTAGGTAGTACTACAACACAAGTCACTACTTAGTGACTAGTGTTGTGATGTTCTTTCTTTATTTTTTATTACTTCACAAGTCCATATTTCGACGGCTATTATTTTCTAGTTATTATATTCTTATAAGAAGTCACGTCTTACACGAATTTTTACAGACGAGGTTTGTAAGACGCAAAATGATGAAAACTGTCAATAACTATTAAATTGCAGATGAAATAACTTTCACAATTTAAGTGTTGTCAAATAAAACGTTTAAACGAAACGCAATCAAACTGAAATTAGTTTGTTTATTTGTCTATTAGTACGTAAGAGTTGTCCGATTTCAGAGGAATCGTACAATTTTTACTTTTTGTAATTAAGTTTATTTTCCAGTATTCATTGTTAAAGATTTGAAGTTAGTTTAATTTGATTTGTCTCGGGATTTTTTTTTAATGAGTGCTATTGATATTCTCCTGCAATTGGAGCTTATAAAGCGCGAATAGAGTAACACAATTTCAAAAAAACTTTATTGGAATTTATCGTTGATTAAAATTCTAATTCATTTTAAAAAGTTATTGTTCGTTCAGACACTTTTTTCATGATTTGATCATATAAACTGATATTTGGTTTGTAAAACCTAGACTTGGACATTAATAAAAAAACATTTTAGACCCAAATTGTTGGCAACCTCTGGCCAAAGTCAATTGAAATGGTTTGCTCTATAAATGAAGTATCGCCTATCGATCTCTCACTGCCCCTGTCAACGTCAAGATGTCACAACGCCTAATGGACACCACGGTACTGCATCATTGTCATTATCGTGCGATATCATTATCATTAGCCAGTGATGCACTCGTTCAATGACTTAATGATAACGATCACATCCAGTGATGATTAAGTGAAAGTGCCAGTGTTTTCCGAGTGGTTTTGCTTGGAGAAAATTTTCTCCGACGCAATTGATAGTAGTGCAACCATATTGACTATAATATTTAAATGTGTTTTTGCAAACTTTCTTTTGTCGTACAATGTAATGATCATAATAATGACTTTAATTTTATAGCAGCGTGTTCAGAGAATAAGTGATTATTTTGTTAAGAAAATATTTACTCGTCTTTGTGGGATAGGATTAAATAATAGTACATTTAATTTCAAAGTAATTTACATTACATTTATTTTTCCTCTTTCAGAAACTCGTGTGGTATTTCCTGATTTTATACACTGGCCCGTATTGGAGCCCGAGTCGATGTGCAGCAATAAAGGTTCCTCCTAAAACACCTTCTACCATAGAAGCTCAAGCTAAATTCTTCCAGTGAGTATAAATAATATCGTCAAGATAATAACATGCCTAACTTCTACTATTTCAGGAATATTCTTGGTTTTAATTTCACTGTTTGATTGTTTCATTCTTATTTTAATCATGTTTTATTTCTAAAGTTTTCAAAGCTGATAACATAATTGGATTTTTATTTATTTCTTACAGTATATTATATGTTTTTTCATTGTAATTATAATAAAAATCAACCATTCAACTTCGTTAATAAGAGAAAGCGTTCGACGTCTGTAACTAACATTCTGAATCAAATTTATTTTCCTTCAATTCGATTTGGTGTCGGCATTTACATGTCAAGGTAAATTAATCAGTACAATGAATAGGTAATTTGTTTTATAGGGATTTTTTCTCGGTACAGTTGAGTCCGTACAAGATTGAGTTCGGTCACGTTTGCGAGGACCCCAACACGTGGGAGCAGCGGTATGAGAAGAAAGACTATAAAAACCACAGGGATATGGGAAAAGTAAAACGATTGTTCTCTGCCTCAATTTCTGTACACGGGCACCTTGATGCAATCGTAATGTGACTAACTCGACCATAGTAAAACAGTTTTTAGGAACATTTGAAAAGACTCCAGCAATTATAATACCTGCTCTATTCAGCTTTCTTGATCCAACTTCCTTGCTTTAGATACTTGTTTTTAATTCGTTCCGATAGGAGGCAATGGCAAATAAAATAAACCATGTTTCCTAGGGAAAACTCATTCGTGAAAACAAAGTTTAACATACTCACATTTCTTTTAAGAGAGTTTCCTTTGTTAGAGTAAAAAAAAAATCATGACTGTATTTTAATTGTTGGTGTCGTTGATCTTCGTCAACTGATTGAAGAAAGCTGCCCGTGTATAAGTTCCTAACCTATCTGTTTCTTTCTCTGTTGCTTGCTTGCTTGGATGAAGGTATAGACACTTACCTACTTCGGAGGACTTCGACCAAGGACATCGGTTGGGGAGCGAGCGCCATTTCACTGAGCGGCATGAGAAATCCAGGCCTTCAGAGGGACTGTTCTCTGCTAAAGTACGCTTTTTATGCTTTTTTGTTTTGAAACCTTATTATTGACGTCATCCAGTTGTTAAATATTGATAACCGGCTGTTTTAGGGTAATTAAATATTACGTAAACTGTTATTCGAAAAAAATCTAATTACATAAGAGTGATCCGTCAATATAAGGTTTCAAAATGATTTTCTTCGCATATCTTATCGTGAAAACCTAACATAATATTGTGTTTGTTTAAATGTGTCTTAAAATCAATGTTACTAAAAACCATATTGTCAGTAACTTACATAAAGCAATTAATAACCCAAGATGCATATAACTGCGTCAATCTAACTTTCCTATTTCTTTCAACTAATGAATGTCTAATAAAAATAACATTTGTAACTTAACAATACTTCAACCATTCATTCAACAATATTACTGATTTGAATGAATGAGTGAAAGCTTTCAATTAACTAAAAATGTTTTCAGGTACGCTGGGGTGACAAAAAGGGTGGGTACGGCGAACATTACTGGGACTTGAACCATGCTGGTCACGGCAATGACCACGGCGACGATGGCAATGACCACTCCGATGATGGATCCTACCACCACGATGACCATTCTGACCACGGTTACGACGGGTCCCATGAAAACTCCCCAAGTTACGGCGACGAATACGACCCAGAAAAGTCAAGCTACGAAGAAAGTGGAAGAGCTAAAAGAGCCCACCCAAAAATAAAAGTAGAGAGACACTCTCACAGAGACAATAATGAAAACCCAAAACCTAAGAGCCGCAAGAACAATGAACAATTGCAAGAAGAACCATCACATAAAGTAGAAAATGTAAATTATTCAGATGAAGATGATCAGCCTGAAGAAGAGGTATACAAGAAGCCCAAACGGTCTCATCATCGACACACTTATGACGAAGATGAGGAAAGACCACAACAAAAGGAAACGAAGAATCAAGTAGTATTGGTAGTGAAAGAAAAGGATGGAAACAATCAAGACAACACCCACCAGAAATATCAGGACTTCTCTCAATTTGTACCCTACGAAGGAGGTGCAGGAGTGAGACAACATCATCACCCTGAAACTGTAGCAGCGGCGTCGGTTCCCAGACTATTCTGGGAACCAACAACTGGACACGTAGTCGACAGAGCTACGGGGCAAGCTTATGTATTACAGCCGATCGCGGCTCCTGCCAACTACAATTAGAAAGTGACCAGGGAACTAGATTAGTTGTTAGTTTTGTTATAGTTATTTATTTTCTTAATTAAAGAACTGATAAATTGTTTCGTGTTTGTATTCTCAATACATATTGTCCTACAAAATTGTTACATTATCGAATCACGGTTGCATCACTGTTTACGTAAGGTACTGGTTCAAGAGTTGATACAATTTAGTTAGTGGTAATGATCTCAATAAGTGTGAACCCATTTTGATACATAATAAGACCGGATATTACTGCATACACACACGCACGTGTAAAAATTTGTTTGAGAGAGACTTTGTAGAATGTCTTAGTAATATCTTTAGAAAATGCCTATTATTCAGGTAGAATTTAGATTTTACCCAAATAGACTCTCAATAAATTAAAGCCAATAATTAGTTCAAGAATACTTTACAGGCCTTTATATCAAAGGCTAAATCGAATTAAAATCATATTTAAAAATATTCAATAAATAATTGTGTAAAAATAACCTAGTGTTGAAATAAGTTTTAATTTCATTAATTACGTTTACTAAAACTAATTCCAGTAACAATCAGAGTATTTATTATATCAGAATTAAAAATTAATTGAGTAATTTACGTTTTACGTGGTAATACTAGATTTAAATCTACGAGTATAACGGGCATAAGTAACTAGTCCAAATTCATTGTTTTTGGACGTTAAGAAAAGGGATTAAAGTTCAAAATATGGTGGGAAATATTCCCACTGCCGTATAAAGGGTTAACAAGAATCTAAATGCGCATCCGCAACTAAATTGGAATCTAACGGCAATGCACTTGTGCAAGTTCGTTGGTCTTTCCGCCGATCTCACCGCGGGATTTTACTGAACTTGTGAACTTAAAACTTGTGGTTTGCGATGCAACGCTGTATGTTGTGACTTCGAAGGTCAGGCAAGTAATGGTACTGGTTCTGGTGCCTTTTGTGAATGTATACTTAGCGGGATGCAGGATTTACGTACGAGTAATTACTTCAAACTAAAAGTTGGTGGTCTGCGCTAGGTTTAAATAGATAGAAACATGAAAGGTAGTTTTGTGTTGTAGTAATAAGAGTCGACAAAAGTACACTTGAGTGAAATTTCACTCTATGATTAAATGTAATTACATAACTTTAATAAGTGCTACTGACTGGTATATCTGCCTAGCTAATTGCTAATTGAGCTCAGATGGTACTTAAGACACGAATCTTTAATCAAATTACACTCTGATCCAGTGATAGCAGATTATGCGATCGATTGTGAAATAGATGCTACTGAACGAGATAGCAATGATTTGTTGATTAGATCAGCATTGTTGCATGATTTGTAACTAATCAGTGTAACTATAGTTAGTATTAATTCTCAAGTGTCTATTATATATAAGCAACATGAACATGAATAGAATTGAATAGAGAAATATTCATGAAAATATATGAATGACTAGCTGTTGCCCGCGGCTTCACCCGCGTGAAATTTACTTTGTCACATATTATCGTCATAAATTATAGCCTATAATTATGTTATTCTGGGTTATAATTAATAATACTGTAAAGTTTCATCAAAATCCGTTCAGTAGTTTTTGCGTGAAAGAGTAACAAACATCCACACAAACTTTCGCATTTATAATATTAGTAGGATTAACATACATCAAAGTACAAATAGCATCCAAAATAAACACAAGAACAACTCTACTTTAAATAATAAAAATACACTTCGGAAAAGCACTTTTTGGAGAGTTTTCATGACTTATGTTTATAAACTCATACGTTTGATATTATGTTTAGATAAAAACAAATTGAAGACGTCTAACGACCGTTCTATCGCCTGCATAATACACGAAGGGAACGTACCTCGCAGGGGTCAGTGCGTGCGCCCTTTCCCACGGTGCCGAGGATGCGAGGATCGCTTGATAATGCTGATGGATTTAGGGGTCCATTAAGTTAACGAATATTTCTAAAGCTAGCTCAATTGCTAAGACAAGTATTGAAGCCAAAATAGTATAAAAAGAAATGGTTAAATCAATGACCGTAAATGATTTCCACGACCGATGATGTTGATGATGGATGCAGGCAGCTAGCGCTACCAACCGGCCGATCTGGAGGGGAAGGAAGGTAAAGGCAAGACACAGGTTCAGCAGTGGACGACCTATGGCTGAAATGATAATGATGATGATAAATCAATCATATTGGATATACAAAAATTTGCTTGATTTGACATTACAAAAATACATAATAAACTATTTCACCTTTTACTAACTGTGGTTTAGAAGGTTAAAGAAGCAGCGCTTATTTATTAAGTACTTATACAGAAAACACTATAAATACATAATTTAATGGTACTTAAACGTCTATGGCTCAGGAAATCACTTTCTCGCTCATACTCATAGTCATAACACTAACATTTGCCCTCAGCGGGATTCGAAACCCCGTCACATTATCTAATAATAATGGAAATTGTTTTGTCTGATTATTTATAGAAATTGAAGAAAATTTTAATAAATATAACTTAGGATGTGACATGAAAACCTACATCCTCGAGAACGGATATGAAAACCGACTAATGTTAGTAATAAAGATAAAATAAATCAATGCCATCCGTGTTAACATAAAGATTGCCTTTTTAAGTTTGACCACTGGTTTTATAGGGAGCAAAGTTACGATTTCCATTTTCTATGCAAATTAAAGGTTCACTTAACCCTTATCTAGCGGTATCTAAATAGTGGCATGCGGAATACATTACCATAGAGACCCAGACCATTGACTTTCCTGCTGTAAACACTGGCCCTGTGGGCCTATTCAACGCGATTTCCGTAATTTCGGATCTACCTGTCGCTTTCTCCATGATAGGATCTGAGAGAGACGGTTAGGGCCAAAAATGCGGAGATCATCGTACGGAATAGTCCTCAAATGCGGGCTCTATCTTCATCAGATTTCTCCGCGATGTCACGTATCTGTCAACTGCAACATTGTGTCCTCCCCATGACGGACAAATGATGGGTAAGACGTGATCGCATGTGCATTAACAAAGGTACAAAGTTTAATACGTAGAGTTATGTGTGGCATAAGATAGTAAGTATTATAAATTAAGTTGGTACTAAGCTTTGGAGAAGTTCAACTTCACTCAACTACTGGACAGAAGACAATTAGATTAGCTGTAAGCTTGAAGAATAAACAAATCTTACACTTAAAAGTTAAACATTTGTTAAGTAAATTTACCTAATCTTAATTATAATTTATTTCATAATTACACGCTCTACCTCTCATAACAGTCGCCAACATTATAAACCAACAAAACGATAAAAGCGCAGGTTGTTTTTTCTCCGCTAGGGGCCGCAACAATAGGCTACCCTCATCTCCCGAGCGAATGCTCCATAGTGATGCAAAGTGCGCACGCGACTAAGAAAAAATCTTCCGAGAAAAAAGTTCCCCTTCGAAAGGATGGTCCATGGAATATTGTTTGTGTTGTATTTCATATTTCATCGCCTTTTGCCAATGAGAAGAAACTCAATGGAATGTATCGAATGTCGTTTTGCAACAGTTGCTTGATCTTTTGTATAGAGACAGGTGGATATTGTAGAGAATTTGTGAGATGATGGTTGCGTAATAAAATTCAGAATTGCATGCATTATTTTAAATGCTGTAATGCGTCGTGTAGAAGATTTTTAGGAAGTGCAGCATACCTAATTACTTATGCAAAGAGCAAATAAAAAAAACTTAAAAAACTTTTGATCCTTCTAAAAAATTTGGACACAATTACACTTGACCAAAATGGTCATGTGTAATTGTCAAACTTGGTGTGGTCTCTCTGAAGAAATGGTTTTCACAAACAGTAATAATATTAAGTAATAATAATGCAAGTTTTGCGCGCCAATAAAATGCCAACTGCAATTTCATTCAACGGTGTTACTTCCCACATTGCTAAAAATAATCTTTGCGAAATAACGGTTGTCACGAACAGTACTAAGACGGTCAAAGGTCCACCACCCTACACAGTTTGACCAGTTCCATGGGAACTGGCCCTTGGCGCTGAATGGTAGACAGTAGGCCAGGGTGTCTTACACTTGTTCGAAGGGGAGAGTACATAATGGGCGATGTCCCTTTTGTTGCGAGAATACGGGCAAATTGTTAGGTGAGCTTGAGTTTAGTAAGCATGAGCTGGACAGTTTGAAAATGCATAATTTTATTCTACTGTAGTTAATTGAATACTAAATTTACGTCAAAGAACCTGTAGTAATTATATTAAGTCACGTCAATTGTTTTAAAAGTTAAATATAGGGCATAATGATTTAATATTATGTTTACCTAATGATGCAATATTATACGTAAATAAATATTAAAAGCAAGTAATTACTTGATTATTCAATAAAATAATAGGCTTAGCTCGTTAACATAATGCATTTATGATTAGTAAATTACTTAACGTGTTATGATTTTTATTTATAATGGGTAAACGTTAACATTGGAAATAAAACATAATAATAGGCAATCAAAACATGTCATAACATTTCTAATTGACCTCGTAAATTTTTTTTTATCCAAATCGACAACAAAAAATTTATAGATTCATAAATTGAAATCTAATGAAAGTTGATCAATTTAAAAATACAAAATTCTAGAGCCCTGTGCTTTCTGAACGCAACGCCCGTGTGTCCCATCCACAAAGGAATTGCAAGATGCATGCAAATAAAGGGTCATTCTGTGTCCTTTCCCACACGGAAGCGGTCAAACTGGTTTTGGTCGTTCTACGGGAGTAACCCTTGCCATTAGCCATAGACAAAGCGTTAGGACACCGATGTCTTCCGGGGCCATTGTCCAAAACCCGCCTGACCGGTTTATGGTCCTGAGAAAATGATCGGATGTTTAATTGATGGCATTGGTAGTTTATGCCGAATAATAAAGGTGGATTAATTTTATTTGCCAAAACGTAACGGTTTAACACGACGTCGAGTAAGTTTTGGAGGACTCCTTATTTAGGAAATAATGCTAGTGATTAAATTCACAAAACAATGATTTACCGAAATACCGATTTACCGATCTTAAAATATCTAAGTATATGTAATAAATAAAAAACTGTAAAAAGGTACATAGCGTGGTATTTTTGAACCATTTCAACGCTTAATTCGCCAAAGAAAGAAATCTATCAACCCCCAAAGTTGCGCTAACATCTCTCTAGTGCCTATTATTTCTAAATTATTTTGACTGAAATAGCTGAAAAGTAACTATTCTAGCACTAAAAAAACAAAGTTCCATCTTGCCCAACAAAAGTGCATCTTGCAACGGCATGCAAATAAAGGGTCATCTGTCCTTTCCCACTCAAAAGCGGTCAAACAGGTTTGCGCGACCCTTGAACCGAGACGAGACAAATGCATCTATTAGACAAAGGGCAAAGGACACTGTCTTGATGGTCCATTGTCCAAAAATGGCTTGAGATCCTGAGAAAAAATTCGCATGCCGCTATTAATTTTAGCCTAGGCGCAGACCACCGACTTTTTGTTATGCGATAGTTAGGCCCGATTCTAATTTGTATGAAGAATCGGCCGATACCAAATCGGTGTAATGTGCGGACTTTCTCATACAACATGTCCATACTGATCAACAGCCCTGTCCAACTATCGGCAAACTAAAAATCGGTGGTCTGTGCCTAGGCTTAGTGGTACCTACGAGCTTTTAAACATGAATAGTAACTATTTAAATGACGAAGTATTTTACCTAAAAGTTAGAATCATCATTGATGTGCTAAAAAATCTTTATTTGAAATGGGCACATATCAAATTAAAGAAAACGCAGCGTGGGACGTCCACCCACAAGGTGGACCGACGACCTGATAAAGGTAGCGGGAAGGCGCTGGATGCAGGCCGCTACCAACCATGCGATGTGGAAGTCATTGGGGGAGGCCTAAATGTTCAGCAGTGGACGTCCTGTGGCTGAAATGACGATGATGATGACATTTCAAATTAAATAATTTTGAATAACAAAAAAATATTTTTATATCCTATCCTATCCAGTAAATTATCGTAAATATCGAAACTGACTCCTTTAAAGTTTTAAATAAGTCAAACATTGTAACTACTACCAGTAAACCTGTAATAATTTTGTGGCGAGCATGTTTAGCGTCGTCAATCTATTTCGAAGTTGCACGTTGCATCGACAGCTATTACACCTGTTTTAAAATAGAAAATCTACCGATAAACGACTTTATTTACGTACCTAAGAAAAAAACAATTATGTACGATTATTAATGTAGGTAATTAACCCAAAAATACTATTTACCCAATGATATTTATATCATTGTATTTACCTGAATACTTACGTAAAACATTTACGTACCTATTTCTTGTTTATGAAATGACGTAACAATAAATAAATAGTAATTTTGTTAATCTAAGTATTGTAAGTAATTTCACACAGTCACGCATTAATTTCTTTACAAAATACCTACCTATTACCTAAATAAATTAACTTTCTTGTCTATTTTTAACTTTTTTAATTTCACAAGTTTTAAAAATTCAAATGTTGTATTTTGACCAATCAGCGTTTAAGAAATTCGCGCCCTAAATAGTTTTTTATGGCTTCAGTGTCAAGCATGAAGCTAAAGACTAAAGATGTGTTAAGCTTGTTGCGTTTTGTTATTTCAGTTTAAAATGATTACTCATTAGTTACACTAAAAAAGTAGGTAGGGATAGAGATGAGCATGTGAAGAAAAGTTTTATTTAAATCCAATCAATGACTGGAAATATCAGGAAAAATTTAACCACAAAGTTATGTTCTTAAAAAACTTTTTGGTATATTATTGTAATATTAATCAAATTAAATTCTGTTGGTTATTAATTTAAATTCTTAAAATTGCTGAAAGTAAACATTTTGCTTTCTTTTTAAATAAATACTTATTTCAAAGAGACAAGGTCCAAAATCCCAGAACTGTGACTTTGTACCAGCAAAAAATGGATAGGGCGGAGAAATGCACCCTTTACCTTTTGATCAAATACAATGCGATATGCAAAATAAGTGACTTCACGAACTCTTTGATTATGATGATGTCAGTAATGCCCCAGTCGTGCTAGTGATAACTTCGGTAGTGTCAATCCATTCATTTCGTAAAATTTGGAAAAAGTGAAATAAACACAAAACTCTGGTGGAGATAGTTTATTTATAGATTACAACACGAGGAAGGTAATAGGTAAGCATAATATTTTTAATTATCATAGGCGATTAATTAATTAGGTTGGTGATTTCCATTACAATAAGGCCATTAAGTAATAATTATTATGATAATAAACAAAGGTTTTGTTTTTTAGTGTGAAATATAATAATGATGATTTAATGGTAGGTATAGATAGATATAGAATAGCATATTAGGAAAATAATTATTTTTAGAATGAAAGTTTCGTGATTACGTTAAACTTGCTTGATTACGATTTTTTTTACAATATTTTTATGATAAGTTTTTAATTTTTTTGGATTTTTTAATTATTTCATATAATTTATTCAGGCTCGTTCATCCTGAGACGAGCAAAGTCTTCAAACACGATGTTATCTTCCTCCTCGTTAGTGTAAAGCGAGTTTTCATAACGGTGTCTTTCAATGGATTGCATTTTCTTCATGGCATTGAAACGCTGGCGTTCAATGGTCCCTAAAACAGAAATAATTAGGGTATAGAGAAACTATATCAAATAAAAAAATACACAATACATTTTGGTAACATGCTAAAATAAGCACCTTCAGCAGGGTGGAGAAGTTTGAATGGAACATCAGTCACAAGTTCTCCACCAAGTGTTCCACAGTTCAGCTTGACGCGGACGGAATAGGATACCACAATACCAATGGCATCAGCCGGGCATTTCCCCTCAGAGACCAGAGTAGAGCTGGCCAGGTTTACATCATCCTCCTTCAGATGGCCATCCAAAGCCACACCTAAAACAACATAAAAAGGCTTTAATTATGAATTGTACATAGTCATTCGCAGCTATCAATTTATCATACAATGAGAGAGCCCAATCAGGAACATAGAATAAAAAGTTCAATAAAAAGTAGATAAGTTATAGGCATAATTATTATCTAACCTCGGATGTCCTTATTGCTGCGGGCCAAAGGCACAAGATAGAATGTTTTCGACAAACTTGCTCCAGGTGTAACTGGGCATCCTTCACGGCTCTCCAAAGATGCAACATGGCGGCTGAACTGAGAGTTGATCATTGTAATCTCCACATGCTGAACAACCATGCAGCGAATGTTGCGCACAGACTTCCTTGAGTTGTTAGAAACGATGACATTAGCAGCGATTTTCTCGCCGTGGTAGTAGATCTCCCTGTCCAAAGTAACTTCGAGATTGATCTTTCCGTTACTGAAGGTGAATCCTTTGCTCACCAGGGAGCTCGGAAGACGGCGACCACGGGAAGTAGGTGCGTGTTGCAACTGTTGGAACAAAACTTATGTTATGCTTACTTCGATAAATTATTATGTAATTTTTATAGTGTACTGTGATTTTAAGATCATCTTCCGTTGTCTGAGAAAAATAAGATGAATACCTTCTTGATGGCAAGAGTCACAGAGCTCCTCTTGTGACTCTTCTGATCCTCATTTTCAGCAACGTAGGTTCTGACGCAATATTCAACTCCCATTGGTTTTCCCTGATCTTCTTCAGCTGGTTGAAGAGTCACCTATTATAACAAAATTAAAAATTCAGAACTTACTCCTAATTTAAAATTTACTCCCAATAACGTAACTCTCATGTTAAATTAAGATGTGAACCAAAATTTTACCGAGCTAGGCGCCATCTCAGGGAAGTTAAAGGTGAATGGGAATGCATTCGGTCCAAGTTTCTTCAACAGCTTTTCCTGAACCGGTGTCAATTCCATTTTGGAGTTCACCATGGGCACAACTTGATCTTGCCCAATTACCATTTCCTTAGAAAACTTCACTCCCATGACCTCATCCTCCTCACGACCATAGCGGTAGGTCGTCACGAGCTAGAAGAAAAACAAAATCAATCCATTTGGGGCACTCACTTCACATTTTTTAGAACTTCACAAATTCACTGCACTTTAGTATACCTGGCTGTAAACTTTTCTTCCTTTCAGGTATTCGGTGTCAACCACAACCACTCCATCAACGGGATCGCAGTAATCTATATGATCAATGAAGTCACGCTTGCCAAGGTAAACCGTAACTTTTCCATTTGGGGTAGTTTTCTTAAAAACTTTAACCGCAACCACGAAAGCGAGGGACAGGTAGTCCAACATCTTGAAAGTATAGGTACAACAGATAACAGAGGATACGACTGGTAGTGGAAACAAGGATATAAGCTTGCGGACAGAAGATTTAGTGTGAATGGTTTGAAGCGAACACCAGAAATGAATTCCATCATTGGACTGTCCCTTTTATAGTAGAAATATGTAAGGTTTCACTCAAATTAGAATAACGACCTAATTGGATTACGTCCGTAGGTGGTCTAATAGGATTTTGAGTCTATGACGCATTAAGGCGCATCTAAATCGATGTGATGTCACATCACTAATGCATCACTACGATATTTACGTTTCGTTTCATCAAAATTGCAAAATGACGTTTTTGTTTTTGACAGTTTTTTAGTCCTAATATTTTGACGTTTAAAAGTTAGGTTACGAAAATCTTGGTTGCTTGCTCGACTTGATTAATTTTAATTTGTAACATAAAAAATGTGTAAGACTTGCTTATAAGAATCTTATGAGAACAAATATTAGTGCTCTGTTTATATTTTCCATGTGGGATATGTAACGGCTCCTTGTAAGTACAAAATTCTATGAGGATTAAATAATCTACTATCGAATCAATTTTGATTGTTGGAGTAACCTTTGACTGTCTGATAGTTTTTTGTTGATAGGATCATAGGTTTCTATAGTATTATACCTTCTCATACTTAATGGGATTATGAACATTTCCGATTAGAACACATTGAACGACATGGTCACTTGTTAGTTTCTCAAACCTGTTTTGATAACTGATTTGTTTAGTGTAACATAATATTTTGAATTTAAACTACCTATATTATTTATAAGTTTAGTATGGTTTTATTGGATTATTATTTATTTGATGCAGTGTACATGATCATTAGTATTACTATACAGCACTGTGTAGTTGACAAAGACCTCAACTTGCTAATGCCCTTGCTATTTTGTTTTTTGAAGTTTCTTTCATAGTTTAAATTAACTTTCAGCTACACCATCAGTATGCCAACATTCCTCACACCAGGCCGGCATGGCTACAGCGTCAGATTCTCAAAGACAAGGCCTGACGCGCTAGCAGTCGCCACCAGCCAGTATTATGGGCTTGCGGGGGGAGGAACACTCTTCTTCCTTGAGCTGGCCCCAGATGGCTCCACACTGTTGGAACTTCAAAAGCTGGAATGGAGTGATGGGTTGTTTGATGTGGTGAGTTTATATTCTTTATTTTTATATTAAATGTGTCCTATTCTATTAACATTAAAAAATATATATAATCTATATAATGTTTACTATTTCTAAATGTGTCCAGTTTGCTAATATTAGTCATTAAAGTAATTATTTAATTACCTCACTATTTGCAGTGGAGAATAATGAGGGCTAAGCTTAAAACTCTGTCCCCATTCATCTCTTTGGACTGTTAGTCCCATTTACTTTTGATATGTTAATATTTCCTGGGTTTCTGATTTGTGAAATCTTGGCTAGACATGTACCTAAATGTAATCTAAGTACTGATAAACTGACAACCTTCAGTAGATATTAGAATTAGAATCACACTCTTGCAGCTTAGAGAAGTAAGGAAGTAATAATAATAGAATTATTGTAAGCCTATGAAACTATGTTTTACAATGTCAAGTTGAGTTATTTACATAAACATCCTGTTCTTGTGTACTTAGGTTTTTTTCTCTTATATTTTATGACTTAGTTATGAGCATTAAACATAATCAGTAACTCAAAATTGTTGTTTTTAACTTTAGTTGAACGAACACCCAAAAAATTAGGTTAGTCTGTATTAACTTGTTGTATTGACCCATCAATTGCTTCAAAACCACGGTAGCGGGTGTCAGGCTAATTATAATCCCATTTTAATCTCCAAACAACAATGTGTTGAAGCCCCTCGCGTGCCGTTACGACTGTGAACTTGCTTACCTCAGCACTTAATAGGATGGGTGCCTTTCCGTTTATTTATAGACAATTAACTTAAGTGTGTTGGAATCGGGAAGTAAATGTAAATATATTTGTCTTAAAATTCAGGGCTAATTTTGTTTCGAATGAAAGTTTTTATGTAACGTGCTAAATACAAGGAACATTTTATTGTCTATAAAATTCATTATTTTGCATACAATTTTGTGATAATTTTCAATTAATATCTTTGTTTTAGAGTTTCTAAGTGATTTGTGAATAGTCTTGTGTTTGATGAAAAAATTACGTATTATATTATGATTGAATATGAATATCAGCGGTTCCCAAACTTATTTAGTCTACTGCCCACACTGTGAGAATAAATTATTTTTTAGCGCCTCCCATTTTTGTAGTCAAGGGTCGAGCTCAGTCGGTGTCTAAGAGTCTTCCTAGTAGATGACGCCTCCAAAGCCTCTACACAACGTCCCGATTTTTTTTTCTGGCTCTCTTACCGCCCCCCTTTAAGCCTGCAGCGCCCACAAGGGTGCGTTATCGCCCACTTTGGGAAAGACTGATGTATATGAATTGCCTTCATAATAAGTAACTTAACCTATTGGCTCCTTCATAGTTTGGTATTTATAAACAAGCCTATAGATATAATAAAAGCGACAATAGCCCAAAATTGTGTATCGATCAGGCTGTCGGATCTGTAGTTTGATCGCTGGACGATTATGGTGAGCCTAATGCTGATAAACGTTAAGATTTCTGGTTTTGAGACTTTACAGCACTGGCCATTTATACAGCGAAAAATCAATGATTTTTTAAATGCTGTGTTTAACCAAACCTAATTCATTCCTAGACGTGGTCAGGTACCACAGACGGCGCGGCAGCGTGCGGCGCGGGCGATGGTGCTGTTATAGTGTGGCGAGCTGGCAACGCCGCGCCGCTACGGGTGCTCAGAGCTCACACCAGCGAAGTGTGTTCCGTGGACTGGCCGCGATCGCATTTGCTCAGTGCGAGCTGGGATACTACTATTAAATTGGTAAGTTCTATCTTCTACTATTGTAAGATACAAGAATAGAGTCACTTTGGTGGTAGATTTTATAAACTGCTGTAACTGATTGATTCAGGCCTAAATTGGGCTGTTGGTTCATTGGCTCAGGCTGATTTTTCGCACAGATTTATGTCTTTTGACCAGATGAGAGTCATGAGAGTGTGTATTAATTTTACATGACAGGATATTGTAAGGTATGGATGGACCTATATCAAACACTCATTATATGTAGTAAGTTATAGACTGTACTTTCCAAATCCCATATTTTCTTGAAACTTTATTTGAAGGCTCATATAGAAAAATACATTTGAAAGTTCACTTATTTTGTTCCCAGTGGGATCCAGAGTCCGAAGCTTGCCTCAGCACTTTCGCCGGCCATTCACAGCTGGTATACACAGCGGCGTTTTCTCCACATTCCGCTGCTACCTTCGCCTCGGTGTCAGGGGACGGCCATCTCAAGTTGTGGACGTGTACTGAGTCTGGTAGACCTGCAGCAGTGGTGAAGGCACATGATGCTGAGGTAATTTGAGACTTATTGATCAGAGCGTAAAGTTGGAATTGGTGTACACTGCTGCGTTTTCTCCACATTCCGCTGCCACCTTCGCCTCAGTGTCAGGCGACGGCCATCTCAAGCTGTGGACGTGTACTGGGTCTGGTAGACCTGCTGCGGTGGTTAAAGCGCATGATGCTGAGGTAATTTGAGAGCTATTGATGAGGATGATGTAAAGTTGAAACTGGTATACACTGCTGCGTTATCCACACACTCCAATGCTACCTTCGCCACGGTCGGTGTCAGGCGACGGCCATCTCAAGCTGTGGACGTGTACTGAGTCTGGTAGACCTACAGCAGTGGTGAAGGCGCATGATGCTGAGGTAATTAGAGAGCTATTGACAAGGGTGTAAAGTTGAAATTGGTGTACACAGCTTAGTTCTCTCCACACTCCACTGCTACCTTCGCCTCGGTGTCTGGTGACGGCCATTTTAAACTGTGGACGTGTACTGAGTCTGGTACGCCTGCTGCGGTGGTTAAAGCGCATGATGCTGAGATAATTTATGACTTATTGATGAGGATTTAAAGTTCAAATTGCCAAAAAGTAACATTTTGATATGACTGATGCAGATTATTTTTATTGCCACTAATACCACAGAATATTAATAAGTACTACGTACAGAACTTTACTTCGCGAAGGTATTTAAAAAAATGTATGCTCAATGTCATTAACAATATGGTGTAATTTAGCTTGTCTCAAGAGTCAAGCACCATTTTGTTGACAAACGTCAGTGATCGGTACTGCACCGAGGCTATAGGGCTGACTTCGGTAAAATGATGTGACGTGAGGTGCCAAACTGCAGAAAATGGCGGAGGAAATACATGATTTAGCATGAATTATCATGAATAAAGCCGAGATGAACAGGCCTGCTAATACATGGTACTAATTATTTGTTGTAGGTATTATCTTGCGATTGGAGCAGAACTGAAACGCACGCGCTTGCGACGGCCGGCTCTGACGGACTAGTCAGGGGTTGGGACTTGAGGAGACTCACTTCGCCCATGTTCACGTTAAAAGGTATGTTTTATGTAATGTTTTTACATATACTGGTCATCACAAAAATCGGCCCCAACAATATTGGTGTTATTTGAAAGCCCAATAAATATCCTTAAAGAAAAACACATTTAATTTCTTAATAAACGATTTAAACGATTAACGTATACAATAAATGTGACTTGAAAAAAGACCTCACTTTGGGCTCACCTCTGGGATCAATTAGACCAATTTTTATGGTTATAAAACCAAATAATGGATCTCACGTGTCCTCTTTAACAGATTGATAGCGATTAATCCCAACTTAACAGTTTTATAGCCATAAAAGTTGGCTCAAGCGTAACTAAAAAAGTGACTCTGGATTCTTCTACAGACACATTTTTGGGGTAAAAACCTTTAATGAAATGAAGTTTAGAACTAGGCTTTTAAATGGTGCCAATATTGGTGGGAAGTGGGGATGCATACGTTTGAAAGTGCTTGTCGCGGGAGGGTCGGTTTTTGTGATGACCAGTGTATTATGTAAAAAAAATATGAGAAATGTCATAACTATCTTTGATTGGGAAGAAACTTGGTCATCACTGAGAGAATGTAGTTTTCATGGATATGTTATTTCAGGTTGCGAGTGTGCAGTCAGAAGAGTACAATTTTCGCCGCACGCGCCGTCAGTTATCGCGGCGGTGTCATATGACTTCACTACAAGGTATGGACATTTGCAGTGCTTTAAAAAAAAAAAGGTCTCACGTTATAGGTTCCATTGTTACTATGTCGTAAAGATTTGACAGTTCATAAAAATCATAAGATTGTAAGGCAAGTGTCTAACTTTTCAGTAAGGCAGTATAAAACTGCCCCATGTCCTGTCATACATTTTAGGAGCCCTCAAAATAGAGGTCGTGAACAAGTGATACCTAATTACCTAGTGATGACCAATATCTACAGGGTGTTAGGTAAATGGGTATATGAGCCGACACTAGCCCATGTTAAATGCATATAAATGGTATGGTGAAGTCAATTTGATATCATCATTTTAATTTTTTAAATGTACTAAATAAAATTTATAAAATCAGATTTGTATGAAAATCATCACTTACCATCAGGTGATCCGTCTGCTCGTTAGCCTCCTGTCACATAAAAAAAATAATTAAAATAATTAAAATGATGATATCAATTTTCTGACTTCACCATATCATTTATATGCATATGTTAACATTGGCTAGTGTCGGCTCATATACCCATTTACCTAACGCCCTGTATAAACAAGCCATGCCACAAGCACCTCAATACCTATCTAAACACGGTTCATTCTTCACAGACTGTGGGACCTCAAACGCGGGTGCGAGCCTTTAGAAACCATCCGGCATCATTCGGAGTTCACGTACGGGCTCGACTGGAACGCACTTCGCCCGCACCAGCTGGCCGACTGCGGCTGGGACTCGCTCGTGCACGTGTTCACGCCGCGCTCGCTGGCCTGAGGTACTGAACCTTAATACGTAGGTTATAAGAGCTAAGTTACAACAGCGCGCCCGCACCTTAATACGTAGGTTATAAGAGCTAAGTTACAACAGCGCGCCCGCACCTTAATACGTAGGTTATAAGAGCTAAGTTACAACAGCGCGCCCGCACCTTAATACGTAGGCTATAAGAGCTAAGTTACAACAGCGCGCCCGCACCAGCTGGCCGACTGCGGCTGGGACTCGCTCGTGCACGTGTTCACGCCGCGCTCGCTGGCCTGAGGTACTGAACCTTAATACGTAGGTTATAAGAGCTAAGTTCATCATCATCATTTCAGCCACAGGACGTTCACTGCTGAACATAGGCCTCCCCCAATGACTTCCACATCGCACGGTTGGTAGCGGCCTGCATCCAGCGCCTTCCTGCCACCTTTATCAGGTCGTCGGTCCACCTTGTGGGTGGACGTCCCACGCTGCGTTTTCCGGTACGCGGCCTCCATTCCAGAACCTTGCCGCCCCAACGGCCGTCAGTCTGCGTACTATGTGCCCTGCCCATTGCCACTTCAGCTTGCTAATCCGTCGGGCTATGTCAGCGAGAGCGGTGTGCCTCTCTCTAATTAGCTTTAAGCGAATTTCTGGGGAAGCGCTGGACGCAGGCCGCTACCAATCGATCAACATGGAAAGCATTGGGGGAGGCCTATGTTCAGCAGTGGACGTCCTATGTCTGAAATGATGATGATGAAGTTTCTGGGGCAGAAAATTTCGAGTGGCGACCACGGGCCGGAAGACATAGCATGGGCGGGCCCCACTAGGTGGACCGACGACCTGGTGAAGGTCGTGGGAAGTGCCTGGATGCGGGCAGCGAAAGATCGGTCGTTGTGGAAATCCTTTCAGGAGGAATCCTTTGAGGCGTCATTGAAATGAACGAACATAACTCCCTACTAATAGCGCCCGCGCAGCGTGGTGAAAAGGTTTCACTATTTGCCCGAAAAAAACTTTGCGTCGGCGTTGCAGGGGCGCTGGTAAGACGACGTAGCTCAAAAGATTTAAGTGATGTCGGGGCGCCTTAATACACGTAGTGAAACCTAGTTCCGAAACTTTACCTTGAGAAAGATTATAGTAGCCGATGGTAAACTTATATGACTATATCCTACGAGAATATGTCTTTATTGTATTATTTATTTTCAGGTATGAAGTGTCCATTGGGCAGAAGCGAAAGAATGCCGGTTGGTTTCCGGACTGGTGTGTGATAATGTGCCAAAAACACTTGATTTGCGCTGACAGAAGCTGGGTATGTACTTATTATGAAACTACCTTCAGGGTGTTATTTATCGGCTTATCGAAAAAAATACAAATAGATTTAATTTAAAAATATCGGATGTTTTTAAATATTTTCCTTGATCATTTAAAACATCCTCCATTTTGTTTAAAACATTCCTACTAAGTCTACTTGTAGATGTTAATATATGATAATTTAGTTTTAATTATGTATCTCCATTAATTTGAGGGGCTGTTGTGGTATTTAATTTGGCTGTGTACCTTTAGTTGGTAATTTTAAAAAACTGAGTGTCAGATTTTGATATATTTGAAATACATGTGGTATGGTTTTTTTGTAATGTCGACTGGTCGCTATTCTTTGGTGATTTGGACATCGTAATATTTCAAAGCGGGCCTAATGTATAAATATTATGTAATAGACTGCAAGGCGACAGGGTTTGATTTTGATGGTTGGAAGTAGACGATGGACTGAGACAACAGTGTAAGCATTTTAGAGAAATAGCTGCTTTAATGGTGCTTCTGCACTTTAAGCCCAGAACAGACGGTGAAACGCAACTGCAACGAAACTGCAACTGCTAGTTACTTTTGAGTTGCATCTAAGTTTCTGCCATAGCGTCCGTTGAGAGACCACACATGACGCGACCAGTTTGAAACTTTCAGTTTCAGTTTCATTCATAAGAATCATCAGAAAGTTGCAGTTTCGTAGCAGTTGCGTTTCACCGTCTCTTCTGGGCCTTAAGGTCACATATACAGGGTGTTATTTTTATACTTCAAACAAAAAGGATTGTTTCTACAGGTCAAATGCAACACATTTCCCCAAAAGCAAAATATAAAAATAATATGAGCTCTCCATACATTGTCATCAGTTATTTAGATGGCGCCTACATTTTTTTTTGGCAATTTGATTTTGGTCCTGTAGAAAAAGCAGTTGTATTTGAATAGTATAATCAACTCTTTGTTTGATCAAGTATAAAAATAACAACCTGTACCAATGCTACCGGTAAGGAAGAGAGCAATTTCATGTCGAATTGTTATATAGTGTTGTCTCATTTGATCTCTAGTCTAAAGAGAAAGAAAGAAAGAATCGTGTAAAATGTAAATGTGAACTTTATTGTATAAATGATTTAGTACTGTACTTATAATAGATGTATTGTGTATAATCCTTTTAGAATAGACAAGACAATCATTAATTTATTTTATTCACTTGTTAATGTATTTCTAAGCTATGTTGACTGATTGTATATAATTTTAATAACCCTAATCTATGATGCAATAAATACTGTGAAATTTATCGCAGTTTGTAAATATCTTTGAAAATTTGTTTTTTACATTTGCTGTTTATCATCTTAAATTGTTTGATAATAATCATGATGAGGTTTATCGGTAATTTTTATGTGTTGTAATGAATACTGCTTCCCACTTATTTAGATATTGAAAAAAGTGTGAATCAGTATAGCAAGCGCCACTATATGATATACATTTAGAAGGAAGTAAACGTCTAAAATAATCTTGGACCTGCTGCTGTCTTTCCCGAAGACTATAATCCGGTCCTTTTCAAGGCGAGAGTGAATAGGCACTTACAGGGCAGATATGTACCATCCTAGACTACATCCCACTTAACATCAGGTGCGATTGTGGTCAAATAACTGCCTTGTTATGCATAAAAAAAATCTTGCAGTACAAATAGAAAGTACAGTTAGTATTGTGAGTAGACTACGGACATTGATCATGATTTGTGTGAAAATCATCCTAACACCTATTAAAGATTTACCGTCTTTCTCTATGTGTATTGTTTATTGACGCACACATTTAAAAGGGGTGTTTTTTTTGTTAAGGAAGTGGCTGTAAAGATTCGTGTGCTATACAGGGAATGTGTCTGTGTATTTGTATATAGCTTGTTGTATCGGAAAGGGCAAAGAAAAAAGATTTTTTATTTGTTTTGTTTTATATCGGTAGGTGTTTGTATAATACTAAAGGTGAGTATAGACTAGAGCATTTCTATGTAATGAAGGTATGGTAAAATAACGGTAAAAGAGAAAATGGTTGTTTCGTGACATGACGCTAGATAGTTATTTAATTTTTAGCGTTAAGAGTCGCATCTCAAACTAATTAATTAATTAAATTAGTTTGAGATGCGATCATGCGACTCTTAACGCTAAAAATGAAATAACTATGTAAAGAGCTGTTTCATCTTAACTGACAGTTAAATTTTAAACAATATTTATGTTTGATGTTTAGGGGTAGGTATACCCAAGATTGATGAAACAAACGCTGGCCGTAACCACGTATTAAATTTAAAAATTGCGACGGGTTCATCCAGTGTCTAAGTAGCTCAGTTGGAAGAGGGTCATGGGTTCAATTCCCGCTTTAGGCAGTTCAATTTTTTCAAGTTATTTATAATTAAAAAAAAAATGGGACTAGATGACAAGACATTGCATAGAGCGGCTCGCTACTCGTTCTTCTGTTACAAGTAAATGCTCTAGTCTATACTCACCTTAACGCTCCAGAGTTTATAACAGAACTGCTTATAATAATTAATAATTATATTGTTACTTGAGTAATTTCGTAATGTAAAGTTCTCTATGTAAATTTTAGCAAAAAATATTATTGTACTGAAAATAATGGTCACAGATGTCAATTTAGTCCGGTTAATTGTTTATGTTCTGTCTCACTCCGTTTTACACATTCCATTTTGCAAATAAAAATTTGAAGTTTTATATGATAGATATTTAAGTGAGAATACAAATAGTCGATTATAAGGGACTGGGTTCGCTACATTTTGGAACAGTTCACAAACGAACGGAATGATATTCTAGTGAATCAGTAGGTAATCAGTTCTATAATAATTATGTAAATGCTTTTCCCGCCTAGAAAAGCCGTCTTTTGTTTTTGAAGTTCCTAAACAAGGAGTGAGACTAAAAATATTCCGTGATTGTGCGCCAGATTACACTTCAAAATAAAACAGGATAAACTTTATACATGTTTATTTTTCACTTTACCACAAAACTGACATTGTTACTAACAATTGATAACCGTAAACATCCAGTATGCATCGATACAGCATCACATTTAGTGGGATGATAAAATGGAAAGAAGGCATTATAAATTTTTCACTGATTCTGGAATTAAAATCTTTTCCAATGTTACCGCCATCTATCGGCATTACAAAGAAAGTTCTTCCAAGTGATGCAAGTTTGTTCTGAAGGAGAAGGCTAACTTCTGTTACCGCCATCTAGCGGCATCAAGAACAAACGGTTTAAGCTCGTGAAGAGGAATGGTGCCATTCAGTTGGGGATATTTCTCTTTAGGCGTCTAATCCTGCCCTCTATTGCTGATAGCATGTAGTACACAGACTTCAAATGGTTCTTGTCTGTGCCCCCACAGATGTTCGTGAGGCTCGGTGACAATGCACAACATGACATAGGCCTGGAAAACTCGGCCCTATGGTGGCTTGGCATATGGTTCCTTATCGTTTGGCAGCCCAGGTCCTCGCGACCGCTCGGCTTCATGGTGCAAGCTTCGGCGTAGGACAGCTTTGGGACGGTCGAGAAGTACAGGCATTGCTCGGTAGGTGGCGGCGACAGGCGTTTCGTTACTGGAAAAAGTATAAAACTTTTTCTTTTATTATTTTGATGCGACTTGAATCTTGATTTGTTATAAATTTGAAACTGGACGAAAGGCAACAATATTTTTTATTTTCTGTTCGGTGACTCAAAACTTTTAGGCAGAATAATCGGAACATCGGTTATGCTTCTAAGATAGTCTAAATCAATTTTTTACAGTCTTTGTGGTAGTAATAAAAATTAAATAGTGTCACCTTTTTCTTTTACGCGGCCCAAACGCTTAGTCAACAAGTTGCTGTAGTATCTGCAAGAACCCACTAGCTGGGTCTTCATACGCTCCTCGACGAAATCTGTTGGGGAATAAAAACCAAAAGTAAAGCTATCTATCGTGATAAATCGATCAAAGTAAACATGATATTTCTGCTAAAATTAAGGTGAATCTCCCAAAATGTTTCACATATTTCCGAGAGGAAAAATGACGTTGTTTCTCAAAACAGAAGCCCCTTAACGTTTGGTTAATAATAAAAGATGTTATATTGAAAGTGCTTTTATGAGAGGCGACGAAATTTACCACGCGAGTTTCCTGTTCACCTATCCTCTGCGATTCATTCACCATTCTATTGCATTTGAAAGTATTCAATGGTAAAATGCCTCTATCAGCCCTCCCCACGCGCGGCCATTTTCCGCTCTGCCGGCCAGGCCCGCATAACCAACCTGTAGAGCTATCGTGAATACCGTAGCAATTGGGCATCCTGAATATAATTTTGAACCTGAAATTTTCTTTGTGTGAAAATATTTGGAATTTGACCAATTTGAATTGAATAGTATCACACAGGTTTTTGTACTTAGTAAGAATAAAGTACTCTTGGGAATTTTTATCAATTGCGAATTCGTAGCAACTTGGGTTTTGTTTGGTGTAATCTACATATTTTGGAAAGATTAAACCTTACCTCTGCTTTTACTGTCTTACTAGACTAATGCCCGTTTTCACCATCATACCTAATTTTAAGTGACCTCTATGAAAACAAAATGCCTGTTATGTGTTACCATAGGGGTCACCTAAAAATTAGGGATTGATACAGGCATCCGTAGACTAACCTGAGTCGAAATACGGTGGTATCTCCAGCAGCCTGGCGTGGCAGTTGGAACACGTTTGCGTAGAGTCCTCCAGTGACGCCCGTGGCGTGTCGTACGCGAATACGTACTCTGCTATAAGTTGAAAATTTAAGATTAAGTAGCAAATAAAGTTGGATAACTGTATGAGATTATTCGGAATTAACAAATTCTTAGCAATATTTATCAATTTGTTTGTTGTTGTTGTTCGTTCGTTTCAGCTGAAAGACGTCCACTGCTGGACAAAGGCCTCCCCCAAGGATTTCCACAAAGACCGGTCCTACGCCGCTCGCATCCAGGCACCTCCCGCGACCTTCACCAGATCGTCGGTCCACCTAGTGGGAGGCCTGCCCACGCTACGTCTATACGTGTTGTTGTTGTATGAAACTAAAATGCTATTGTGAACTTGTTGTTTGTTTTTCTATAGAAAAACTGGATGATAGTTTGGCTAGTACCTCTTTTGACAGTAGGGTCAGTCTTCAGACTGCAGTGACAGTCGTCAAGAGTGGCCAGGCCACAGCGGGACGTGAGTATGGCGGCCGACCGGATCGCTAGGGCTCGGATCATTGCTGCTTCGTTCTCTGAATTGGTGCGTCATCAGTTGGAAAATACAGAACTTTATTGCGATGAAAAGTTAATTGCGAACAAACGGCAAGCGTTGAAGCGTCAGCGTTTCATATAAAAAAAATACTTTGTTTTTTATTTATTAAAATTAAGATCTTAAGCAATTTATAGAATGGTCACCGTTATCACTTTCTAGTACTTATTAAAATAACTTACCAAAGTAATGGTGAAAAGGGATTAACGCAATTATTCACCCGAACTAATTGGATCAGATAAATTAATTCAAACGGTCTGAAATTAAATAGCCGAACACTAAGTCGGCGACATGGCGTCCTCAAACAACCGCCAATTCAAAAACAAAGATAGAATTAAACTTATTTTAGTGAGCTTAATCTCTGAAACCGTAGACAAAACTGCTAACAAGCTTTATTTATCTTTAAGACTTGTTTAAAGGACTAACGTTGTATTAATTTAAAGTTGGTAACTACCAACTGAAATAAATAAACAAACAGAAACAAAACAATGGACCGATTCTCATACAAACACCGACCACGGATTATTTTATATTCTATGAATTAAAATCAAGGCGATATAAAGCAGTCAACTACGAATACGTACTTATTTACTTTACTTAATCTTAGAAAAAAATATGCATCTGACAGCAGCAGAGTACCTTGATTTTCTATTGAGAAATTAATGAAACTTTCATTTTCTCCCTATTCGAGATCAGACAAAAGCCTCTTGTTTCGACGAAAACCTTACAAATGAAGCTTACAGTTTGTAATGATTAATTAATGAATACTAACCAATGTCAGGAACGTGAGCCACTTTTGGATCGACCACCGGGCGGAGCTTGGAATCCTTTACAACCATCTTCGTTGTTTCATAAAGAGCTTTGTATACTAAAAACAAATACAGTGAATTCATGTACAGTGCATACAATGATTCATCATCATCATCATTTCAGCCACAGGACGTCCACTGCTGAACATAGGCCTCCCCCAATGACTTCCACATCGCCCGGTTGGTAGCGGCCTGCATCCAGCGCCTTCCTGCTACCTTTATCAGGTCGTCGGTCCACCTTGTGGGTGGACGTCCCACGCTGCGTTTTCCGGTACGTGGCCTCCATTCCAGAATCTTGCTGCCCCATCGGCCGTCAGTTCTGCCTANACGTGTTTTGTCTTTCGCTTCATAGATTATTATATTAAAATTTGGATACTGATACAAAAGTCACCCTGTATGTAATGAGGTACGTATGTAGGTAAGTACGCATTTATTATGGAAAACCTTGGGAGAGGCCTTTGTCCAGCATCCAGACGTCATTTGGCTGAAACCACCGAACGCATTCTAGTCATGGTAGGTTAGGTTCCTATACTATCCTAAGAATTATTGATTACCTACATGGCCAAAATACCTTTCAGCATCTTTGGGAAGCGTAAAAAAAGATAAATCCGGTAGATTTCTTTTCGAATTTGAACACCCGAACGCCGCACAATATTTCTTTCTCTTTAAGTCCATTTTTAAATAATACTTCAATCATAGAATTAGGTACTACAAGGCACGCCAGCAGCGTCCTGACGGGCGCGCGCGTGACACTCGACTGATATAATACCCGCCGGGGCGCTTCGCTGTAGGTAATTAGCGTTTTTCTTGAACTCAACATACAAGAAAACCGATTGGTATGTCGATTCCGGTGCTAGCGCACATATGATATCCGATAAAGAACGTCTGTTTGATATATCGCCCGATCCAGTCATGAAGCAGATTGTAGTAGCAAATGAAACAACAGTACCAGTATTATGCTCAGGAAATACGAAGTTGACAACAGTAGTAGCAGATTCAGAGTTCGACATTACTGTGAAAAATGTTTTATGCATTCCTAACCTCACNAGCATGTTGGCAGCACTGCAGAAACGTCAAAGTCGAAAACGTCAATGTCAAAACCTACCAAAACAACAATACGCTGTTACAAATGCAAACAGCTTGGACACTATAAAAACCAGTGTACTAACAACAAAGAAAAGGAAAGTACAGTGTTCAGTGCGTTTTTCTTGAACTCAACATACAAGAAAACCGATTGGTATGTCGATTCCGGTGCTAGCGCACATATGATATCCGATAAAGAACGTCTGTTTGATNGTCGGTCCACCTTGTGGGTGGACGTCCCACGCTGCGTTTTCCGGTACGTGGCCTCCATTCCAGAATCTTGCTGCCCCATCGGCCGTCAGTTCTGCCTACTATGTGCCCTGCCCACTGCCAATTCAGCTTGCTGATACAATAATTACCTACCTATTTAATATGAATAAATAAATTAGGAGATGAAGCACATCAAACAACAAAACATTCTGATGTGCTGTCAACTGTATTCTATTTAATTTATAAGTAGTTTTGAAACATGACGCTATGATTTAAAGGTTCGGCCAAGCTAACGCGTTCCGCGACTGCCGCAATCGCGTTCCAGAAGATACGTGAAAAAATCCGCTATTTTAAAATCAGAAACGTCAAAATAACAAGCACGTTCTGATCGCCGATGGCCGCGTGCAGACGCTGCATAGGTCGCCGCGGCCAATGACAGGCAGGATGCGTTGATGTGAACTCATTGCTTACAAATTCATACACGACGTCTGATTGCCATCGCGCACGCTGGCTGCACCGCGTTGGTTTGACTGAACTTTTATGTCTATGAATTTATGGAATATCTTGGCTAGTTACCTTTAGGCGTCAGTACTTCAGCAACCACGTTGTTGCCCTGATGTCTCTGCTCGTAAGTGCTGCCCGAGGGATACACGTCCATGTCCATTTGATCTATCGCATGCTCTCGACAATTTGGGCCTTTGTCTGAAACACACTCCCATGACAACGTTTTAAGGCCGAGTCCATGATGTATATGTTACAGGAAATGTATGAATTCTAGGAATTGTATACTATTCCTAGGAAATGTATACAATTCCGAAGCTATTTAGGAAATGTACAAAATATTGCTTCAGAGATTTTTTAATACGCACATATCCTAGGAAATGTATATACTTTTCCTAGGAATTTTATAGAATTCCAAGATTGTATTAGGAAATGTATAAAACCAAGCGGCACTAGTGCGGTCGCGTGATCGTGTGCCCCTCGGTACGCCTAAAAAATTTCATTTAGCCAAACCACATTGGCCGACAGGTACTTTTAACTCACAATTATTATTGTTTAGCCTGACAGTTGTTTTAGCACTATTATACTTTGGCCGAAAAAAATATTTGCCTAAAATTTATTGGCATACCTTTCTTTCGGCATCACGCATATTACGCTGAAGCATTGGAAATCCCTAATTTTAACATCTGTTTTATTAAACTATTATTGGCATGAAGGTTTTAGTACTCCTGTAGCTGGATAACAAAGTCTCGGTTAGGTTAGGTTAGACTTGCGACCTTACACATACACAGCTGCCGCGGTAGCGGCCGCCGAGCGCTATTTAAGTTTCGGAGAAAAAAAGTGGCGTAATAAAAATGATGTTGTGTAAAAAAATTTTTGGCTTAAAATTTGTGTGCCATAGACAATTAGTCGTGTACAAAAAATTTGGCGATTCGATAGAGACCCCACAAAATCGGATGATGCAATACCCTCCCCTCGCACCGCATGTCCACGCGTATTCATCGAAATCTTATACATTTCCAATTGCTGTTTAGGAAATGTGTAAATATCCTAGGAAATGTGTCTAATATAATTTACATCACACATTTCCGAGTGATTTTAGGAATTATACACAATTCCTAGGAATTGTATACAATGACGGATTTCATACATTTCCTGTAACATATACATATTTTTGGAAAGCCGGCATATCAAGCTTGCTTGTGCTGTCGCTGTACATTTGACATCGAAAATGTCTTTACAGTAAAAATGTTGCTCAAAATAATCATAGTAAAAAGTATGATTTAAAATCATATCTGCACACTATCTATTTAAACAATGTTTTGTAGATAGTGAAATTATTAAGCTAATTTTCGTCGTTGGAAGAAAATTATCTTATTAGAAAACATGAGACTCATCATCATTCCATGCAAAGTTATTTAACTTAATGAAGAATGAAGAATGATTTCATTTGCATTCGCCATTGAATAAACTCCCATCGTCCCTAATTGGAAGAATATTCTTTTCATAATATTTCATACCAGCCATCGCTCACAAGTGAATGTACCTCGGAGATCCAACTTAGCGTAAGATCATAACTTAAAGCCTTTCGAACGTCTGCAAGCACACCTATAAACCAATTTCGACTTCATGTTTAAACTACTGAGTTCACATTCAGTCTGCACGTTTATCTAATTATAGAGCGTAGAAATTTGAGTGCGCAATATTGCAGTTGCTCCTTTTCATTCGTTATAAAAATGAAATCTCTAGCTAGACCTGATTAACTCACAATTTCACTAAATGCATTATTACTCAATCTATTTAATATGACCATAGTATAAAATATGTAATGTTTGTCATAATGTACAAACCATAGCGTTAAAATTGAATCTAAAAGACAGTACGTTACCATCACTTCCATAGTTTTGCTTATGCGACATCTGTACCGATGCATCAATACGTTGCTTATGTACTGCACAGCGTGGCTTGTCGTATACGAACACACAATCTGAAAAAAAAAAAGAGAATACAGGACGTTTTAAAGTAGGACACACAAAACTTACGTTCATATTGAATTTTCAGTTCACTACGTGAAGTAATAGAGCTAAATTATTAATAGAAAGGTGATAATTATTACAAGTGTGTTTAAGTTCATGTAGTCTATAAGTGACTTACCAGAATTCTCATTGCTTTGACTACAAATCGACGGTACCGGTAAAACACACTTTGACGTCAGAGCGCTTGCAGACTTTAGGTAATCCGTATTCGGTACTATCGTGTCAGTTGCTACAAAAACAATTGCAATGAATTAGATAGTATACTTTAGGGTCATAGCAGACTTGCTACTTTTGGATCAGCGATTAACAGTTTGGTAACTTTTCAAATATTCGAAGTCGCATAGCTTCAATATTGCAACAAAGCGCAGTGAGTCGCCAAAACATTACACAATATCGCTCCAAATTGCCGATTGCTAATGCTAAAAGTGGCATGTTTGCTATGTCCCTTAGACCAGCTTCGATGACGCAGCAGCGAAACAATAGTTTAAACTCTTTGTAAATCCTACCTATTTGAACTTTCTGGACTTCTGAACGCTTATCGTTATGGCGCAGTTAGTGCTACGTATTTTATCCAACTTTAACGTTATACTTAATTTGGAACCGGTCTTTGATGGTTGGTGTCTCTCTAGGGAAAAAATGGTCCGAGATCACTCTTTGAAAAAATATTATCAATTTGAAAGTGTTGATAAATTTTGACACCATTTTGACCCAACATAAATTATCTACGCCAAAAGGAAAAGAACAGAATCGCAATTGCTTCGGATTAATTCTGTTATGTTAGGGTTTTCCAAAAAACTTGATAGGTAATCAAAATTTCTCAACAAAAATCACGTAATCAATACCTGCGTCAGAAATATCTGGACAAGTTTGGAGAATAGATTCTTTTAAATTCTTCGATAATACATCATCTGAAATCAGCAAATGATCAACATGTTTTTAGTGACAACCATCAAGTTTTACACTTTTAGTTATTGAACCTACCTGAAGTGAATTTGTCTGAAGTTTTCTTGAGCGTGTTCGGCGGTGATATTTTTTTGGTGACGGAACTTATTGGTAAAACGTCAGCTAAACTGTCATCTGATACTGATCCCATTTGAGGTGGAGGCGTTGCCACTGCAACTAACCGAAAAGTAAGTAATTAGTATTTTCTACAATAATCATACTTTATGACTCCAAAGTAATACAATGTTTGCCAATTGGAGAATTAAAAAATCGTTGTTCTGTGCACTAATTGTAGCCCGGTGTACCTGTATTCATACTGCATACCACGCTCTGTTTTGACTTCACAATTTTGAGTGACTTTTTAGTTGACCTCGATGATTTGTTAGAGCTGGCAATAGAAAGCGACGCTTGCTTCAGAGTCTCCAACGTGGACTGTTCTATGTCAAGTAGGGATTGGTATTCTGGAAAAGAAAAAAAAAACATTTTCGCAATTGCGCTTATCATCATTCAAGATTTCAATTACCTACTACTAATTTTTTTACGGAGCACTATGGGGATTTCTTAAAAAGTGGACTTCTCAAAATGGTGAGTGGCAACACCCCGTTAACGATTCCATACATCGAAGGACATGTAAAATTGTCTGCAGTTCTCACAGTTAGCGCAGAGCATATGTCTTTCCAAAATTAAATTATGCGGAAAGTTTATGCCATTACAGACCATATCGTAAGTATTCGTTTTAGGATCTCGGCCAAGCCACACGCCAGAGCTAGAATTGATTCCGCTCGTTGGAAGTAAATTGTGAACGGCACGCACCATTTCTCCTTGCGCACGAGGTTATTAAAAATTATGTAAGCAGTATGAGAAAAGCAAATTTTGGAGCGTGGAAAGGTACGGAATAAGTTTCGCGGGGTTGCAAAATTGTTGCAAATAATAGTTAATGTCATCAAAGATTGTTATAAGCATCGTGTTAACACCTACCTGCAAGTGGAGTCAAATACGGCTATTCCTGTACATTAAAGTCTGTATGACCAATTTATTACAAAAAAATAGAGAAAGAAAAAAAAACTTTTTTGGCAGTTTAGTGTACCTTTATCTGCATTAGTGCATCTCTTGATCCACTTAGCAGCGTCCAGGTTGCTGGACAGGATGGTGCTGGCGTCTGACGTCATCTGCGAGGATATTGGCTGGCCGATGAGGTGGGACAAGGCACTTAGTTGATCTGCAGTCGAACGCTCTGGGAAATACAGCCCCTCTAGACAAAGCGACGTTCATGACAGGTTAAAAAGGATGATCGGTTCGCTAAATAATTTTTTAAAGTAGTTTAGATTTTAGTGTTACGGCGCGTGGCGGTTCGTGAGTTCGCGAGCAAGACCGAGATAGGACTCTGTCGCGGCGCGAACCACCGCCTTTATTGGCTTGTCGGCCGTTTGGTGTAGTGGCACAGAATAATAATAAGTACTACGTACAGAAGTTTTACTTCGCGAAGGTATTTAAAAAAATGTATGCTCAATGTCATTAACAATATGGTGTAATTTAGCTCGTCTCAAGAGTCAAGCACCATTTTGTTGACAATCGTCAGTGATCGGCACTGCGCCGAAGCTATAGGGCTGACTTCGGTAAAATGATGTGACGTGAGGTGCCAAATGGCGGAGGAAATACATGATTTATCATGAATAATANCAAGAATGTGAAAACTGTCCAGGATGTGTGGAAACGCCTGAAATCACTCTTCGATGATTCCGGATTTCAAAGAAAAATCAGTTTGTTGCGACATCTAATTTCAATCCGATTAGAAGACAGCGAAACTATGACCTCATACGTGACACAAATAGTAGAAACAGCTCAGAAATTAAAAGGAACTGGATTTTCCATTACTGATGAGTGGGTGGGATGTTTATTGTTGGCTGGATTGACGGAGAAATTCACCCCGATGATTATGGCCATCGAGAATTCCGGGATGACAATTAGTACGGACGCCATTAAATCAAAATTACTGAATATGAGTGCTGAAGTTGGCAGTACTGGAACGGACGGCGCTTTTTTATCGAAAGGTTGGCAGCAGCGCAGAAAGCATGTTGGCAGCACTGCAGAAACGTCAAAGTCGAAAACGTCAATGTCAAAACCTACCAAAACAACAATACGCTGTTACAAATGCAAACAGCTTGGACACTATAAAAACCAGTGTACTAACAACAAAGAAAAGGAAAGTACAGTCACAGAATAAGTAATAGTACAGGTACAGAAGGATTACTCCGCAAGACGATTTAAATAAATACGAGTCTTGCTACGACGCGATACAGTGGAATTCAGCTCGCACAGCACTACGTACCTACAATTTTATTCACCTACAAGTTTTGTCTCTTTCTATCGCGTGCCTCTGAACTCTTCTTACGCTGTTAGAGTTGCTGTCTAATGGAAAAATAATTAATCTACTTATACAGGGTGAAACCTCACTACAAATCTCCTATCGGTTAGTGAGTTGATACGAAATGGAAACAAAGTGATCTTTGAAGACAATGGCTGCGAGATAATAAACAGCAGAGGTGTACTTGTCGGCAAAGCAGTTTTGACAAATGGAGTGTATAAATTAGACATAAAACAAACATGTCTATTGGCTGGCTCAGCAGTGCAAGAAACCAGTATGCTATGGCATAGAAGGTTGGGCCACATCAACAGTAAGGATCTGAACAGAATGAAGAATGGCGCTGTAAAAGGTATTTCTTACCCCGACAAGGCAGAAGTTGACAAGTCCCAGTGTGTCACATGTTGTGAAGGGAAATTGGCGAGACTACCCTTCTCACACAGAGGTTCCAGATGTGAGAGTGTGTTGGAGGTGGTTCATGCGGACGTTTGCGGCCCCATGGAGACGGTCTCAATAGGAAAGTCAAGGTATTTTCTCCTATTTGTCGACGACTACAGCAGAATGGCATTCGTCTACTTTCTTAAGTCAAAGAGCGAGGTGTTGGTGTGCTTCAAGGAATTTAAAGCCAAAGTAGAGAGGCAGAAGGGAAAGCACATAAAGGTACTACGGACAGACAACGGCGGAGAATTTTGTTCTTCAGATATGGAAAGTCAATACTAATAATATTAACTACTTATTTACCTCTCAGTGTATTGAGGCAACTTAAAAAATTACATTCTGTGTTTTTATTATTATTTAGGCAGTTAAATACTGCACAGTATTTAGTTGATTTAGTACACCATTTTCTTTGTTTTTTTCCATCATAAACAAGAATACGCGTGCGTGAGTCAATGTTTGCTCGTATGTGAGGCCTTGTCGAATAGTATCCTGTAGGTGGGCCATCGTGCGTGTTTTGTTTTCGACGTAAACTCGCGGAGATGAACAGGCCTGGTAGTGGTTCGAAACGGACTACTATTCCAGAGGTAGCGGGTTCGATTCCCGCACAGTACAAACAATCGTGAACATATTTGTTTGTATTGGACTGGGTGTTTTCTATATTATAATAAGTATGTATTTACAAAAAAAAAGTATTTAAGTATGTTTATATCCGTTGTCTAGTACCCATAGTACAAGCTTTGCTTAGTTTGGGACTAGAAGCGCAGTGTAAAATGTCCAAGGATATTTATTTATTTATTATTTATTTATGTGTTTCTCGTCGTCTCACAGGGCTAGATTATTACAGCGTTCAAAGGTAAATAATAAACAATAACAATAAACTTACGGTTGAAAGTACTGGTATTGATAATGCGGTCCCCTTGGTCGGCACAGCTGATGCTCTTATCTAAATTCTGGCTACGCCGGTTTGGGTATATTTGGGTGGAGCAATTCGTATCTAAAACAATCAGAAAGTTTTTTAATTGGTGGTGTCACTGAATCATAACAACTACTAAAAACACATGAAACAATAAAATTGTATAACCCGATTGAGCTAACTGCGCACCTAGGGTTTCTGATTTCTCGACCTATTTTTTTTCTCGAGTTTCGAGAATTCTCGAGGCCAAAGTCTCGAGTTTTCTTGGGTCTCGAGTCTTTTAATGAAAACTGCTGAAATTAGATGAAATTTAATAAAAACACAGGTTTTTTTTAAACTAATATACCTACTTTTATGCACAACAATCAATATTAGAATTAAGTACCACTTATTTTGGTAAGGAAATAAACAAAAAATAAAATCTTCATTCATAATTAATATTTACTAATAATCATAGCAAAAGTCGTAAAGTCGCGTGTTCTTAAAGGACAAATAACAATAAATATCTGGAGCTATAATTGAATCACTTGTTTTCTAAAGAACACAAGTCCAAACAGCAAACATCGTAAGATAAATAGTTTTTTTTTATGAACAAAAAAAACTTTAATAAATTTTTAAATTTCTTACAGATAATGACTTGAATAAACTTTACGAGGAGGCACGAGTACCTAACCTAACGTCTGTTAGGTAAGGTAACTGTCTAGTTAACAACTTTTTCAGTTTTTAAATCAGTCAGATTAAACATCCCAACTATCCCAACTAATATGTCTGTCTGTCTGTCTGTTACGCTTTCCCGCTTAAACCTCGCAACCGATTTTGATGAAATTTGGCATAGAGATAGTTTGAGTCCCGGGAAAGAACATAGGATAGTTTTTATCCCGGTTTTTGAAACAGGGACGCGCGCGATAAAGTTTTTCTGTGACAGACAAAATTCCACGCGGGCGAAGCCGCGGGCGGAAAGCTAGTACATAATAAATATAGCATAATCGTTGGTGAACATTATTACTTAGTTTCGATGGAGATCATTACTTGCAAATCAAATCAGTTAAAAAAGGAAAGACTAGGCCAGTCTAAAAGCAACGTTGACCTATTAAATAATTTAAAAACTTACTTTTGTCTAAGAAAATAGCCTTTCAAGAATATTAAAGCTTCAAAATCGAAACTCGAGAATTCTCGAGCTCCGGTAATTTTTTTCTCGTCTCGAATGAAGCCAAATTTCTCGAGTTTTCTCGAGTTCGAGAAAGCTCGAGCAGAAACCCTATGCGCACCTCGCTAGAATGCGACTCTCCCTCGCATTTACCGCACACCTTCCCGCATTCTCCCTGTCTGTACCAGAGCGTTATGTGACGTCACGGCAGCCAGTTGCGCAGTTAACATAACCGGGTTGTACGCAGTTTTCTATTTCTTCATGACGTTAGCAAAATAAAATTAATAGCTATACAGTCAACATCAAACTGTCAATTTTGATATAAAATAACACTTGTTAACATAAAATGTCACAGTTTAGTGATTTGCTGTTATCTGTTCAAACAGACATCACCTACCTACTTAGTTTAATTCTCCAGAAGTTTTACCTTTTTAGATATAAGTAGGTACTTTAGATGCGATATTTTCAGAACCAGTTAAACGCCCCCCGAGATTTCATCCCCGCAAATGACAGATTCCTTGAAAAACTCTTCTCTCCATGAAAACTTTGCTAACAAGTTTTCTTCACCCCTTTTGGGAATTGATTTTTGGCTTCAAAGGAAATCATTATTCGAGTATTGGGAGACCAAGACTATTATACTATATTTCACTTAGAAAACGGAATTCAAAGCTCTTTTAGCTGATTCAATAAAAAAATATAGTTTTTGCAACTCTCGAAGGTGAGTAAGCTTTACTTGTGTGTGTACGTGTACATGCACACATCGATGGTGTCACCACACATGTAAAGCTCACTCGCCTTCGTGAATTGCAATAAATAGGACTACTGAATATTTCAGATCGTTGAGAAGCAGACTGCTAGAAACAGCTTTTTCCTTAACGGGATGAATCAAACTTTTCAAAATAAATAAAAGGTCACCTATTTTATGAATTAATAACTGTTGGAACTGGTTCAAATCAACTTCTTCGGTGATATAGCTGTTTCTTATTTAGTGCAAACGATTTGGCATCCGACCTAAAATACTTCACTCCCGAAACAATGTGTATCGAACGCACGGGTTCATTGTACGTGAAATTAAGAAACTTCGAAGCGAGACTTAAAGGTATTTAAAGCAATAAAATTACAGCTTATAAATTGTTTTCCGACTGTTTCTTTTGATGTTGTCAAATGCTAAATAAAAATAATAATAATGCTTGCTTATTTTTTTAATCTTTTTAAAACATCAGTATTTTTATTTTTCCTTGTGAACATCCTTAAAATAACCAAATTATTTAAATGAGGACTTACAAAATGAGTTAGTTATTATGCATCTTATACAGCATTTTAAATATTTTAACATGAATAGTGCTACAGGCTACGAGATTAAAATTTCGTAGTACCGTAGCACGTCGTAGTCCGTAGCATAATAACTGCTTGATGCCGTTTTTAAAATGAGTTGTTATATTTTAACTAAGAAATTTTACAATTTTAAAAGGTACATTTATGTAAAATGTTATACTTACTTTGAATAAGCTTGACGTCTGAGAGCGTGTTAGTTTCTATATCACATCCAAGTCGAGCACAACCGCATAGCAAAACTTGTTCTGTGAAGACAAAATAAATACTTAGGTATTATTATTTATTTAGAAGTTGATTTAAACCACCCAGGTGAAAAAAGTTGAATAACTAATTCATATCAAATATTTAAACATTGAATAGGTACCTGCGAGTTCTTTAGTGTCGCAGGCTTCGTCGAAGGGCCCTGAGGTCATCACTGCGATGGAGTTGTGTGGAGGCATCAGGATCGGCTCTGTTTCTAAATTGAAAATGCGGGTATCTGATATGGTTTAATTGATATGGCTGACATGGTGTGGTTACGATACTGCTCTTATTTAATTTGTTAAAAAAGAAGTCTAATTTGACCAACGCTTCGCAGCTACAAACATTTGTACATTATCTGACACTTTTTAAGGTGAATTCTTTCAACAAAATGTTTTACTTTTTAGTTACATACGAAACATCAAGACCACTCAAAACTATAACTACAATGTTTCTTTCAAGATCTTGTTCGTTCAAGCAAGACCGTTCTTACTTGAACGAACAAGTCTCAGAAAACACGTAAAAGTTTCATGTTGCATAAAATAAAATGTTTCCTAGAACTGAAAAGTGCGAACGTATCATACCGGGACAACTGTGCATTTCGCAAGAATAAGAACGAGAATATTCTTCGAATGAGAAATGTTCGGTATTCTTTGTCGTTTATGTTTTCCTGCCTTCAGTGCCGTTGCTTGGAGACACAATTTTGTATTGCTAGGAAATGTGAGTATGGAGTTCTAGAACTTGAGTTGATGTAGACGGTTTTTGGTAGAAAGTTTTGACTATAAAAGATCTACCTAGTAGGTTTCACGTATACTACTTCAGAATTCTTAAATTCACATTGACTGCTAAGTAACTTTCTGTGTAACTGCTAAATCAATTTGGATTCAATGAGACTTATGACCTAGATGAGGTCGCTACCTTTTGTCGATTTTTTTCGGTAGAGTCGTTGATGGTTGTGTTTAAAAGATTTTTTTTATACGGTGGTTGATTGACCGACAATGTAAGTTCATAATAAGTATCTCGTACATACCATTATCGTAGTAGGTTCGTCGGGTCGCTCTCGATCCAATTGAAGACGCGTTCAGCGGTTGGGACGAAATCAGCTTACTGTGCCCGATGCGAGCCGACTTAATTGAATGTTTTTCTGACAACACAATAGGCAAGTCAAACATGAAATTCTCAGTAAACAATAAGACAGAGAAACATCGCTTGACATGCCTATCATCAAGAAATTTTAATATTATTAGTTTGATCTCCCATTTAATCAAGTGCGGATTGAACTTACGATGCTTAGAATTTATGTTAATAGGGATATTATTATGCAAAACGCAACCCTGTTCGAGCGACTCAACATTGACAAATTAATTAAAGTTTTGCTAACGAGATTTTATATGCATTCTTCTATCTAGTAGTTTGTAACAACTGTGGTCACGACTCTACGAGCCGCTATAGGCATTAAAATTTAGCAGAGCTCAACGAAGCATTTAAATATTATTATAGTCTCTATTTGTCACTTTTCTAGCGAAAAATGTAAGTAGCTAACTTGGTTTTTTATTACCCAGGTTGTCTCGTAAAAAACAAAGATAAAAAGGCTGATTTCAAAAGGAATGTTGCCATCCAGTTTAATTTTAGTAAGTCGTAATTGCTATTTAAAAAATTGAAGCGGTGGAATTTGGAATAATAAGTTTGGAATCTAATTTAGGTTATTTGCTAACTTAGACACTTTTAGCAAAAGTTTGATTCGTATTTTCAGAATTTTTGCCAGGGATAAAAGTTTGCGTGTGACAAGTCTAGATTACTTTGAGCATATTTTAAGTCTAAATTCAGCCACGTCTTTTTTATTGTGGATGCTTTAAAGAAGTTTGAGTATTGAGTAATATTACTTTAAGATTACCATTGCTTTGTTCCAAAATATGACTGTACTGCGCCCAGGTATCGATCATAGATTTGTGCAATGTTTTCCTCGAGAAAACATCAGCTAATGACTGACCGACAGATCTTCTTTCTACGCCCAAGTTCGTGTTGATCGCTACAGACGCATGTTGCACGGTTGTTTCTGAAACATTTCGTTGTTGGATGGAAACAGGCGCAAGTTATTTGGAGGAGCAGGAAAGTAATACTAATAAAAGTTACACGTGCGTACAACATTTGATTCAAATGACATTTCCATATATGTAAAATATTACTTACTTTTGCTTTCAACTATTGTTTAACGCGCGTGTGAGTTTATTATTAGTAAAGGGGAAAAAGTATCACTGAAATTACGCAACTATTCGGAAACTTGGCTGTTTTTCAATGGATGAAATTATTACCGTATTATCATTGATTTCATAATAAAGAACTTTTAGCAGATAAAACGCTATGCATATCTTTCTAATATGAAAATTCTTTTATATCTTCTACTTTGAAGTATATTTCGAGGCCTTACCACTACCCTTTTCTAGATTGGTAGACTGTGTTTTCTTGTTTAGTGACGTGACTACTGAAGCAGAATTTTGTTCAACTGGAGTTAGCACTAAAGTAGACTTGTTTTCTACGGCAATTGGAGCTGTCCCTGAAAAACAAAGAAAAAAGAGCGAAAAGTAGTTTAATTTTGGTTTTTATGATTGGATATATTTGAGATATTTTAATTGAGATTGTGTCTATGTATTGAGGAAAGTAATATAAGGAAGTTAAAATATTTGCCTGTATCCACAAGCATTTGCGACTGGTACCACTGATTAATAAGGGCCTGGGTCGACAGCTCCCGAGTCTGTTTGATGTCTGAAAACGAATATAGGTTGAGATTTTCCGGGAAAAAAACTTTAAACATGTAAAGATCTGCCCTTTAATATTTCTTATGAAAAAATAAATCCTTCATAAGAAAATTTCTGAAAATTAATTTGTTTGATTTATTTATAAATCTGTTGCCAATGTACCTGTATCATTTTGAGTTGACGTTGTTTTCTCATACATAAATTCTTGGCTATCTTGGCATGGTCCTGGAAATGTTTTGTTATTTAAAAATAAATTTAACATTTAATTAAAGGTTAAATCATACAAAATATTATGAAATAAAGGTGTAGTAACATACCAATGCTTCTATCTTCAGTTGCCGTATCTTGTGGCGCTGTTGATTTACTTACTTGTAACGTTTCTGCTACAATAAAAATAGAATAAAACAGTTCATAATAGTCAGTTAAATAGGCAGGTTAAAGGTGGCGGTTCCCACCGCGACAGAGACAGGAGACTGAGACAAGAGACCGCGACTGTTACTTGACTTATGCCCGTTTTCACCACCAATCCCTTATTTTTAAGTAAACAAAATTCCTGTTATTTGTTACCATAGGGGACACTTAAAAAATAGGGATTGATGGTGAAAACGGGCACCTAAAGTCAAGTAACGGTCGCTGTCCCCCGTCTCGGTCTCGTATCTCGGTCTCCTGTCTTGATCTCAAATTCATGATTAAGACTAGGCGGTGACCACCGATGTTTAGTTGGCCGATAGTTGTGCCCGATTTAAAATTGTATAAAGAATCGGCCAAAGCAAATCGGTGTAATGTGCGCACTTCCATACATGCCCATACTGATCAATTGCCCGACTAAACTATCGGCCGACGAAAAATCGATGGTCTGCGCCTAGGCTAAGTCTTACCAGCAGAAACAGTTTTGCAATCATTGCAGCGACACTTGAGAGATTGGCTAGTCTCGCACTGACAGCTCACCGTTGACTTTGCAGTATGACCACCTTTTAAAAAATAACGTCAATGAGAAGGTATATTTAAAACAATTAATTATTTAATTTTCATACTGTTTAAGCTTTAGGTATTAGCTTAGCTTCCCTACTATAATGAGGGTTTTCGCGAATGAAAGATCCGCTAGATGGCGGGACGTGGATGTGGGGTCTGACTGCTGCGTGATTGGTGGATTTTGACATATCTGTCAATGTCATGTCAAAAATAACCAATCATGCAGCATTTGGACCTCGCGTCTACGTATTGCCATCTGGCGGATTTTTCATTCGCGAAAACCTTCATTAAATAAATATTGTTTGTTCGGTGATCAATTGTTTTAAAAAGTGTACCTGTCCCAAATTCTTTATGAAAGCTTTTTAGTTCACAAGAAGTGGGGTCCATAAACGTTATTTTCGGAATTAGTACGTATTCGACTCAAGTTATGTTTGAAAACAGCCACAAATCGCTTAGCAAACAAGTATGAAGATGGAACGAAAATATTTTCTAAACTATCGCGACAAATCACAAGTCCAATTTTGGTCATAAGTTGAACTACGTTTTACGGCTTTGAAACCAGAGCTATATCTAGGGTGTAAATCTCTGAAGGGAGCTGACTGTTCTCATTTTACGACTTATGAGACGAACTTGAATATAGCGAGATGTGGCGGAATCATAACTAAAGAAAATAATACTTTTCTGTAGTACATGTCCTTTCTCTCAAATGTTTATTAGAAAAACTTTGAACACTCTTGAATTTAGCTCTCTTTTAGTCAAATTAGAGCAGTAGATGCATTTTGAATTCCAATAAATGAACAATTAAACATGGAATCATAATAATATGAATAGTGTGATTGAATATGTAAGAAGATATTGAAAAGATAAATGACAAAATAGTGTTTCTAGCAGCTTGCAAAAATACAATATTGATAAGTAAAGCTTAATAATCTCTATAAGATATCATTGGAAATAATATGTTTTGTGTAAAAATACCACATGGATGATTTATGAAGAAAAAGTGGGTAGAGCTGTAGCAAGCCAACAGGCTTAGGGTGAACTTGGCATAGGGCGTGAACAAATAAATCATAAACCCTACCAGTGGGGGGCAGATCCGAGTCTGAAGTGACGACAGCCACCGGCAGCATCTCGGCTGACGATATAGACATGATATTGGGCTCTGAAAATATAAAACAATATTTGTAGTTGCCCATAGGCCTACTAATTTGTTCTACTAGTAGTATCACATAGATTTTTGCGGTAAGACTTCTAAATACAAATATTTTTACTACAAGACGCCATGTGCTTCGTAAACTTCGATAGTCGAACGGTGAAGAGGTTGGACTGGCCGACTCCTGATCCGAGGAGCGAACCCCACCGCCATTCGACTATTGTGGTGAACCCATTCCGTAACACAAGCGTATCTAGCTTACCACGAAAGGTTAATGGGATTATTATAGTAATTTGTATTTACAAATTGCTAATATACCTACTTTTAAAGAAAGTTCGCAATCTTAGCTTACCAGTGATATTATAGCTTCAGATTTACCTGTACGCTTCAAACGGGGCGTGACCGTTTCAGTGGCCAAGTCTGTTTTAATGATATCGTCTGTAAATAGATAATTATTTGTTAATGTTTGTGTCCTTAGGCATTCATCGTCACGCATAAGTATGGGTTAAAGTTAAACAATGACTATTCGAAATACTAAATGTAATTCTTACTCAATATTTGTTCTGGAGTAGAAATCTTCACTGATACTTTCTTCTTTGGTTTTGATGCCGTCGAGCCTAAAAAAATAATAGAATTATAATAAATGAAATTAATAATATTGTTGTTTCATCCTTTGTTACCACTTTTAAAGCAAATAAATCTATTATTTTCTATGCTGAGGGTTATAGGTAGTAACTACAGTTTAAAAAGTCCCATTTACCAGTCTTTGGGGTGTCAACGATGTTGCTTTTCGACGTCATCACAGACCTTTTGTTGACGTGAGTCGTTTCCAGTTTCAGTGATTCTGTTATAAAATCACAATATTCTGTTTATTTCCTTACGATAAAATATACCTACTCTAGAAAACTTATACATTTTATCTTTTAAACTTTTTTTAAGAATATTTTTTGATGAAAACCAACCTGTATTCATTCCGCATGGCTTATAAAAGGCAATATCCCCACTTATGATTCCAGCCGATTGGTTCTCGAATATAGGCGCGAAAGATATATCAGTTTCTGTAATTAAATAAACACTGTTAGTGGTGGACGCGAATCTTCATGAGCTTGAAGAAGAATGACGAGAGACCGCACAAGACTGACGTAAATGGCGATATCTATTGGAGGCCAATACACACTGGGTCGCTGGGCAATCGGAGTAATTAAATAAGTACCTATTCTGTTAGACCCAGATTCCACCAAGATGGAGGGGAGCAGAGACTCTCTCTTTTCTCGGAGATAATCAGATTTCGTTATTTCCACATCTCCTCTCCGTTCAGCTTCGGTGGAAATGGATAGAGTGGAGAGGAGAGGAGTTGTGCGGCCGATTCCCAGCTGCCTTCTTCCCGTGCTTCGCATACCTACCCGAAAGCGTCATACGATGCGTAGACAGCAATAGACTTACAGCTGACAGCTAAACACATATTTTTTCGTCTCGTTTCCTCTTCACTCAAAGTCAAAATTTCTTTATTTGTTTAGACTAATAAATAGTTCTTACAAATCGTCATTTTGCTCTTAAGGAGCCCTACATGTCTCATAATCTTTTTACCCTACCAGCGCTTCGAGACCAACATTTGGCAAGTGCTGAGAAGAAGCGCCACAAAAAACTCAGTCACCACTGTCTGCCGGTTAATATAAATAAATAGAAATAGCAGTAGTAGGTACATTCGATTCAGGAGCAGTTCACTGAATTTACCATGCATTCTTGTATGGTGTATCTTATAAGAATGAGTATACAAAATACTCGTCTTCTCTCGTCTCGTCCCGTCTCCGCTTTAGTGGAAACCGAGCCTTTAGTTTATTTCTAAATTTCCCTTGGTTCTATGAGAAACCTAACTCGCGATGATAATAACTGTATGTCCAATAATATAATAAATTACTTACCAATATTATTGCAAGTGAGCAAAACTTGCGTGGCCGCATCTCTCGGTTGGTTTAGGCTGGACTTTTGTATTGAATGTGGTGCGCTTGTCAATTTGTTGTCGATCGAATTCATGATCTTCACTTGGGTTCCTAAAATATATTTACGTGTAAATGGTGAACGTGGGTTGGGAAAATGATGTCATAATATTAACGTACAAATATAAAACAAGTTATTCCAGCGAACTAATTGCTATTAGAATTCCGTATCTCAACTGAACGAGTACTACGAAAAGGAAAGGATGCACGGATCCATTAGAAACATAAAAATTAGCAGAGAAAAAGATCTCACCATTAAAAATTCGAACATTTTTTAACAATTCATCGCTTTAGATCTACATATTGATTAATTTATTAATACCTACAACAATATACGATGAATTAATGAATGAAAATTTAACCTAAATTGGTGTCCATTGTCCGCAATTTATGAAAATTGATTGGACTTGTATTTGCATTCGTAGTTTGCAGCGAATCTGAAAATATTCATAACCAAATTATTGTATTTCAACACTAATGATGTTAAATGAATTAAACACATTTACTTATGTATATCGCTTATAGGTAAACTGCTTGCTTAACTCAGTCAGTGCCATATGGGAGCGGCACGGGAGGGGTGACGTGAATATCGTTTCAGCTCGGAATGACAACTTCTCAAAATGACAACCGGGGCGCAAAATGTCCACTTCTCGAAATGACAACTTCTTAAAATGTCAACTTCGCTAAAAGACAACTTCTCGTATGTCTATTTCTCACAATGACAAATTCGCATTTGGTCAACTTCACATAATGTCAACTACTTTGTAGCGTTGCAGTTTNGAGGCAGACAGGAAAGCACATCAAGGTACTACGGACAGACAACGGCGGAGAATTTTGTTCTTCAGATATGGAAAGTCTTTTGAAGAAGGCCGGGATAGTGCATCAAAAGACTAATCCATATACGCCAGAGCAGAATGGCATGTGTGAGCGCCTAAATAGAACGGTGGTAGAGAGAGCTCGGTGCTTGTTATTCGATGCTAACCTAGACAAGAAATTTTGGGCTGAGGCAGTTAATACCACAGTATATCTCCGAAACAGAACGTTAGCAGCAGGATTGAAAGCAACACCGTATGAGCTATGGACGGGCAGAAAGCCAGACGTCAGCCACGTACGCGTATTTGGGAGCACTGCCATGGTTCACGTCCCTAAAATAAAAAGGACAAAGTGGGACAAGAAGGCGGAAAAGCATATACTTCTGGGTTATGCTGAGAATACCAAGGGGTTTAGATTATTTAACCCGGTATCACAAAGCTTCACAACAAGCAGAGATGTGATAATAATAGAAACCAATTGCAACAACTCAGAGACAGTACCAGCAGTGGTGGAGGAGAAAAAGGTAGAAGACAGATCTAAGATATCATCAGACTCTGTAGATCCACCCGACAATGATAATACATACGTACCAGAGGAAGATTCAACAAGCTCCTGCAGCACGGACTACAACAGCTTATCAGAGGAAGATCTTGAATCCTGTGAGGTAGAACCTGTAGAACCTGTTACACAGAAGCGTGTACGAAAGCCGCCAGAGAGATTTGGGTACAGCAATGTATGTATGCCCAATCATGAAGATGTTGGATCAGAAAACCTTACCTATGAGGATGTCATGAGTGGTGCAGAGAAAGAACAATGGTCTGCAGCAATGAATGAAGAGTTGCAGTCATTCCATGATAATGAAGCTTGGGAACTTGTAGATAAACCCAATGATGTGAAAGCCGTGCAGTGCAAGTGGGTTTACAAGAAGAAGCTGAATAGCGACAACACTGTGAGGTATAGAGCCAGATTGGTGGCAAAAGGCTTTACCCAAAAGGAAGGTATTGATTACAAAGAGACCTTTTCACCTGTGCTAAAATATTCCACTTTAAAATTGTTGTTTGCTATTAGTGCTAACTTGAATTTAACCATTACCCATTTAGATGTAGTAACAGCTTTCTTAAATGGCCAATTAGATGAAACTGTGTATATGCAATTACCAGAGAATTTAAAATGTGAGGATAATAAATGTAAAGTTTTAAAGTTAAAAAGGGCCATTTATGGACTAAAACAATCAGCAAGGGCATGGTATATAAAAGTTGATTCATGTCTGCAAAGTCTCAATTATAAAAAGTCAGATTATGAACCTTGTTTATTTGTAAAAGTGTCAGGAGATGAGAAAACTTTTATTGCTCTTTTTGTAGATGATTTTTTCATATTTTCGAATTGTAACAAAGAAGTAGATTATCTGAAAAAGGAATTAAGTGCACATTTTAAATTAAAAGACTTAGGTCAACTAAAGAAATGCTTAGGCATGAATGTTCAGATTGAAAAAGATAGGATTTATGTAGATCAGAGGCAATTTATAGAACATTTGCTTTGTAAATTTAATATGGAGAACTGTACAAGCGTAGAAACTCCTATGGAAGTAAATTTAAAACTTGAAAAAGGCAAAAATGAGACAAGTAATTATCCTTATCAGCAATTGATAGGAAGTCTCATGTACCTCTCAGTTCTAACAAGGCCTGATATATCTTTTTGTGTTAGCTACTTGAGCCAATTTAACAATTGTAACAACCAAACGCATTGGAAACATGCCAAGCGAGTTTTAAGATATTTAAATGCTACAAAAACTTATGGTTTGATGTATGTTAAAGATAACTTAGATATAATTGGATATGTAGATGCCGATTGGGCTTCAGATGCAGTAGACAGAAGGTCCTATACAGGATATTGTTTTATGTACTCTGGATGTGTAGTTTCTCATGAATGTAGAAAGCAGCAGACAGTTGCATTATCTAGTACAGAAGCCGAATATATGGCTGTCTGCGAGGCTAGTAAAGAAGCTATTTTTCTAAAGAACCTTTTATATGAACTTCTTAATAGAAAGAATTTACCTGTTCTGTTATACAATGATAACCAGAGTGCTAAAAAACTTACTGAAAATTGTATGTACCATAGAAGAAGTAAACATATAGATGTGAGGTTTCATTTTATTAGAGAAGCTGTTCAAAATAATTTGATAGAGATTGCTTATCTAAACACTAAAGAAATGCCAGCTGATGTACTTACAAAAAGTTTGTGTAAAGTTAAACATACTGAATTTATAAGAAAATTAGGCATTGTGAATTTAAAGTAAAATTGTAGCTTCAAAGTTTATTAGTGTTTTTGGATTATTTTGCTAAGTGGTGGTATTAGTATTCATTAATATCAAAATATCCTATTACATAATAAGACAGTTGTCTATGCATTTGGTCTATTGTATTTATCTATGACTAAAAAAGAAATAAAAAGATTAGTCTGTGGAAAGCTACTCTCTGCGTTTTATTACATGTGACGTCACGGCCGCTAGATACGCAGTTAACTCGACCGGGTTGTACCCAAAACGCAATTTAAATCAAAAAAACCATAACGGTGATCCGCCATATCTTTCATGTGGCAATCAATAAATATTTACAAGTAAAAAACAGGACAATACCGTCCAATTATGAAAAAACTACCCGTTGGGTTCACATCGCAGAAAGATAAGCCATCTTATTTCGGACAAACATCGGTAATTTGGTAGTAAATAAATGAAAATGAAAATGAAAATACTTTTATTAAAAATTCACATATTCATATCACAAATTCCTTTGGAGTACCCAAATACATAGTTCCAATCGCAAGTGTATTCCAATGGCACTCACATAAAAAAGAACTTACAAATTCCTACACAGAGAGTAAAATATTTTTCTATTAGAATAAGATCCTCCCTTTATCTTCTGAATAGTTAAGAGTTTAGTAAGAACTTCATATTTCTGAGACAGCAGCATAAAATATTACCTGGAATTTTAAGACCTTCCTAGAGTTCCTAGAATATCTATTTAAATGCTTATGATTCCTGGAATTGGAAGTCTTAAGTGGTATTGGAACTCCCTATCACTTTAGCTATGCTATGCTTTTAAAAAATATTAAAACTGACCGGTTTTTTAAAAGAGTTAGCTCTCATATAGCTGGAAATGGGCACATGTGTTTTTCTTATTAAAGTGGGACTATCAAAATGCATAAAAGTATCATACTTTTTACTCTTTGACAGAAATATTATAACAGACTGCTTACTTACAATCCTGTTTGTCAGCTTGTCTCGTTAAAAATTATGTATACCTGTCATTACTTGTGTGAATAGACATGAATCCTTTACCATTGCATAGGTATTTATGTGCAGAAATTCTACAGCCTCAAAACCGGTATGTGCTGGCTCATTTCTTTTGCCTGTGATACCGGTTTCCCAACCGGTTTCAACTCCAACTCACCGGGGGACGACATCATGCGAGAATCGTCAATTAAGCTTTATTAAAATATATGCCGAAATTTCGCATGCGCCTTTTGTCAGTTTATCGCACGATTCGGAATAAATATTTCGTCATATCCGCTGGTGTCAGGTTGACAGTAATTTACGTTAATAATGTTAATATGCAGTCGAATTTGCCGTATGAATCCGGTAGGGTTAATAAGACCACCCAACTCCTAACGTGGATGTCGTAAGAGGCGACTAAGGAAGAAATATGCGAACATCAGCCGGGCTAGGACACGCAGCATAATAAAATCTTATCGACGATTTTAGACGATAAATGCATGGGCTTATCGTGTAAAATCGATAAAATGCCTCTATATAAGGTTATCGTGGCGTGCATCCTAGGCCTACAGACAGGTCTCCAAAATGTGTCTAGCCAGCGCGTGGGGAGTTAGGAGAAAACCTTCTAAATTCGTTAAATTGCTGCAGTGGTGAGATAGCCAGTTAGTCTATGGTTGAGGATTCCGGGAGAAGCTCAGCCTCCATCAGGTGAGGCTTTAGAGCTTCCTTGTTGTGCTAAATAAAAGAAGCCAGAAAACTTTGGTAAATTAAAATTAATGGATTTGATCAAATAAATATCAGGACAAGCTAGTTTTTGTCTAGCTCTGAGAAAAACAACAAACATACATTACATACAATATTATGTATATCATAGTAACTAATCGACTGATGTCGGTAGCACGTAGTGGTTTTGAGCAGTCTAAACTCATTAATCATACTTACAAGAAGAAGGAATTGGACCTTATTGCATTGGATTAAGGATTACTATTTAAATGTTAGGCCAAGACCACACCAAAGAACTGTGCAAAGGTAAGTTATGAGCTATTTTCATATGAATTCTGCCCAAAAGTTACTCTAGAGTCTAGAGAGTTAAGAAATACGTTACCTATGTTGGTTTTCCTTGGATATCGTTCGTTCGTTCGTTTCAGCCGAAAGACGTCCACTGCTGGACAAAGGCCTCCCCCAAGGATTTCCACAAAGACCGGTCCTGCGCCGCTCGCATCCAGGCGCTTCCCGCGACCTTCACCAGATCGTCGGTCCACCTAGTGGGAGGCCTTCCTTGGATATAATAATATTTATTATGCTAGAAATATTTACATAATAAACCATATTTTTTGGCCATATTGGTTTAT